ATTCAAGAAACATTTGATAGTCAATGTGGTGTAGCTCAATTTCAATTCTTTTACGCTAGAGCAACTAATTATCATTTAGTTTATGCTAATTATCACTCATACTACAAAATTGATTAATCTTTGTTTTGAGTTCACAACACTGTCCAGGAGTTTAATGGACAATTGATTTATTCCAATGTAAACACACAAGTCACAACTCCATCTTTCTTGTTACCAATCTTGGGTCTGCGTTTAATCATGATGGTCTAGCCTTGACTCAATGCGTAACCTTGCATTGCTGATAGCCCACCGTACAATGTTCCGTGAGAGATCTCTAGAGGTGGAGGGAGCATGTTCATTCTGATATAAGATCACTCTTACCAATCACAGACTTTACTACTTAAGACTTTACTTCTTAAGAAATTTATATATTTTTGGTAAGGTGAAGGATATTTGATATAAACTGAATAATAACTAGCCGCTCTTTTATAATATCTATTTGTTTCATCCAACATCAATTTACAGAGCATGCAAATTGTTCATGCCAAAAAATTCCCACTCACTCTAATACAAAGTAAGTATAATCACTATCTGGCCTTTCAACAAAGTAGTCACAAAAGTTATAGAAGATTCTATCACAACTCTATAGTACTTTTCTTCATAATTCTTCACAAGAAAATTGCTCCACAATCTACACACTGTCTCTAACTAACTAAAGATGGTAGAGGTAGTGAGTAGATTTATTTTGGAGTATATTGTGGCTAGATATGGTTTTTTCTGATTGCATGAGAGGAGACAATGGAAAGCTAAATGCGGACGAGGCTACAAATTTCTTCAACAAATCAAGCTCAAGCTGATTACAATGCACATCCGGAGGGTAATGGAAAAAGCATGAAAGAATGTGATTGCTATAGTAAAGGTGTGGGAAGGCAAGATGTCACTTTGGCCTAACTTTTTTTCATTAGCAATGATGACATATATGATGACTTGTAGTTAAGTTATAGAATACGCTCTAGATGAATTGATTCATTGTTAGCTTACTCTCATGTCTATAGAGCATGATATTGTTAGTTAGTGAACTATTGCATGGGAGTATTATGTGTCACAATGGAAACTTCTTTTGAGTCGGATGGAGCAATTTGATCAAACTCCAGCAAGGATTGCGGAGGCTATTGAAAGGTTTAAGTCAAAGAGAATTGCTAACAAACCTAGGTCCAATAAAATTCATCGTTTGGGACCCACGCCAATTCAAGAAGTAGATTGGATGCAAATTGAAGAAGATGTTTCAGTACAATACAATTTATTAGCCAAAAATTTTATCCAACATTGGAGAGCACCATTTGTGGTAGTAAATTGCCATGCTAATTCAACCTATACGGTTCGTGAATTAGATAGTTCAGTTCATCGTGTACATATGCAGGCAAGAGTATTAAGCTTTTCAAGAGGAGGGTTAAATTTGAAGACTTGAAGATATGAATTCAGAAGAGAAGTCAAAAGATATTGATTAAGAAAACAACTTGGATGATGCACAAGATTAGTAGGGGCAATGTTTAGTCTGGTGCAAATCAAAGGATGCACAGGTCTAGTAGGGATGATATGTCGTGGGATTTATTTGAGGCTTGTTACTACATTGTGATAATTTTTTTGTGTGAGTTTAAGTTAGGGAGTAAATCATAAGTTAGTGAGTGATTTGTGTTTTAATTGTAACTAGAATTGAGTCTACTGCGTACTTCCAAGTGATACTACAAACTTGTACTACGTGTAAACTAGAATTGAGTGCACTACAACTTGTACTATGTGTTGTATTACAAACTTGTCTTATAGTTAACTACACATGTAGCAACTTTTACTTTTGAAAGTTTTCTTGAAAAGCTTTATAGTAAAGAGTGAGCGGCTCGTTCCGCTCAGTTCCAACTTTGCATTTTCATATGTTCATGGCTCAAGGGTTTCCGCGTTTCTTTTAGAGTTTGTGTGTGTTTCAAGATTTTTATATAATCTAGATGACTTGACATTGAATGTTGTGGGATTTGACAAGCCAATAGGAGTACTTAGTAGGAAAAGAAGCTCTTTATTCCCACACGACGTTTGTTTAAAAGAAAAGTGGTCTTAGAGACAAAAAAACATTTTTTTTCAAAGCATTCTCCAAAAACAAATATTTTGTAAAGTAGAAGATGAGGTACGTTTAAGTTTTTGTTTTAAATTTTGATCGTATGTAGATTAAAAATAATGATTGTTGGAAGTTAAGGAGTTTTTCACAGTTACCAAAAGTTTTTCTCAAACAAATTTGTACAGAATTAATTACTTTTTCTTTCTTTTGAATTTTGTTCAGAAATTTGTATGAGTGCGTATTGAAAAATAATTTATCTTTCAATTCAAATTTTACTGAGATATCAAGTCTAGAGAAAAAATTTTGTTGTTTTAAAGTTCACGTGATACAAAACCATGAAAAGATATCAAAATTTTTGGATATTTTTATTTGTAGTTTTCTTCATGTAAAGATTTTTTCACCTTATGAAATTTTTGTGTTAATGTGATGAAATTTTGTTGCTAGTAGCCATAGGTCCGACGCCTTCTTGAACAGCTCTTATTCCCCGACAATGTTTTCATTTGATTGATATATGAAAGGGGTCATTGACGATCTTTAATATAAGCAATATCTTTTAGTTTATCAATCAATGTGCATGGTATTCTGTGAGTTTTCACAAAGTTGGCATAGACAATAAAAGAAATATGATCATGGAATTTTTTTAACTCTAGTTGTTGATATGTCTTCATCTGGTATAAAAAGATTGTATCTCGGCATTAGGCAAAAAAGTAAGCAAGTTTTGTGCAAATTGTAAACGTTTTGAGTATCATATTGGGCTATAATTGCGTATAATTTGTCTAAAGCTATCAGCAATACATGATCAAATTTATTAACTTTAGCTACCTTTCCGTTAAGTAGCATCTTCTGTAGTCCTTAACGCACTTTAAATTGACTTAATCATTGCCAAGATGCCTTGAGATCAGTTTCTAGAATCAATAAACTTGATGCAATATATTTTGCTTTAACAATGACAAGAGATGGCGGAACAAGTACAATGGCACGCCGCATGTTGTCACTCAATATATAAAGCATGTTTTCAAGTTTAGTAATATGATCAACAAAGGATCATAAAATCTTCTCCTTAGCTTCATCACACATGAAAGCAAATCGCTTTAGAATTTCTTACCGTTTGTTTCACATCTACCTAATTGCTCTTTCATTCACATTGTATGATGATCTTTTACTAGGAGCTTCTGTTTTCCTCAACTTCTCGATGATTTTGTATCGTTGGAACTTATTAAGGCGTTTATCAATCAGTTGCTTCGACATTGCAACTTTGACACAGTAGTTTCCTTGCTTGCTACTAGTTACAATCATTTGCACTAACTCTTACTTACATCAAAAACAATTGTGAAAGAAAATTTATAATTTAATTTTTAAAATAACAAGTTTAATGAGTTGACACATTCAATGTGTATTTAACAAACATATGAATACTAATGTGTTACTATCAATCAATACTCCATTCTTCAATACAATGTGTCATTGTGGATACGCACTTTACCCATCTTTTCTTGCTTTCTAAGCAACACAAAGCCACAAATCTCCATCCTTCCTAGATTATATTGCTGAATGCGCTCTTCTATCCATATGTCGAACTCCTCATCCAATACTTATTTACTAGACTACAATTTAATCACAATTAACTAAAGATATATACAAACGATGGAGTAGTTTGGAATGTCAAGTTTAGTTGCATATAGATTCTTCTCTTTATTAATTCCCGATTGCAACTTTTCAATGCATAATTTTCTTTCAAGTTCTTATGTTACTTGTCATGGTGTCAAGTTCAAATGAAAAAATCTCTTTCTTGACATGATTTTTACTGCAGTACTTAAGAAACCAGCTTATCTGTGCAAAACTCGTAGGGAGAGGAAGTTCGGTAAGTGTGTATATAATGGAAATAGTTTTCAACCAGCAATTGACGCGTCTCGGTTTCACCTCACTAACTGCGTCATTGCCCCAAGCGCAAAGATAAGAGCAATGGAGTAATTTCCCACTGGTCTACTATATTTCATCATCGGGAAAGGGATTAATCATTCCTCAGCTGGTTGGACAGCGCAAGTCTCGCATTGAGCTCCGTTCGGTGACTCGTCGATGATTACATCCACTAAATCCGAGAGTGTACCTTATACAAACATATTTACATATTTTCCCACTTCGCATGGAAGCCTGTTGGAGACACTATATTTATTTATTTATTTATTGCACTTTCATATCCCGTTCGCATGATCCAATGGGAAATTCGTCAACACAGTAGTCTCCAGTTTCAGTACGCAACTTGAACCTCGGAGGTTTGAGCGTACTTTACCGCTATATGCGTACTTTTGACTCTCCATTGCCAAATCTCCTGCGTTTCGCTGCAATATAAAAAAACTGATCAATAACTGTCTGAATGAATCCTAGGGCTACGAGATCACCTCAAACTTGAGAAAGACAAACCTTCCAAGCAAAGGCGCTCTAGCAAGTGAGTAAGACTTTAACAAAGGGGCTATCCTGAAGGTCTGGAAAAAACTTGATTCAGTTTTTGACCGATCCGATTTACTTTCCAAACATGCTAAGTAAAAGAGTTTCAGAATTGTATGGATTTGAGTCTATTGAGTATCACTCAAGCGTTCAAACAGAACCCAAAAAAGCATTCAACAAGGTTAGAAAATTGTTCGAAGAGTTTCAGGCCAAATTACGAGCAATTACGATTCATGATATGAATCACATGAAGATTCATGATATATTTTACTGAAAAATATCGATCTCTAGAAATTTTATCATGAAATGAGTACGTAAGTGCTACTGTACGATGTAATTCGTCCACGGTGGCATCCACGTGAGCTTCGGGTCAATGCCATGTCAGCGTGGTACCCGCACTACTGGACCTCGAAAGTCTAAACGAATGTCCGAATGCGGGCATCATGTTCCGTGGCGAAGGCCGGTGAGACGACGGTGTCCCTGCCCATTTGAGTGGTGTATACGGTAATGCCAGTCACAGAACTTAAATTCCCGGGGGCCATGTCATGTGCTCACGGGAACTGCCGTCGCACACTCTTACGCCGAAAGCCTTATTCATTTCAACGAGGAGGTTCCTGGGAGGTGATCGCAGATTTGATCTTTGGGTGGTGACAGGCTGACATTGGTTGTCGAGAAAGGAAGCAGGGAGGTCTTCTGCATTCGTGATTCTTCAGGCTCTTCCGAAGGCGACTATGGAGTCGGGCAGCGATGAGAAGGCGAGCTCATCGGAGCGTGCAGAACCGATATCTATTTCCATGGGGAGGTCGTTGCCGGACGACCTTCTGCTGACTGTGCTGCGCAAGCTCCCGCTCGAGAGCCTGTTGAGGTTCCGTTGCGTGTGCAGAGAGTGGAACAATCTGTTTATGTCTGGGGAATTCTCTCCCTCGGCTTGCCACAAACCTGGGAAGCTAGTTCCGCTGTATCTGAGTGATGGAGCTCTCAGTCTTTACGACACCGGTAATCGCTGCTGGGTGCAGCGCGACCTCAAATTTGGAGAAGATCGGGGTTCGTTCCTCGAAGATCAGGGATATGAGCTGGTCGCATCAGGTGGGGGCCTGCTGGCCTTTCTTGCCAAGCCCCTCCTGGACTCCAACTGGCGAGAGCAATTCCCGACATTCATCGTCTCCAACCCTTTGACACGACAGTACCACAGATTGCCGATTTCGGTCGCCCATGGCTCACGTTCCCTCAACATCCCTGAGGTAGGACATCTGTTGTGTGGAATTGACGTAGATCTGGAAACAGGGTACTACACTTTCATATTTCTGGATCCTCGTTCCACGGATGGTGGAGCGGAAACTTACGTCTATGACTCCAAATTGCGCTCATGGCGGATCTGTAGCAGATTGCCCTCATCACTCAGGAGCAGATTGCCCTCATCCCCCTCAGGAGATTCGTTCATACGGGTATTCACTTCAATCGATACAGGACTCAATGCGTGACGAAGGAGGGAAAGTTTCACTGGATGGCGAGTTTAAAGGAAGGGGATCTTGTGGACTTGCTCTATATTTACGATGTGAAGCTCGACGTTTGGGCTCAAGTGCCCCTACTATCACCTCGGTGCATGTTTTTCAGATGTATGGAGCACAAAGGTCAAGTCCTCGTGGTTGGATTTCGTGGAAAATCAGGTAAGAAGCTTTCTTTCTTCGAGATTGTGGATCCGAGACTGGAACCCCGGGATCCAGAAATGTTTGATAACACGCTCCTGTACCTTAGAGAGAAGAAGGCGTTGCCCATGCACTCGGTGGTTGATGTGCTCTCTGCCTTAGAACAAGACAGAGACAAAGGGACAAGTGGAAGAAAGGAAGTATGGATCAAGTGGTGCGTGGGAGCCAGGGACGAAGTAGTTTATCTTGTGCAAGCGCGAACGGAGGAGTTTGATGAGAACGGGGTTCTTGATTTAGTGAAATCAGACGTATCTCGTCCGATGTTGCGCTACGCTGGTGTCGATAACTCTTGGACGTGGATGAGCGACTGGAGGAGAACGAAAGACGATCATGAAGACTTTCCGCCTTATATTCTACATCGAGTCTGGACTTTCCAACCCTCACTCGTGAGCCCTGGGTCGATGGAGAGTATGACCAATCATTCAGAAGTCCAATGACGACGAGTTTGACTTCTCGTAAGTACATATTGACCATGCTTAGAACTGTGGAAGATGCAAGTGTTGATTACACAAAGCACCACAAGATCTTAATCTTGTGGTGCTACGTGAGATGTGACAGTTTGACGATGTTTTCGGGAAATTTGGGACAAAAAATTACTGTGTTTTGAATATGTGAAGTTTGAGAAAACTGGTTGAATTCGTCAGAATCAGAAACTTGTAAAATGTTCCTTAACTCCAAGCACAGACTTGTTGGCTTGGTGGGATCACACAAGTGAATTACAACGTGCCTGTCTGCTCCTCAAGACTACCGAAATGGTTAATCCCGATCTGATGTTGATAAACATCCGATCATAACATGGATACTAAAGTATGACCGGTAAGAATATGGTTATGCTGACTGACGTCGATTGACAGTAGCCTCCCGTTAATACGCGTTAATTCCCCCAAAAAATAGGGATTTTGTTCAACATGTCATGGATTGTCATTTGACTTTCGGTTTTGAGGATTCTTGCGTTTGCGTTTGGGGTCAGAGTCGCTCTACTTTAAACCGATTTACAGAACTTTCTAAGATTTCAAATCAGCTTTTTCTCGACTTTTCGAGCCCAGCAACCGAAAGTCTATATCAACAACTTGTGCCGTGTTTACTAGATTCGAATCTGACTTTTGAAAGGTAAGAGTGTAATTATCATCATCCAGATTCTTTTCAACAATCTTCAACGGCATCAAAAGCTCTTCAACATGCTTCTTCGTATTTTTCGCACCTGTTTGAAGTTTATTTTATATTTGCTCCTGCTTGTTCCACACCTTTCTTATAATTCTTATAATTCTTACTAACGTTATAAATAGTTAGAGCACTATTGCTATAATCTTTTTACCGGAAGCATCCATCTTCCTCACCTCCTTCATGATATCGCATCTTTCGGACTCATCGACATCGAAAGATTTTCTCCACATTACAACCCAGCAGAACCAATTGCCATTTCTCGAACGAGTTTCTCCACATTACAACCCAACAGAACCAATCGACATTTCTCGTACGATTTTCTCCACATTACAACCGATCTCAACAAAACGATTAGAAAAATCATTTCCTGAAAAGTTTACAGTGGTAAACTTTCGGCTTTAACTTGGACTTTCGGTGTCCAGGTCACACCCAAATAACTACAAATTGGAAGGCTTCAGCAAAATGTACCTTCGTAATCGAGGAACTATCTTCCATTTATGTGAGGTACAAATGTACAAACATGTGTTCAATTCCTTCTCAATATGAAAACCATCTTATTTAAGACTCATACCCTCATGGCCTAAGTGGTCGAGTTGCGTGTCCCTACATGTATATAAATCTACACAAATTCACAATGAAACTGATCATTCGATATAATACATTTTTGTGAATTCATGACTTCACACAATGTGATTGTTTTTAACAATAAATACTAAACGTAAACAGTACTTTGATGATCTTATCGTGAAAATCATATTTACATCGAATTCAACAGAAAAATCAATGCGCATTATCTCAACTTCAACACCTAGTTTTCACATCTGGTTTCCAAAAACTCCACAACCAGTGGTTTTTGATTCGAACCTTTGTTCAAACTTCTGACATAGTCGCCAACCTATCCTACATCTAATTCATACATATTGTTGATCACGAGAACGGTTAAGTCTTTCCGATTTTTGCGTCCCTTAATGTAAAATTTCTACTGTAAAGTAGGTGCTGAAATTTGTGACCATATTTTTGCATATTCGAATTCGTTATTGATATTTTCTTCAAAGTTTCACTCACCCGCTGCCTTATTTCACGATGTAAAGTCAATCACTCTTCCCTTCATGTTTCAAGACAAACAAGTATCTCGATGTGAAATCTAGAACCGCATCGAAAATCTTCACGGATATTTTGAGACTCGTGAAATTCCCAGACGACAGTGGAGCGATTGTCTGGCCTACTCATACTGTAATACCTCACTGCTGTGATTTCATCTCGATACTTGAACACCACTTCACTTCGTAACAGAAGCTAATCTTGGATACAATTCTGCACTTCAGTTGGTCAAGACCCTGACTAATGTAAACAGAATGAATAAGAACCATTGCCACATTTAGAACTCAATTTATCATACAGCGCACCTGTGACTTGCAGTAATTAGCACATGATAGTACCGGTTGCGTCGTGCTCTGACGACGTAAAGGATCTTTAGACATCATCATAGACGCTCACACTTTCGAAACCGTCGAGACGAAGAGTAGCTGACAACCACCAATAAAGAAATTTTCATGAAAAGGTCGGTGCTCCGTCGTGTCGATACGTAGAGTTCACAGCAGCAAACCCGTTTTATCAGTTTCACAATTCACTCCTACTTCTGATCCAATCAGAGAGCAGTAGCTAAACAGCTAGAAAGCCAAACGCTCGTGAAAAGGGAAAAAATGCCGGCATCTCTATTCATTTAATTCACAAGGAATACAAAAAAAGGACTGGCTCATCTCTCATCCATTTCATCATCACCACTACCATAACCCATGACATCCTTCAAGGCTCCACCATCAACACCATCCTTCGTATCTACTGTGTCTTCTCCTTCCGAATTTTCCTTCAATAAAGCATCATGTGATTCACCGTCAGCCTCTCCCTCCTCCGCTTCCTCAAGGATACCCTCTCTATGATCTTCTACGTTGTCTGACGCTACCGATACTCTGCCCTTTTTCCAACCATGTCTGCCATGAGATCTTTCGTCGTCTCCTGTCCCTTCCATTTCCTCAGTTTCCTCAGCTACGCTGCCAGTAACGTCATTGTTATGAGTATGGGTACCCGCCTGCCATTTCTCAATTTCCGATTCAACCCGAGCCAGATGCTCAGCAGTAGCTTGCTTTTGGTACTCTGTCAACTCTGCTCTGCGTTTACTTTTCCATTCCACAAGCTCCTGCAATATGACATCACATTCAGCCCTAATTTAGCTTCAAATCGTTTAGGAGTAAACTCGTTTACCACGAACCGACTGCTGGCATCTCCAACTACAAACCCTTCAAATTCATCAAATCTTCAAAGGCTACCTCTTTCCGCGCCTGCAGTAACTTCTCTGTCTCGTCTGAGAATTTGGCAGGCATGTAGAATATGTTTGGTTCAGCTTTAGTCCTGCAAACCATAGCGGAAAGAAATTGATATGAGACGTTTGTACTTGCACAATCAGCATATTGTGATCTATTTGATACCCAATAGCGATTGTTAAACATAGATGCCTTCGATGCACAAGATTGTCTAAGCGAACAGTACAATTAGCCTTCGGCAACCTGCACTTCAACTAGGGCAAGAAGGTAGTGTCTACCGTGTATCTTCTAAGTACTAGAGGTGGGTCAACGGCGACCAAACAGGATGGATTTAAAAACAGTAATTGAACCAAGCCACCCCACATTAGCCCCTATTGGTGGATAACCATATGTTTAGAGCATACTAAGTGCAACTCAGGTAATAAGCAAATTGATGTTTGCATTTATGGAAAAGATGTCCGGCAAGGCGGGCTCTGTCAGACAAAGTCCAGACCGATTGGCTGCTCGCGCTTCTCAGCATTCAGACTACAACAAATAAGAGGGCTTTCGTCATAAGGTATGGCTTGTTTAGTTCGACTTAATCAGGAATTAAGTTATTATAACACTACTGTGAAATCTTGGATCCATACAGGCACGAATTTGGACAATGAAATAGAAAGTGTCCCACAACTGAGATTTACCTTAAAAATGAGCAGAGTTGAGTTTGGTGATCCGTCCATTGAATAAATAGCAACTCTAATTGCTTCTCCTCTGATTTGGCGGCTATTCGAGCGCGCAGCACCTACACCACATAGCAGCAATTTGCAAGCTAATCAGTACACAAAACTTGGCTATCAACTACAAGAACTGAACCTACCGGTCGATTTTCTATTTGAGCCAACCTCCTATAATGGCAAGATAAATTTCATCGAAAGAAAGTTGCACTTACTGGACTCATAGTCAGATGTCTAGTTCGGCAGTAAAGAGTATTAACATACTATATCTGAGGAAATGGTCTGCATCGCCGACGGGACTGGTATACAGAAATTCAGAGCAAGAGAACGGTGGGTGTCGAAAACAAGATGGTTCACGGATCCCATCAAAAGAGAGCGATAATAGTGGGTGACCCATGCAAACATGCATTCAGAATGCATACCCAAGTCCAAAGAGTGTAATTGGAAATATCGAACGGCAACTTCTACAAATACACGGCCTTCCATCGTAGGGACTGTACACTAACGTCATTCGACAGAAACAAAGGAACAGCATCGCCAAACATCGCCCTTCAGTCACTTTAAGGTAGCAACGTTCATATTCCACAAGGACAATTCCATGACCCGACGAGTTTGTCTTGCAAATCAATTCACTCAAACTCGGTACAGGAATTACCAGATCTCTCTTCCTCTTTCCGGCAAGCTGCTCCCGCTCCTGCTGACGCAAGCGCTCGCTTTCCTCTTGGGCTCTCTGTTCAGCCTGCAATTGCACACGTAGTGCATGTTCCTTAATGTCGTGCAGTAGAAGCAAATGTGTACTATCGATGAGTTTATCCAAGAACCTAAACGTATTGCATGAAGAACAAATGATGTAAAGTTCGTTTGATAACGCTGAAATCAAACCACAAAAGGAAACATCATACACATGTCAACTGTTTGAGTTGTGTAGAGGTTGCGAAGTCGACTTCTTGTCAAACTCACCCTCTTTTGCGAAGTTGACCTCCGAATAAAAGCCTCCGAACCTGAGAGCTTCTGGTCTTCTTGCTTAAATTTCTATACGAAGAAAAAAATTAGTGTGCTCTCATAAGTGGACGAGTGCAGCGCAATTATTTCGAAAACAGTAGAGATGATTCTGCTTTAATGTGCTTTAGATTTCACGATTACTCCAACTTTGCATTAAAACTAAGGGTAAAAAACAAAATTTACCTCGAGCGTTCCCAGAAGAGCACCAAACATTCGACGATTTCTCTTCGCGACATTCGGATCATCTATTTTCGGGATTACTCTGGGCAACGGTTCAGCGGCCTGATTATCATGGTCCTGTAGAAAAAGACAGCTTTGAGCAAACTCGCAAAAGTCCACCTAAGGTTGTCGCAGGAAATAGCAACCACAACCATCGAAACTTAGAAGAATTAAACCAATTTCATCATCTACTTATTAACCTCGGTAGAGAATCCCCAGAACTTTTAAGAGAATTCGCAGAGATTAGAAAGCAAGTACTAAGAACTCAAGCATACTGAGAGTAATCATACCGCGAAGCCCCTTTCTCTAACTCCCCTGAAGTCCCTTCTCCCATTAGTGTTTAATCGGGGCAGTTGCCTTTTGCGATCATCTTCTGCTTCCTCAAGAGCCTCTGCATGTTTTTCCTCTAAGGGCTCCTCTTCGTTCTTATGAGCTTCGGTTCCGTCATCATCACCTTCCACCTTCGAAACCCATGATAAAATGGTATTCAATCTTTTGAAGAAAAAAAGCTGAAGACCTTTATCATCTACAACTTCCTAGTCCTTCCAGGTTACAGGAATCAGCCTGAAAGATCTGAGTCAGTGTAAAACACTAACTTCAGCACAATTATCAACATTTCGTCAAGGTGCACTTCTCCTTTCCGGGTTGGGCTCAATCGAAACTACTGAGACTCATGACACACAAGCCTGTAGAACAGTGGAACTAAGTAGAGAGTGAGACAATGAACTTGTTACAACGTCTGAACAGAAAGGAAGAACCTACTATCGGCATGTTCACCAATTCTGTCTACCGTCTATATAACTTACCTTGACAACGGCAGACAAAAGCCGCTTCTTTGTCAGTGGCTGCTCTTCTGGATCGATTGCATCACCCTGCATTGGATGGTCATGCAGTGTCAAAAAACACGTTACTACCCATGTTTGAAATTTGTCTCGGTCCACGATTCATAAACAATTGAGTCTCGTAGCGATTTCAGAATCACGTCAGCTGGAAAGCCATGCTTGCTCCACATTCAAGGCAGGGGGTCGCCCGTGGCATGAGGAAAAAACAGAATCTTACCCTTCGTACGGCTCCGCGTTGAGCTCCTCCACGTCCAGCAACTCTTTGCGAACCAACTCCTAGACCAGCACCACGAGCTCCAGCACCGAGAGGGATCCTCTTCCGCAGCCCTCTAGGGTCCCGCAACCGTTCTGTCAACTGTTCATACAAGTTCCACAGCACAGAGGATTCTTAGAGTCAATCGATCCTACTGCTACAACATGAGTAAACCCTAATTCAGACCTCGACAAACCAGAATTTTGGTGCGTAAATACAAAATCCGAGTTGCAATGATTCATATCAGAAACTAACGTGCAAAAATTTACTAGTTCAGACATTGTCATCGGATTACAGGCTCCTTTGATGCACGTTCTTAAAACGCACATACTCAAAGTGCTGGTTCGTGAAAGACCCTAGTCACGGCGCTAACAAACGCTGTCTTCCTCATTGCAACGGTCCTCAGATCCGGAACCGAAGATTAGATTCTTCATCTACTTTCAGACTATCTTCACGTGACCACTAACTGGAAAGCTCAGTAGGTCCGTAAGTATTCGAATTTGGTGCCATAGCATCTCAAGGGGACCTTTGAATTTCCAGACAATGGGATGGTCACTAGGCATAGAACTTCGCGAGACGTGACTGCGCCAATAGAGGCCCAGAGGCAGATGTGCCATCCTTGCTCGATAGGAAATGCAGCATCCTCAGTGAGGAACTCTCTGCTCGGAAGATTTGGCAACATCTTTGGAGCCTCTATGAAGATCTACTGTAACCACAAGCTAAGTCTGAAGTTCGAATTCTTGTTCACGTCACAAGAGTGCTTCGGATGAGGTCGCTGCATGACACTTTCAGGTGAAACAAGTCACATTTATTCTCCAAAAAAAATGGTGAACTTTTTATAATTCGTCAATTCATAAGGATTTGAATTACTGAAACATTCGACGTATTCGATGAAGGGTGCAAACCATCTAAATCGGCCGTGTCAGGCTGGCTCAGATAGGCAAGAAACTCAAGGTCAAGAACTTTGGATTGATAAATTTACATCTGTTAGAGCTGGCTCCGACATAAAAGTTAGGATATCAGTCATTGAGAAGGATGTATGAAGAGTGATAATTTCCACCGGACCGAAAATTCGTCAGTGATCGAGCATAGGAAATTATATTGAAGTTGAGACAAAATGATGACCGATACATTCGGTTCGATCCTTGATCGCGATGAATTACACCGTTGCCATTCTTTTCTGCTGGAAAATAGAGTGGCAAAGGTGTAGGTCATCCCGATGTGGTGCTAAGAAGAAAATTCTTGGTTACAAACGCACACATTGTACTGATGAGTTCGACCCCACAAACCTCCGCACGTGTTCGAAGAAAAACTGCGTGCGCAACTGCCAGAATAACTTTTCTGACGAATAGAATAATTTTTTTATCACTTAGAGCTAATCACGTGGTCTAAACAAGAAGCTGATGCTCCAGGACAAGGTTTGTAGCAATGAGTGAATATAGCCAAGTCGCTGACAATGCGAAGGGAACTGAAAGCAAAATGAAACGCAGCTGTAATTTGAATATCCGACCTCGCGTTGCTGCCGATTCAGTTCGTCAATTTCGCGACGTAGATCATCGGCGGATTTCTCTACAATGACATCCACCATCGTCCCTTCCATGGGAGCACCACTTGGGCCCCTTATCCGGGTCCACAACCGACCCCCGCCCCTGTATTTGCCTTTTCGCGACTTTCCACGGGTCCCGCTACGTGCATAATCTACAGGCGCAGGAGTCCACGACTACTTCCTTCGCGTGCTTCCTCCACCGCAGGCAGCAACGCAATGCCCCCTTCTTTCCTCCACTCCTCGTCCTGACGCTCCCTTCCCTCTTTCCATCCCTCCCTCCCTCCCTCCCTCTTTGGCCACAGCTTCCGTTTCCTATCCGATTACGTACCGATTCAAGAAGCTAAGCCCAACAAAATCCAAGGCAATGTGCACAGCTTTGGCAATCATGTCGTGGGCGTGCCCACGACACACTGATCCATTTCTCAAATCGACCAATCTATCGATCAGAGGCCGAACCGATCATCCCCATGCAGCTCTCGCGACGGAAGACGCCCACCGGCCCACGCTCGGCGCATCTGCAGAAGACGAAATTCAGCGCTCGCGCTTTCAATTTCGCCTGCCGTGCAATCACGAGCGCGCTCTCTCAAGCCACAAACCCTCCACACCTCCCTGCCCCTGCCCCTTCCCCTTCCTTCCTTCCTTCCTCCCTCCCTCCTTCCTCCCTGTCTCTCGCTCTCTCGCTCCCCCAGTCTCCACTCCCGCCAGGTTTTAGGGTTTCTCGACTTCCTCCCAATTGCCTCGGTCTCTCGCCTCATCGTTCTGCCATTCCGGCCTCGAGCAGGTTGGTGCTTGTGGTAGGTACCCGCGTACGTGGACTCTAAAAGCGGACGGGTCCAGACTCTTACGTTTTCTGTGATCTGATTCGATTATTTCGGGCCGTGCTTCTTCGCTTCAGTCGCTGACACCGCACAATTTCCGCTTGTTCTATAAGACGAACTGGAGGAAGGAAGGAAGGGAGGGAGGGAGGGAGGAGGAGGAGGAGCGCAGACTGGCTCACTCATGAGCATGGCGAGCGATGATTGACCCGCACATCGACTGCCTGCCTGCTTGCCAGTAGCGGCAGCGTTGCGTAACCGTCTTCGTCGGCCCTCCTTCTCGCGCTTTCCGTTGTCCTGCCGCAGTCTCGCACTTGCGTCTGATTGTCTCCGACGGAGACTCTGATTTTCACGGTAGCGTTCTGGTCGTCCCGGCAGCAGCCCCCGCGTTCAAGGCGTTTGCGGCCGACGTGCACAGTTCGCATGTGCGCTCCTGCGCGGTGGCTGCGTCCCGGAGTCCGACTGTCCGGTTGTCCTATTGTCCGGGACTCGTGAATGTTGCCCTTTCCTTAAGAATGATTAATTCTCTCCTCGATCGATTTAATCGTAAGAAAATCATTTCACCGCGACTTTACCGGTTCAGACTCTTCCCGGTGCGGGCTCTTCATCATGCATTTCGCTGGTCTTAATTCTCTCAGTTCATTTACATGTTCTGTATATAGCAAATTCTAGTAACTCATCTTCCAGACTAGAAGGGCAAGTAGTAAGCATAGCTGCGAAGACAACTTTAACTTGGAGCCTTTAAATTACGTATAGGTACACTACTCTTCCGATAACGAACAACACATATAAATGAAAAAATCTTTACATAAATATTTACATCATCTACAACCGTAATGTATCACTAGAATTATCATATTATATCTATGTTTCCAATCCTCAAGATGGTAATTTTTGTTATTTATTCAAGTATTTTAATCGAAATATCATGAACTTAATATTCTCATGTATACCAAAGACCCCAAATTTTATACAAATACCCATGATTCATTGAACGTAGTGCGAACGAATACTTCGGTTTTACTTGAATCGATATGTGAACATATGAGATAAATAACAAGATTAATTTAAGTGATAGGAAAGAATATAATAGCAATTTACAAATCTTGAAATAAAAGAAACAAAAAATTAACTACGAAAATTAGAGCTGTTTTTACGATCCAATTGTCTCATTAAATCGAGATCAAGAAATTGTAAGTTTTTAGAATTTTGCCGTGCTATGGATGTGCAAGGGTTTAGGGTTTAGGGGTTTTAGTAATATTTGGTAATATCGTAATATTCATAGGACCCAGGAATCAAATAATAAAATAGATTATAACTATATTGATACCACAAACATGTCAATTTCATGTTTCTATCATGTAAGAGCACCTTGCGTGTATCATGTTTAATTGTAATAAAATATACATCTTGCACTTTAATCAGTACACGGCACAATCTATACAGTGATTACAAATTTAGGAAATTGGTAGGAGAATCAGCACTATAGCTCGAAACTTCTGGGGATTTTCAAACATCTTCGTGCCTAATATTAACGTGAGTGTATTATCCCGCCGGAATTAGACGTAGGAAGATATATGGATGCTATACGAAGAGACAACTAGCTTCCTAAGCTAAATAATTTCATGAAAATTCACATGAACTAAGCTTATACAGGTACATATCTTCATTTCTTTGGGAAGAGACAAAGCACATCAACTATCATAAGAAGCAGCACCTCAAACCTAACAAGATTGAGCGTGGCTTGACTGAATTTTTGTAGCTATCTCTCGAGGGTTGAGGGTGGGGTGCATTCTACTGGAAAATCCAAGTGGCGCCTTTGTTGGCTTCACGGCAAAGAGAAAGGTTAAGAAGCGGGCTGTACACTGTATTTCAAATTTGGAAATTATGGACTATTTTTGTTTCTTGCAACGTCTATTCTACAAAGAAACGAGTGAGTTCTGACTCGTAAAGAAGTCGTTTCAGCTTCCACATACAGTGCAGTAATTATAGAAACATAGGCCACAAAAGTCAAACCAGCTCCAGCCCAGCTTCCGCCATCTCTTGACAACATACTGTAATGGTACTCACATGAATCTATGTTATGTCGTGTTAATCGAATGCATGAATGTCAATTTTCTACCGACCATCTTATCAAGCATATGATCCACAGCTTATGATTCATGTTTACATCTTCAGCCTTCATAAAGCTTGCCCCATACCACTTCAGCCCATCGAAGCAGGAAATTCTGATCCTTTTGACATGGGGTTGGTACATATACCCGTCCCCGCTTCTCCGGGTTCCTCCTACCAAGGCCTTCTTATCGTCAAGACTATCCCCTGTTTCCTCGATACGGGTTAAAACCACTACAATTGGCATGCCATAAATAAGCCAGTACTTTATGAAGGAAACCGGCTATGCCCGGACCGAAGGACAAGGAGGCCGGCTAAAAATAAAAATCGACAGGAGTTGGCGGAAGAAGAGGTTTCATGAAGAAAGTGGCTTTGGAGGAAAAGAAAGGAGAGGGAGAAGGAGAAGGGAACGGTACGATGTGAGAGGAAGGGAGGGAGGGAGGAGGGAGGGAGGAGCTGATCGGGCGGGCTTTAAGGACAGTCGGATCACAGGGCTCAGAGCGCAAGAGGGGGCGCGGACGAGGACGAGGAGGAGCGTGGGGCCGCTGGCGCAGTCACGGTCAAAGAAGGAGGAACGACGACGACGGAGGAGGAGACGGCGGAGGATTGATTGGAGGACGCCGGAGACGAGCGGGGACGGAGCATTCTTGTGACGAAAGACTTCTTGAGCTGCTCTCGTGGCGCCGGTGGCTGGCTGGCGAGCTTCATTTCTTTCTCCTGCTTCGATTGATCGGGTCGGCCTCGCGCAGATTGGAGCATGAGCGGGACGCAAGGGAAATGAAAACTTTCTTCGAGTTCGGGACCGCGATCGAGCAGCAGCAGCAGCAGCAGCGTCAGTGCCAGCGCCAGCGCCAGCGCTCGTCCTCTTCCGTGTCCGAGGACGAAGCAGTAGCCGGGAGCAGCAGCAGCAGCAGCAGGGGGCAGGGGGCAGGAGCAGCGAGAAACGAGGGCGGATCGAGCGGCTAGCGATCCGATCGGATCGGATCTATAGTTCTTGTTGGGGAGGAAAAAACGTGGAGGTGCCGGAGCGGAGGTCGAAGTTGGAGAAGAGGAAGTAGGTAAGGAGGAGGAGGAGCAGGAGCAGTACACGCAGGCGCGAGAGCGACAGACCGACGAGCAGCAGGCGACATGAATACCGCAGGTTCTTTGCCCGGAGCCATGGGGCTTGGGTTCACCAAGTTGTCCAAGGGCTTGGCAGCAGTGCTGGTGGCGGGTTTCGTGGTTGCCAAAGCTTTGCCGTTCACCGTCGACTATTTGGCACTCGTTCCTGGAAAGACAATCCCGTTCACTTGGAATCTAGTCACCGCGGGATACTTCGAACATACGTTCATTGGCTTAATTGTCAGCATCGCGGGAGTATTGTATTATGGCCGGTTGTTGGAACCTGTGTGGGGATCGAAGGAGTTTGTGAAGTTTATTGCATTTACCAGTTTCTTCACTACGATTTGCACATTTGTTACTTCCATCTTTCTTTACTACGTGACGGGACACGAAAATCTTTTGTACACGCCAACAGCTGGATTCCACGGAGTTTTAGCTGGCTTTCTGGTCGCCGTGAAGCAGATTTTTCCTGATTATGAAATTAACGTCCGACAGGTTATCAAGCTGCGTGCTAAGTGGCTGCCTAGCTTCTTGGTGCTGATTGTGCTCGTGGCCAGCTTTTTCTTGGACAATCCCATTGTTTACGTTCCTTTCATCGTTTTTGGAACTTACGGAAGCTGGATTTATCTCCGATTTTTCCAAAGGAGGTCGGAGGCCAATTTTAAGGGCGATGCCAGCGACGAGTTCGCATTTGCTACCTTCTTCCCAGAGATTGTCTCGCCAGTTGTGAAGCCCATAGCCATCGTGTGCGGAAAGCTGTGCTGTGGCAAGAGAGCTCAAAATTTAGACGGGCAAGATCCTGCCTACGTCTTGGGAGGAAAGCCTCTTCCGGGTTCTGACCCAGCCGAGGCTACCCGCAGAAGGGAACGTGGGGCTCGTGCTTTGGAGGAGAGACTGAGTGCCGCCTCGAAATCAGATGAAGGAGTAGGTGGTAAGAGCACAGGTAGTTCGCAGATCCCACTTGAACCTTTGGGACCTGAAGATAGTGTCTGAGTTACTCTGCAGCTGAAGATGACGATACGATCTCCTCACCGGGGAATGCCTCCTTGATCAGGACATGTATTTGCTATTTCCTTGGTAGCTGTTTTACATTCAAGTTGTGAATGTCTTTGCGGAATTCATTGGCCTAAGATCAAGAAAAGAAGACATTTTTACTTGTGCTTATTCACATAGACACCATTGCTTGCAAGACCAATCCTGAAGCCTTTTGCTTTCTGAGCAAGACTCAGTATCTCATGTTCGGAGAGAGCCGGTTCGGCCACCAGGTTAGAGCTCCTAGCAGCTAAGCTACGATAACGAATCGATGCATTTGAAGCCTCGTTCAGGTTTTGCTTTAAATCATGTCAGAGTTTCTTTCTCAATTCTGAGAGCATGGGGAAAGAGGGATACAAGTGTTCAAGGACTGCGAACCCAGTATCATATTTCCTTCTCTGAAGGGCATTCTCGTGTGTTAGAGGAACATCTAGAGTGCATACCCGTCAAGATTAACAGAGAGGACCAGTTAGGTATTAGGTCTAGTTCGTTTCTATGCGAAAGAGCGAAATAAGGTCCACTTTTTCAAGAGATGTAGTATGTAGGTTTTACAGGATGTGTCATCGCACCTATGGTGAGAATATAGAGGGCAGAACGCTGCATTGTGATGGAACAGGGGTTAATCATGCACACGAAGCCTTTTGGTTATGAATGATGAGTCCTTCTATTTGTACCACCATGGATTGCAGAATCGAGGAGAGTCATGAGATCTGCATTGTGTCGTCCACTGTCGTTCGTGGTCATCTATCCCATTGTGAAGTGGTTAATGGCAAGAGTCCCTAATAAGCGCTTTGGCAAGATGTGTATTTAAGACACCCTTTTTTGCTTCTTCGCAAGCAGTTTGGACGAATTGTGAGATTTGTAGCTTGATCATGTTTCAAGCGGTTGATGGAGTTCTGTCCAGGATTTTTCGACTGGTCATAGTGCATCAGAATGAGGTGCTTATTTGGTCTAGATTATCCGCAAAATGTTTTTTCATCAGCCTTGAAATTCTTGGTTAAGTTCAGATATCTTCTTCTTGTGATTGTGTTCACGTGCCTGCGGGTCATTAAGGGGAGAATTCCTATAACGCTTTTATTCGGGCATATAATAAGGTTCATACAGTTAATGGATAAAGAAGTCGTTGTTGCTACGTGTTCGTATGCAGAGAGTGCGGTTGAACTTGTATATGTCATGTATAGATATGGTAAACAGATTAGGCCCTTGCTCGCTGGTCCGAATCAGTACTTTCATCGGCTCGTTATCGAGGCCTATCCCAGCTATCTGTATTTTCTGGAAAAGGACACACCGTTCTCACTCTTTTTAAGGCATGAAGTGATGGAAGGGCTCTTGACTGTTTCGAACTGAACGCAAAGAATGTTCAGCTAAGTCGAACTACAGTAGATTTCAATGCCAGTTTGTTTTTAAATGTAGAGAAGAGGAGTACTGAATACCAAAATGCCTACTAATCTCATGGGATGCCTCATGAGGTCAGTAAGTGGCTTTTTCCTGTCTTCTAATCTAGTGGAACGCCTTGGGACTTTTCGGTGTCATCCCGTGAGTTCAGTAAACAGGAACACCACTTAATATGTGGCAGGTAAAGAAGTGTGCTGACGGAGTTCGCAGGAAAAGAACGAATTTCGAAAGGGTGTACGCTGCGACATGTCTTGGAACTATATGAGTGATACTACAAACGTGTCTCCTTACATTCACAAGGCAGGGAAAAGCTTCCAAAGCAGTCACCGTAGAAAGGTGAACACTTCGTGAGTCCATAGTGAACTATTATATGCAACGCATGTACAACTAATATTTCCCTCTAGGAACAACCAGAAATGAGAGAAACCCGGACATATGCGGAGTACAAAGTTGTTTCGAAAAGTTACGTGTACGAAGTCGACTGATGTCGATTGGTCGAGTTGCAAGAAGACATGACTAACATTGAGGATGAAGGATGCCTCAAAACCTTTGCACGCATCAGTCGAAGCGCAAGGGCATAATCAGTACAGGTCTTGTCACATAATATGCAATCAATGTTGTGACGAATATAATTATGGGCAGGGGCACTGCCTCATGATTACATTTTCTTGAACCCAGGACATAGAACAATGAGACATTGGAAAATATATGAAATAAATTATGGCTCGTGACATTATCAAGTTGTTCAAAGTATGCTATCAGTGTCATTACCCTACACAGTCAAATCAAAATCTCGACATATGTTTGATGTGAAATAATTCTCGCGAGGATTGCAGCGTTCCTTCGACTGGTTATGGGTGATAAAATTTCCTTGCGCAGTATGTACGTAACCAATTTGTTTCACACTCCACGCAAACCTGCACTCGATCACACTGAGGTCACCACCACTTCCTCTTCTTATGCCGTTTTCTCTTCCACTTCTTCTTCCTCTTCCTCTTCCTCTTCTTTCTTCTGCCCCGACTTCCACCTCCGTCGTTATCTCCGTCACTACTACTGCCCTCGCCACCCCCACTCCTCCTGCCGCCGAATAATATGGTGAGGCATCCACACAATAGCTTGCAAATCATGGCAATGAATGACAAGACAGTCGATATGATAGGCCCCAAAATGCCGGCTTGATGCAACAACCAGGCAAAATATATCACTGCAATCAGCAGAAAGTGACGATGGTAAGAGCTACAAGATCATAAACTTCGAGCATCCAGGCTTCGGTCACAATTCTTAAAGAAAGAAAACCTTGGTTCTGCAAACTGCAATGGGGTGGGTCAACGCACGTACATATTATTGCAGCAATGACGTACATAACGAACGATAGTATCTCCTTCCAACATAAGGTGGTCACGTAGCACTTGAAGTCTAGCACTATGTTTGAGCACTCACTGCAATCGTGGAAACTTTTGTCAGCTCAAATGAAATATGGCATTCATTAGCTTCATCGAAAAAATCGTAGGTACCTGCCTAATCTGTTAAGGTAGGGGTTATGTAATTAGCACCATCTACATACTGCAGTCAGATAGGCGGTAGTTTGGAATCAAAGTATGAGTTGTATTAAACATGTCATCTGATGATATAGGATATGTCAGCAAGCGTACTCATTACTCTACTACCCTCTGGAAGTTGCTCAGTATTTGTGAATTTTCAGTCATGTTTGTGTAGAGAGCTAGGGTGCATATATAGCTTTCTACTGCAACACATTCTAATCTTGTTTAGCTGCGGTGATAGTGTGAAGACCATATATATAAGCAGTATAAATCACTACATCAGTGATTTCCATCACATTTGGCAGAAGAATTGTTATTACAACTCTTCTGACCTCGCTAGACCTGTTTCATGAGGACAACTCTTTTCGATTATTCCAACTCATTTAGTAGCTTATCTGAATCATACTCGCAACCCAGACAAGACACGATTGGTTGTCTCCATGATTGGGCCTTCAAGGGGCAAACATGAAACGAGGAGGAAAGAACAGACAACCTACCCACATGGTGTCCAAGTGAAAATGTTATATAGGCTGAAGTTGCCTGAACCGGTTGGCGTTCCTGGTGCATCAGGGCACTTTGCAGTAAACCCATTCTCGTCTAAGTCCGGTATAGTTTGTGATGAATACTCACACCTGAAGGTAGATTGTCCTCCTGTCGAGGACTCTGATTCTAAGGTATTTTTCGGACACGAGAACCAGCAAAAATTGAAGGTCGTATTGAATACGCCGAACCACTTCGTATAGTTGAAAAGACTATAAATCCAGTTGAACAATGAAGAAGAGTTTTTACTGTTTGTGCCAGTAGCTTCAGCTCGCAACAGAAACGCAAGCTGAGAGGAAAATATATTGAAAGTGGACTGAATTAGTTATCCAAACATAAGAGATCGAAAAAAGATTCGAGCGAGTAATAGTTATCACCTATTTATTGGGGAATCTAAATATGAATTTTTTCCCTCAGAACAACTAATTATGGTCTCTACATATCTCAAATGATACATTGGCAAGGTAAGTTTAATTCAGCCCATAGACGGACATCAAACCATGTATATCCACTTATGCCTTTTCAATTGTGACTAGTTGATCGTAGATTAAAGTGCCTACCTCGTCTCGTGATGGATAATCAAGTTTGACCTCAAAGGTGTCGGTCTTGTCACCCATGTTGTCTTGAAGGAAAACTGCACACGACCAGTTCAATCGATCAAGAAACTGAAGAAAAAGACTTTTCTCTGGTTCTGTTAAAACTCTCACAAGCTTTCCTCACAACAGATAGTTCGTACTGCATACTTGTATTACCTTTGCAGGTGCTGAAATATGAAGAGTCATCCGTTTCGCTAACATTGAAAGTGAAAGAAGACAATGTATTTCTTGGTTTTAACGACCTCACTTCTACCTGAAAATCGTCATCTATCCACAGCTTTACATTAGCATTCTTCCGAAAATCAGAACATAAGCTGCAGTGCTGCCAGAGCAGCAGGGGCATTATAGGTTTGAGCAGATTTAATCTTATTCAGAGCAGATTTTTGCACCACCAGGGTTGTTGATGTCAAGCTGGGTGGTCCAGACATTCTGTGTAGGGCTTCAGACTAGAGAAAATGGTCAACCGAGGGGATGGCACTGGCAGAACATTTCATCTCAAAGTTCCGTTCAAAAGATCCACAGGTAGAGGGTAGACTTACGGTAGAAAAATTTAGTAGAAGAGGGCATTCCTCCGTCTATCATAGCACAAAACGGCAACTCATATCGTGAGAAATCCATAATCATTGTAAATTTTACTGGTAGTTTTAAAGTTTACTTCCTAGTCAATGACATAAGTTTACCATATGTAGCTTTCATATAAGCAAGGTATGTGTAAAAAACTTGCATGTAAGGTGAAGTTTGCTGTTTTCTTGCCCGCGTTCAATATCTCCACCTTCAAAAGTCCACCACTAAGGTGGGTTTGGGTAGACTCGAAGGATGCCTCCATGATTTTTCCTGGGCTCCTATCTCCATCCATCCATTGTCAAAAATCACAGAAGGTTTTCGACCTTCTCCTAGGCCTAAAGGAGATGTGGATGGGAAAGTCGACGGGTGTTGATTGTTTTGCTTGAAAGTTGCCAAATTGTTCGTAGCTTATATACTACTTGCATGATCACAACAAATCAAATCTGCCAGGCTTGAAGTTATCACGACATTATGTACTATCATTAATATGTTGTATTTCATTATGTATTGGGCATAATACATCGACAGCCCTCATATTCATCAAAAGCTATCAACCGAGACTGAACGATGGTATCAGTTCAGCTCAAAGTAGCCGATAAGCATGACTAAAAAATACAAGCCTTCCCACCTGTGCACAAAGTACTTCAGATCGTCGGCTTTCACTTCCAGAGTCAGCAGTGAAGTAACTGTCTGATTTGTAAGCAGATTTAAAGTTGAGTTGTGAGTCTGAAAGCGAGTAAGATGTCAGTAAGATGTCAACTTCATGAAGAGACAAAGGTGTAGAGAGATAGACGCAAGGCACTGAACTACTGAAATCTTGCAAATAATGAATGTTCTAACTCGATGTTAGGTTCTTATCACTGCTTTTCACTGTAGAAAACTGGCACCTGGTGGCTTGCAAAAACTTTGCCATGTCGAGAAACCGCATAAAGGGGAGTTTCTCCGTTTGCTAACCTTTCACTTTCATCCTGGTAACAAGTTCAAGATATTGTCAACGTAGAAGCACCAGCAAGCTGCTATCCATTAGCTATAAACAGTAAACCGTAAACTATAACCACGACCTTCGTAAGCTCCACACGCTGGGTTTAAGACTAAGTTTCCTGGAAGAAGTATTCTACAATTCTTGCATCAAGTCTGTATTTCCAACTAACCTTCGCAAATTTGTCAAGTTGGTTGCTGCAACAAGATTGGAAACCGTGATTGCATGGCTGGGGTTGCAATCGAAATGCACTATGTGAAATACCAATTTTGTCACAGTCTCTGCCGTCGAGGGTATAAAAGCTCTTTGGCAACGTCAGCCATTTGCTGGTGTTTGTCGTTAGATCAATCTTTCCCTAAGCAATAGAGAATCATTAACAGAGAGTTAGTGCGGAAAGAAAAATCATGATTGCTGTCAAGTAGTACTTTTAAGAGATTCAGAACAGGTGATCATGCTTTTGTCACCGTCTGAAACAACCGACGACATCTACTGCCCCAAATCAGTTGTCAAAGTAGAGGATCAGAACAAGGGAAAACTGTAAATGGGGACAACAGCTTAGTGGACCTGGAAATGTTCTCTGAGAAGAATGCAGTAACTGATTTTGGAAAAAAAGGACACTCTAGCCTCTAGAATCTGTAATTGCGGCTATACTAATCTTCTTCACGTTATTCATGAAGAACATAAGTATGTAAATTGCTAGAGATACGCTTGTCTTCTGAACTAGCTCATTTTTCCGATCTGGATTCTCCTTGTAAAAATACCTCTCTTCAGTATTTGTGTTTAAATTGTCCTGCTACTTATTCATTTTGATGGTATTCTTTCGTAGTATAAAAGGTAGCGCGCAGATGCGCTTGTACTGCTTCTGGAAAGGAGAGGAATTATATACAGGGAATTATTAATTGCTCATTTAAGTGTGCTCAAGTTTGAGCCTATCAGCAAAGAACTTGGACTCAATCGAGAACTTGAAGACAGCTAATTTTGTGGCTGAGTTCAAAACTAATCACCTTTTCGTATGGTATTGACAGATATTGATCTGCCAAGTCAGGTGGTTCTGTGTTCATAATACTAAATGCTTGTAGTTTACCCTTCATCGTCCTCCTGGAGTTGATGTCGACCCTCAGGTGAGATGTTACCTCCACAGAATCCTACGTACGAACAAGTGACATGAAAATTTCCTCTCTTCGGCATGCAACTCCCATAGATCACAGATTTCATAATCATACCACCGACAGACTGGCTAACAAGTTACGATAACCGCCGGCAAATTACGTTGTATTTTGACTTTATTACAATTTTCCCGTGTACCCAAAGTAACCCTGAACTATGAAATTAACACCTCATAGTTTGGATTTATTTACTTCTCACGATCTTAAAGAAGTCAAAGTCCTTGCTTCTTAAAAGTAAGCTCTGACCATCAGTTGTTAGCCGCTTGTCTTTGGCTACTTGCGGATTTTATCAAAACACGATGCTGGAGATGCAAATCAGTAGGACCTCGACCAAGGAGCTTTGAAGCGTACCCCTTTTTAAACTTACAAAGTTTTGACTGAGGCTAGAAACCTCTCGACTTGAATGTGCCAAATCCGTCTTAATTCTGATGGTGAAAGTTTGGTTGGACAACCCTACTTGGTATGTAGGGTACCTGGGAAACTCACATTCACATATTCGTCAAAAACGCTGGGAAGGCATGATTACAGTAGAAAGAACTATCGGTACTTCTATCACAGGTGATAAAAGTATCGGTAGGAAGAAAAATGAATTTAACTCGATAGAAAAAAACATGCTGGAGTACTGGATCTGTACAACCTTCCAAGTTTCAGCTGTACGTCCGCAAGGTGCAGATATGAATCCGGTAGTTTTGAAACGATGTACAATCTAGGCTTCAGCGTTCACATTTGTTACAGTCCCAGCTCTATGCTGTAACTATAAACTGTTGGTGTGGCAGGGAAATAAATGTCCAACCATTGTGTAGAATACCGAAGACAGTGTGCGCTCCCTCGTCTTCTCCATGGTAACAGATTCAAAACTACGCATACAGGTCAAACTCAGTGGCAAGTTATGTTTATCTTGATTCAGACTTCACATATGACGAACATAACCTTTGTTTGCCTGCGTCAATTAATACCGCAAACAAATCACTTTATAGCTAATGCAGATCCCTGGACATCTTCTCTCTGCAATTACAAGAAGATATTTTACTCTGTCTGGTTAGGAAAATTTATCTAAATTTGCCGTTTTCTTCACAACCTCGCGTCCTCTTGAAAGAGAGGTCGTCTAAGGAGTTTGAGTGTAGATCCGATCATGGGCTCAGACACAAAACCATCCCAATTCAGCATTAGTTTTATATACTCAGTCCCTCACATGATAATAAGGTACTGTTGCAGTCCTGTTTAGATCTTCTGGGTAAACTTTCTCCTCCTAGCCAAGGTGGAAGTTTGTCTTTCACGGTGCATAAGCAGCAAAATCCCTGCATAGCCGAGATAGCATCAAGGAGCATACACTCCAACGCTTCATCCACATACACTGTGTGGAAATGTAAGAAAGAGTGTACACTAAAAAACTCCAACAGCAAAGGGACAGATGATCACTAAACACAACCGCGATATCAATTCAGCTACGTCAGAATTGCAACCAATACCAGCTTGGTGAAATTGGTTACCTGGCTGTCCTTCACCTTTTCTCCAGCTTTGTTGTATAGCCTGCAGATCCAGCACTCATATGTGTTGGTTTCATCTAACTGTAAGCCATATTCTGCTCTTCTGACCACAACCGCGCGGAGGAACTGCGACACTAGGCAACATTTGAATATCTAGCTGATACTTTTCTCAAAGTACACCGCCTTCGCTCTGCCTGTAGCTTTACTGTAAGTCCACAGAGACTAGCAAAGCAGGACAAATATTTTACAAGTTGCTTACATGGACATTTGATACACAAGCACAATCAAGATTATGCTTATCATATACGGATGTAACGTGGAACAATGAAGAAGAAATATACCACCCACAATTTGGAGTTTTGTCCTTGCTATCATCTTTGCAGTTATGCGCAAACGATTCAACCTCATGGGGATTCCCATTAAAAGACTGCAAAGAAGACATGTCACTGTACAAGCGGTCAATTAGAGTGGATTTACATGCCACATTTAATGTTGTGTATTGCTAATTCGGGAACGTAATAAGATCGGGAACAGAAAGTTTTCGTAAATGTGGAACATCACTTTCGACTCTGTATGATCCCATCTCTATCGGTCATGAGGTTGTGCCTCTGGAGATAATTGAGCTGCTCGATACATGATAGCTAAACTTTGGCTAGAAGCGTTGTAGTGGGAAAGAAGTGAAAGCAAGTGTAGGATGCTTGTACTATCTACAATTGCATGTGTTGAACTGCAACAGTTAAGCACCAAACTTCAAGACTTGGTACTGACCTGTAGAAACTGAAGAGGATACTGAACATATATGTCGCTCTTATACATGGTTATTCGGTAAGGCTCTTCAAGGTCCCTACTTCCACCATTGTACTCACGCACTTGTGTTACAAAAGTTTCAATTGTGTCACTCTCTCCTGACTGCGCTTGCAAACGAGCTTAGTAAGGCACTGATGAACCTGAACCCCAGCGCCTCTTCAAACTCCGTTTGCGCACAGATTTCGGGTTTATACATATATTGACATACCGTTACCTACCAGATCGTTTCTCGACAAAAAGACTGAATGAAAGGAATTAAGGTCTACAGGAAACCCACCCGGGTTGTGGGGCTACAGTGAGAAATTCTCGTTGAACTACAGTGGCAGCTTCCAAATGTTCAAGTGGCTTGGTTTAATCTTAATCAAAGTGCTTATTTGTGAGTCCTGACAGGTTGTTCTTTGCCAACAGGAGGATTGGACCACCCTGGCGAGTTGCATAGTAGTACCACATCGCTAGGACGCAGGATGAGCATAAATATCGGTTGCGTGCTTCTACTGAAAAAAGCAAAAGTCTGATACTTTCTCTGTAAGACCAAGGTGACAAACCGAATTACAATGCAACCAGCACTGAGCCACATTGAAGCAGAAACGCGAGGGTAAGCCTTAATTATTCAGGCCAACAGAGCTTTTCACGAGTTACAACTCACCTTGCCGTTATCAATCGAGAAATGGAGCAGCATTTTTTTGATGCAATCAATTTCCTTCTCAACCTTTTCATGTTGATGGCGTGTGCAATTTACGAGCCAGCTCGATAACAGTGCATCACTTTTAACTTTTTCAAAGACAGGAAATAGCAGCAGGACAAGATACAGAATAATCCTCGACCCTGTGCGCAGACAACTGGTTCCGTCACTGCTCTTTTCCATCGCTGTCGTCGTCTAATACTGTCTCCACCTTTTCTTTCTCCTCATTTTTTCTCACGCATCCAAATCTGACGTGGCCGAGTTTTCTGGAAGCGCAACCGTGTCTACCGCTTTGTTCAGGTTCAATAACTTCCCAAGCCGTAGTAGCGCATGTAGCTTCCCCTGCACTGTCTGGAGGGCTTCGAGTCACCCGCATGGACAGCTGGTTTTACCATGCTCTACATAAAATTAAAAGCTCCTCCGCGTGTGACAAACTTTTCAGAGCCAATTCGCAGTCTCCGCTGAAGGCTGAAATCCGTCTGGCTTCTCAACTTGCCGTTGCAAATGAGCAAATGAACGTACTCCTTCTCCCTGTTCTCGTATCACATCAGTCTCAGACATTAGCTCGGGGCAGGAATATTCATGTTGTCATCGACTGGCGTCCGGCAGCGGTAATTGACTCCTCCCGTGATGTTTTGCCAGTTGTCTGGTCTGTAACCTTAGGTTTGCGGAGGATCAGTGCATCGTGGATCGTTCCTTGCATACCGGGTTTATTTGATGGGCAGGCACCGTTGTGGTTCCGAAGGTTCTATGAGACCTAGAATTTGGTGAAGATTACTGGAACCTCGGTTTCCGTTCCTTTCACATCGACGATGTCCCTCAGGCGTGGTATAAGCGCTTCGAATTGACAGAATGTACATTGCTGAGTCGGCCGATTTTTTGTTCCATTGCTCTGTGAACGATCTTGTCTTTCTGAATGCGATGCTTGAATAGCCTGAGGGCCTTGTGCCTTGTTTCGAGGTATCACTTGGACCGCACTCGATTTGGGTGTGAGAAACACGTGTGGCAGTTTTGCTCGTTCAATTTGAAGCCGATTTTATCTGTTTTGATCGTCGTGTGAAAGGTCTAACATCAAAGACAGGGGACATGATGTGTATTCTCAAGACTCATTACAAATGATTAATTTCACACTCGGGGGTGTGCCACTCACTCACTCATTCTTACACTTTATGGTGCAGGCTCCGGATCCATATGACGATGACACCTCTCCAGTCGATCTACAATGTCATATACCTGTGCCTTAGATCGAGGTGCGCCTAAGGTGACAGCCCTGACTCGCATCCGGTGAGACCTGTCGTACAAGAAGGAAAAAACACGACAGGATTGCCGGTGGCTTCGTTGATCCAGTGTCATGGGCAAAACCCCACACCTAGAACATGGAGGCCATCAGCTGGCCGCATAGAGCTTACAGCGGGGTCACGAGAGACAAAATTGCACTTCAGGACTCCTCAATAACACATAATCTGACACAAAGTACTGTTGTCCAGGTGTCTCTGAGCAACTACTTGTCGAGCACAGAGCACACACATCCATCAACAACTCGGCGCACTGTTCGCTGCCCACCATTTCTGACGCCCTCCAACGGGGACCTATCGACCAATCATTATGACAGAGGCCTGCGGAAAAAGACTGCTGCCTCATCCCGCTCGCCCTACCCCAACGTTCCCCCGGAGCCCCTCGATCCCACGTTACTCGACTTCTCGACGTTTCTGCCCCCCACGAAAGCCGTCTTTCGGCTCCCCTCCCCCCCCCCCCCCCCCCCCTTTCGTTCCTTCGCCCATGCAAGACTTCGTGTCCGTCTCTTCTGCTCTGCCATGATTCCCTTCGCGCAGCCCGAGCCAGCCAGCGACGCAACATGCCCCTCCCGAACCGAGCCCCCTTCTGCTTCCCAAAGCTCCCGGCGACGGACGCTTTCGTCGATGCGGTCCCGGCGTCACGTACCCCCCCCCCCCCATTCCGACGAAACGGACCTTTCCGTGCCCCTCTGGGCGCCTGACACGTGTTCCTTCTGCTCCGTGTCCCGAAGGAAAGCCCTCGGAAGGTCAAAGCAGCACGACTCCCGGTCCCTCTAAGCAGTCATTGTTGTATTACGTGGCTCTCGTTAATGAAGGATTAGAGTCCTTAATTACGCAGTCCATTTACGGTCATAAGCATTGCATGGTGATCAGACCGCTCCTCAGCATGCGCACAACATCTCCCTGGCCTCCAACGCACTCTACTCACATGCCTCGATGAACGGCGTGCATGTTAGCCCAAACATGGCAGATGAACCAAATGATGTCACCCCGAGAGCCAATCTGCGTTAGAGAAGCTTCACGATATTAGCACATGTCGAGGTCGCATCTTGTGGTGTGGTGGTAGAGGAAGACATCTTATTACTGTACTTACTTACTGACTCCGAGGCTCGGAGCCGCTTTAGATAAGATTTACTCGTTTCGAGAGCTTGGGAGAAGATTGGGTTTTGGTTTTAGTCTGAAGCTCGGAGTGAGATTGACTCCGAGCTTCGGAGTGTGTCCGGTCCGTGCTGACACGAGGGGGAGGGTCTTCGAGGGCGTCAAAAGCCAGCTTTTTCAGAGAGAGGAGGTTAGGGTTGTGTGAGAGAGCGAACACCGGCTGGATGGATGCCGAAGAATGCTTCGCCGGAGAGGAGATGGGTCTGTCACGTAGCGACTCGATTCCACCTAACATTGACCCGATTGTCAATGAAGGACAATGGGACTGCACCACGACTTGCAGAAAGCGTCCGTCAACATGCTCCTTAATTTGGATGAACATTTGCTGCACATTTCTGCGCCGGCTGTCGATCGGCTCGCCGGTCAGATGGCGCTCACTGACAAAGCCTTACAGCTTACGGCTCGTTGTGACCTCTACGAGCCCCATGCCAGGATTCCAGTCACAGGTTGGTGTGACCTGGTGATGGAAAGGTTTCCATTAGCGCTCGGATTCTTCGAGCCCTCGGCTCCGAGTTGGACAAGTTGATGATTGGGACCGCACTGGACTCTCACTAGGCTCCACATTAATCACATCGAATCCTCCTCACACAACATCAGATGCGGGCCGGACGTGGGGCCGGCCCGTGTCCTGGATGAGCGCACAGCCTTTCCAGCATACCCGTGACAAGAAAGCGATGGCGACGACGAGCTGGTTGACTCGACTCGACCCGACTCGACTCGACTCAACTTGGCTCGGCTCGGCTCGCTGTGCGCATGAGAAAAAAAGTCAATTTGCGAGATCTTCAGCGGCCTATAAATTATTATCACCTGGCTCGACACCTTAGAGATCGGGCGTCAATGGCACTGATGATTGACCGAATAAAAGCCACGGCAAATTCCGCCCGCGATGAGACAAAAGGCACCTGAGCCAGAGCCAGAGCCAGAGAGAGCCAGAGAGAGCCAGAGGCAGAGCGCGAGGTCGGAGGGAAATCGCCATATTCGGAATCAGAGTCATGAGAAATTAAAGAACCCGAAATCCGGAGGAGGAGGCCTCGAGGCCACAGCGGCGTGTACTGTATCAGGAGAAGATTTGCGCGCACGCAGAACGGGCGCCCGGGTCGGACAGTTACAGTACAACCGGCGCGGGCGAGCGACCGACCGGCGCCAGTTTAGCCAGGCTCCGAGCCTGGCTGGGGCCGAAGCGCAGGAGCACGAGGCAGGCGAGCGAGCGAGCTAGCGGAGCCGTGCCGACACACGGACGAGATTAGGCCGAGCGAGATGGAGGCCCATCGCGGTTGGCGATGGACCGGCGAGCGAGTCCACCCGGTGCGCCGGTGGGTGACGTCGGCCGAGCCCGAAGGCTGAGCTGCAGGATAGACAGTCAGACACACACACACTCTCTCTCACACAGAAGCCAGAGGAGAGAGGACAGCAGCATCGGCAGGCAGGCAGCAAGGCAGGCACTAAGGAAGGAAGGAAGGAAGGAAGGATGGAAGGAAGGAGGAGGGAGCGAGCGAGGGAGGCAGGACGTGGACACTGAGCAGAGGAGCTTATTGCTCGCATCTGTCTGGAGGAGTAGGCGTAGTGTGCGTGTGGGTTAGAGGAGGGAGGGAGGAAGAGGAAGGAAGGAAGGAAGGAAGGGAGGAGGTCCAGGAGCAGCAGAGAGGAGTGGAGAGGGTGGGGTGGGGGGAGTTGAGGTTGAGGGCGACAGCAGCAGAAGCAGCGCTGGTGGGGTGGTTCGTTCGCTCGGTCGCTCGTTTGTTTGCTCGATCCATGTACCGACTTTCCAGAGGGCGAGTCAGGACGGAAGGGAGGGAGAGATCGATCGGCGAGGTGGAGGAGGAAGAGTGCGAGGAGATCTGCAAGCGCTATCTGGTGAATTGGTCGATGCTGCTGCTGGGTTGAGGTTGAGGCGGAGGGCTGTGTGTGTTTGTGCGGGCTGAGGTTTGCAGGTGGGAAGGGAAGTGTGCCGCGATTGGCCGGGGCTGTGAGAAGGAGGAGAAGGAGGAGGAGGTGTGAAGAAGGGGGAGGGTGAGGTGGAGGAGGAAGCAGAGGGCGAGGCGAGGAGATGTTTGGGGAGGACGCGGAGGAGAGGATGTAGGGAAAGCTAGAAATGGGAGGGAGGGATGGACCAGGAGAAAGGATTATGCAGACTGGTCTTTTAGCCGAGCGATTGGTGCAATGCGGCAGTGGATTCTCAGAGTTGGAGCACGCTGTGTTCTGCCCTCGCGCAGTTGAAAGATGTCAGACCTGCATATCACATGATCATTGGGAGTCTGTTCGGCGACCTTGATTGATGCTTGTGGTCCTCCGTGCGCTTGATCTACCTCGGCCTGAGTTCCTCCTGATGGGAGCTAGAAAGTGTGGAAGAGTCGAGATATTGTTCCAGGGCTGCTTGTCAACGAACAGATTTTACAGGCTTTGATCCCCTTTCGGCGGGCCTTTTGTTATCCCCCCTCTCCATTACTTGTGCGATCGCAAGTCCTACACCACGAAAAGCGTGTTGCTGATCAGGTGTTTTAAATTTATTTGTAATTTCATCGACGGGAGTTGCTTGTCCCTCTGCTGCGAAATTTCAGTATCTATGTTACTTTGTCATCAGCCATACAGATAAGTTTTGGACACAGGAGCTCTTCTAGGAATTAACTTTATTCAACAAATTTAACATCATAGGTTGCCGGCAGGCGAAGATTTCTAGTGGCCCAGATTCGCCCCGAGCTAAAGAAAGTTCGAACCAGACAGGGCGAATGGCTGGGTTCATTCGCAAAATATTTGGTCATTTTGGGGGAAAAAAGGAAGATCATAGCAGGAAACAACCACAGGCGCAAGGACAATGGCAAGGGCAACCAGTGCAAAGGCCGGAAGCAACGGCACCAGGGGGATTTGGTGTCAAAGTTGCTGTGCCAGTGGAACCGGCCGTTCGTACACCTGTTGTGTCACAATGCACGTACGGAAATGGTGGTGTTCAGGTACTTCTTCAACGCCGTCCCTCTGTCATCATTGTTCAGCCGCGGCTGTCAGTATTTTAGTGGAAGCTCCTTTGCTCGGTGCATTCGTTACTCCTGTTCTCCTTGGAGTTTGCATCAGGAGGTGCATTCGAGAAAAGCTTTTGTTGCGTCTCCCTTCGGAAATCACATCGATGTTCTGTTCCGGTTTTTCTTCCCCTTCCTTCGCATTTCGCGTCGAAATTTCATGTCGTTGTCTACTATACTGACTTCTGCCCAATCGGTTTCCCGAGGTGTGGTAATGCTGCACATCCTTTCTTTTTTTACGTTTTGTGTCTAGTACCAGATTCATTTCGACATAGCTTCTCCTAAACTGATTGCTGGCCTCCATTGTTGCTGACGATGAGGAAATTTGGGATATAGCGACTCTGTATGCGACTTCACTGTATTTAGACGATCTGAGAGGTTTGCTGAACTTTTATAGGCCCCATGTGCTTCACTAGCTGGATCATGCTCACTGTCCCTTAGCTCTCAGCATTATCTGAAGTATTATGCTCTTCATGCCTCGAGCCTTATCTGAGATCTGATTACGATTTAAATCTCTTACTTTCATATCCTGCTTTCCTGCCAGATCTTGTCTTCTATCCTTTGTTGCTTTGATCCAAAAGTTCATATTACCACATGTCCTGTTATTTTACCATCCTATGGTTGGTATCATTCTGTGCAAGTTCATGTGTCACACATAGTTACTTTCTGATCACCAAACTTCTGATTTGTCAGGTAGTTAGTCCAGAAAAGCCGTTATAGCTACATAGCTTCAGTCTTGGCGATTTTCTTTTACTCCAGATATATTTGGTGCCTTAGTTACAAATGAACCGTATGCGCTTCTCTCAGTTAATGCTGAGAAAAGTGAGAGAAGCGCATACGGCATTATCCCTGAGTGTCCAAGCATTCTGTCAAGTAGTATGTGACTGGAATATTCTCTTCATCTTGTTACCGCCTTCTATTTCATTCAAGATAGGACTATTTTTTGTCTTTAAAGCTCCTGTATCAAGCAACATGTGAAAGATAACTCCTCTGTCTTGAGACTGGAGTTAACTGATGACTGCCACTTTTTCTCAGAGTCAATCTAGTCTGTTCCTGTGAAATGTGTCTTTTTTTGTTCTAACCAAGACCGATATGTGGATTGGATCTTCATTAGGGAAGTATTCATCATTTCCGTGGTGCTTTTTGTTGTTCTGCTCAATTACCACGATCGAGGACATTACTTTCATCATTTAGTATGTGAACTGGAAGTGTTGATTGCACACGTAGAGCTCACTGAAAAAGCAGTTATTCTGTATATTCTTTTCATGCCTTCTAGCTCAAATTGGAAAGTCTCAAAAAGCACATGTAGGCTTTGCTTCTGAATCGACCAAATGTTTGTTGAGAAGAAGTCTATCGACCATTTTTCGATACCATTCCATTCTTCACCTCGTTTTCAAGTCATTCTTGGTTCAATGACTTTGGGCATTTTCGCTGTTGAGTCAAGTTTGCATCACTTACTTGTAACAGAGTCCCATATAGTTCTTCTACTGCCATCTAGTTCATGTTATTGTAGTCAAGTCCAAGATATTTATAGGCCACGAAGGGTATAAAGGAAACTTTCCGGCGGAGTTGCTTTGCAAAAATATGTGATTTAAGACGTAAGGAAGCATTCAGGGGTTAAATAAGCTGTTTTGAAATATCCTGTGCTGGATTAAGTCTTACGCATTAGCTGCTCTTGGGTCTCCGAATAGTCGATCAGAGGATAACAGTGGGCAATGTTGGTATGTCGTACGATCTTGTGTCTTCTGCTCTTCTACTTGTTTGCGTTTTCCTTTGTAAGTGTTAAGACTTAATTCTACTTAGTCGTTGGTTATGCGCACTCAGTTTTCAGTTTCCCATTGAACATGCTAGAATCTCTAAGTTGGGAGTGATTCCAGGATTTCAGTTTTGGTCACCAGATCCACATAATGCACTGTGGATGGTTCATGAACACATTTCCTCAAGAGCATCTATCGTTAACCCAAGACTTTACTGATTGACATCTTTGTCTCACATCTTGGTCCAAATCTTTATGTCGTGTCTCGAAATGTTTTCTACGATGTTGAACTGTAGTTGCACTCTAATTTCAGTTGTGATTTGCCAAAGATTTCATGAACGTTCACTTTGCTTAGATTTGCCCGAGATGGTTTGTCAAATCAGTTTCTATCATATGATTCCACTAGTATATTCTTCTTCTAACGTCGTTGATTCTTTCCCCCTCGTTGCATTTGTCGTAATTCTCTCTTCCTGAGTGCACTGGTCAGAACTGACTACGCTACTAGTATCTTGGTAATTGTCGTACTGATTTCACTAGCTTGAATTCAAAGCCCAAAGCGGCTACTTCTTTTAATCTTAGTTATGGGGCTCTCAGAGTCGTCAGGTGGATGAGGCCGCAACGTGTTTACCAGTTGAGACCTCGACATTTCAGATTAATCTCATTTATTTGGAAGGATCCCATTACAAGAGACCTTTTACACTCTTTAGTTGTCCTCTCTCGTTATCCTCTTATAGGTTATTCTCAGACAATTGTTTTTTCCATCCGAAACTGATTCTTTTATTCTCGGACGTTGGATCAGTTGTTCCGTTCTTGTATTTTAGTCAAAAGGTGTTTAGTCTAATCATTCGACCGGAAATATTGCTGCGAAGGTAGTTACAGGATGTCATAAAAAAAAAACTGAACGCAGTGCCAAACTAAATCTGTACTTACGCTGCTTTCTGGACATGCAGGGACTGAGATGGTACGCAGATAAATTACGAGTTGATGATGACGGTGATGTTGCACAAGAGTTTCTCAGTGAAGTTATTCCAGAAACTCCTGGACCATACAACACGAGAAGGCCTCCTAGATTTGAGTCCGTCCCGCGAACAAGGCCTGTGAAGTTGAAGGGAGATGTATGTACACATGACGGCAATGTCCACCAGCACGTTGAATCCCCAATTGGGAGCCATTGGGCATAATGAGCTCCCGAAGAAGCATTGGTCATAACAACCTTATACAGAACTGAAGGTCAGTTCTATGCAGATTTCTTGAAAGTGTGTTCATGAATACCCGGATGCCGCTAACGACTTGCTGGGGTATCAGACTATATTCGCCTGCCGCAGGATGGACGGACCTGGATGTCCTATTCTGTTCCTATGCACCACGTCTGTACTTCTGGTTTCCAATTTTTGTAGTTGTTCAGTACGTACGATCTTCTGATTGACAAATATGTAGTTGTAGTGAAAGATGTGCTCCTTGCATACTCAGCTCCTCCCTGAACAACCTTCGCAAGAAGATTGCGCTCAGGATGAATTTCACCTGTACGGCAGTTCTATTTTGTAGATGACATTCAGTAGCTTTATGCATGTGCTCTATGAAGAAATATCTCATAGACCTATCTTTGAAGATAGGATCTGCACTGATGGTTAGGTGCAAATAGAATTAGTCTTGTACTTAAAGTTATGCATTAAATCATTGTAGACCTCTTGGTGGTCTTTGAGACTGAGACATTCGGCACAATTCGAGCACACTCTCAGACTGCATCGCATGAGGACATCTTGCTGCCAGCTGGATTCTGCTGCACCTCGAAATACTCAATGATCACATGCTTTGTGAATATGAGCTCTGCATGCAGTGTCCTACGGTGATCTCTGACCTGATCAGACCAGCAGTACTGGGTGGAATCAGTTACTGTGTGTCAGCTTCCTAGTCTGGGTAAGTAGTTGCCTGTATCATGTGAATTACTGAGAAGTTGAGTCATATGAAGATTGTGGGCTAGTTTGCTCGTGCAAACTCCAAGATCCGGAGGATTTAGCTTTTGTACGAACTTTCAGCGGCAAGATAAACCTGAAGGTAGAACGAACGCGATTCTTACAGCTTTTGAAAAGCAGCGAGAAGTGGATGCAGGTAATTACGTGAAGACTGGATCATAGGTTCAGGTAAAGGAACCTATGAACCAGGGAAGTACTTTGCATTAACTTCACATTGCAGATTGGCCGGACTCAAATTTTAGTTTTAAAATCATACAATCTTTTAGAGGATGTAATCTGCTATCAAATCATGGCATTGACAAGTAAAGTGTCATCTGCTGTCTATGTGCAAACTTTTGAGGGCTCTTCAGCTCACTTTATATAATGGGTAAACAGGAATTTAAGGTAGAACATGATGCCAGACTTTTTCTACACGTATTTGTCTAGTACCGCCCTTCTTTATTGTTTATCTTCCTCTTGTATATTGTGGGCTCTTATCTAAGAGGATGGTTAGTGTCACCAGCTCAGTTGTCAGGCTCGATGGTTGCTTTTTGTAAACGGAGACAGCATGCTTCTGACGTAGAATCTCACTTTGTAGGAATTAGAAATTAATGGTGGCGAATTCTTTCTGGTTTGTAATTTAGCTTTTATGGATATACCAGAATGCATTATGAGCATACAAGATGAAGAGTACGTGAAATGTTCGACATGGTGTCTAATAATTAGCTGAGCATGTGGCCCGTGAAAGCGTACCGAATGCAATGGCCGACTTTGGAGTATGTAACAATCGTGGCTATAACAATATACTGGTATTGTTTTAGAACCTTTTGAAGAATAGTTGAAGGTCTCCTTTTTACAAAATATCCCTCAGCCTTATTGGTCATGTTCCATTTCGGGTGCGGACATGGTACAATATCTGTGTCATGTTATCGTGGAGTGGAATGATGAACTCGTACCTTTGAAGATCGAGAGTTTTGTTGGCAGTTGTCATGATGATGCGAGGTACCTCTCAGCACCAAGGATGCATGTGGTGGTGCGTGCCAGATCTCTGACTACTTGAGTCTTTTGTTGTTCTCTCCGGCCTGAAGTACTTATCACATGATTGGAGCATAGACTAAGATGTCCTAGCAAGGAGTAACGAGCAGTCTAAAGCTTTAGGTCACTGTTTGTTATTTGGTTATTACAAATGACAACTGTTCACGCACAGAAAGTACCGTTGTAGTCCTTGGATCGAGTTTCTAGAGATGTCCACCTCCATGCACGCACGCTACTGTTCCAGACCAGTGTCTGAGTAACAGACTCAGTGCTTAGACTTGTTCCTCCAACCTAAGGGTTATTTATAAGGAAGAGAGTCAGGAGGCACATCCAGTTGAGTTCTTTTTTTTCCGAGCCCGATAGTTGTATATGTATCGTTTGTTTTCTCGCATTTTGAGGGTAAAATATGGCACAGAATATTCACACCTTGTAAGGTGGCAAGATATCAAGTATGGTCTCTGAAAAGGAAATGACCTTTATGAACCTTGCGCAGCCATTATTATTCCGCAAAGTGAACTTTCGCCAGGCCACCCGTGCGTGCACCTGGCAATTGGGAGTGATGAAACCTGTCGATCTCGATGGGGCCTATGCACCACTACTTTGACCGACGTCTAGTTTCTTACGAGCGTTGGACCTGCGAAATTAGTAGAAATACTCTTGGATGTGCTGTCGTGTTTGCGAAGTTGCCATCACTATTTTCTCTCTATTTGTACGATTGACAACCTTTTCCCGAAGGAAACCCAAGGCAAGACTATGTGGACGTTAGGCTTTTCGGGATTGATGATCCTTGTTCTTGAAGATCACGAAAGTTGCATGAACCGACTGAACTGGCCGACAGGCAGCCGTCACGTATCCAATCTTTGTTCCTCTAGGAGGGTCAAATTTCATTCTGTTGAAATTGTCGAGGAGTAGGTTCCAACTGGGGTTTTGAATGCTTCTTTTGGCTTAAAGATATTCAGAAATCGAACCCGGCCGGTGACTCAAATATAAAATATGAAGATAATGTCGCAAGGGAAGCACTAAAGAGTTGTTTCTTTGTTGTTACTCAAACGACATACGCATTGCAACCTTGGAGACTATTACAGGAGTGGAAACTATAAAGACTCCCTTGTGTACCTGGTAAGGTGTGGTGAAACACCAAACGCATGGCTGGAGCTCGCTGTCGCCCATTGTCTTTCATCATCCATGTGATTTACGAATTTTAGTCAATTCTCTGTCACACGAGGCAGAATATTTCTGGCCAGCAGTCAATGAGCCCCTAGTTACCGATTCTTCACGATGGTACATCATTTATCCACCTTCTTCCTTTGTTTGTTGGTCATCCGCTTTTCTGCATCGGGTATGGAAAGCCTGTAGGTCCTTGCTCTTCCCATGTGCTCATCCACTTCAGCACAGGGATTGGATTGAAGTGTTCAAGAATGCTTAATTACCTTTTTATAGAAGAGGTATGCACCAACGATTGTCTTTAAGTGAATGACATTCAAGGTGGATGATCCTTCAAGAAAAGGAAACTGTAATGCGTTTTTAAAAGCCCAAAGATAACCCTCTAGATTCTTGTGGATAATAAATGCACGCCTCTACATGTAAACTTTAGGAGCCACTGGTCCACCAAATTGTGTCACCTGCCCATTGTTGCAGATGGGGGCATTTGGATTCTAGGTACTGGAGGCATGAACAGATATTGGATTCAAATATATAGAGTACTTTCAGGCAGGTTCAGCTATGAAAATCATTCGCACGCCTGAAACCTGACAATGTCCACCCTGAGGTATTACGATATTAATATTTTACGCTGTAGGATCTACTTAATTTCTTAGGGTATGAGCAAAGAAGATCATGAAAGATATCCAAACCTTATTTCTATTTTTTAGTTTGTATTAGATTAAAGTAATATGTTCATTATGTCATGAAGTCTAGAACAGAGGCAATCATCGACAAGATTGAGTCTGTCTTTTCCAAGCGCTAGCATGCAGCGGAAATCTCCCATATAACTGTAACTACTTTTATATATTGTCCTTAAGTGTCCATATACTCGAATCAAACTAGACCTTGTCAAAATCACAGCCACATACGATACAAGTACTGTTTTTATAACCAATCACAGTGTTCATATAAATAAGATTATAAAAGGAAAATTGCAGAGGTGAATATCAATACAATTGCAAAACAATTCGAATTATTTGCATTGCACATCTATAATATTCCATTACAATCGGAATTTACTTTCAAGTTCAAAACGTTCTTTGTAGTGTATTAAGTGAGTTTTTCACGAGCCTGCGTTTCTTTGACTGTATCTTGATACTAAGACATGCAAAGACTTTTTTAAGGGAAATAAAATTTAAATGAATGAAGTAATCAAGATCGAAACTTTGTAATAACAGCCAGTCTTCTTACTGGCAGCTTTTGATAGGATATGTCAAATTAATCAGCAGGAATGGAGTATACAACAACAAGATGAAACTTTGTGATTACCCAAGTTTGACTCTTAGTGATGAAGCTTAACGCATCCCCAAAGAAATAAATTATTCTTCGTATCTAGTGCTCACATGTCACGTTACTAATCAAGATCGAAACTTTGTAATAACAGCCAGTCTTCTTACTGGCAGCTTTTGATAGGATATGTCAAATTAATCAGTAGGAATGGAGTATACAACAACAAGATGAAACTTTGTGATTACCCAAGTTTGACTCTGGGCAATTTCCTTCTAGTTCTTGTAATCCACCTTTTTCATGATTGTGGAGAGGCAAGACTTGCTACTCGAGCAGCAGAATCCGATAATTCTCCATGTAATCATAAGAGGGCTTCTTCATATGCATCAAATCTGAGGCTATTAAAAACAGAAAGACGAGGCATTGTTTTCGTTCAGACTCAGTTGGGTACGTCCATCTCTTCGCCCCGCTCAGTAGTGTAGGTCCAAATGACTGCAGGATGAATGACATCGCGTAAAATACTGCACTCATGAGTCATTACTGATTATAGCTGCTGTTTCACCACTGCACCTTGTGCAGTATACTTAAACTAGTAGTACCCGTACCTCTGGTTCTGAAATCTGCAGAAGGCGGTTGTCATCATGTGCACATCACACTGGCAAGGTGACAACGTATTCTGACCTTGAGGTATCGGTGAATGCAAGAGTTTTGACCGGTCATATCAGGTGGTTTGGACTTTTCTTTCAAGGTCCAAGCCTTTCAGGGGTCCCACCGGCTGGGGCAGGCGCATTGTTCACGATAGAATCACATCCAACGGGGTGACTGCAGTGGCAAACAAAATGTTCAAGCAAGACAATGTTCAACGTCCTGAGTTGGACTACTCATGTGTGTTCTGTAAGGATTTGATCTATGCTTCCAATAATGACCTTCACGTTCTGTGGCAAGCTTCAAGGTTCAAACAATCATCGTCTTGTGATTCAAGCTTAGTCTTGAGGGTAGTACTATTCTAACTTAGACCGTTTTAACTTTTTCTTTTATTTTTAAGTGGAAAATTGTCATACTCTTCAATTTTGCAGCTCAAGTAGACTTAAACAAATCATGTAACCTAGTGATTCATGTATCAGTGAATGTTTCCAGGACTTCTCTTTGTAAGAAATATATTTATAAATTAAAGTTAAGGCGTCATAAGATCCACTATGCTCCCAAGTACGATTATATATATATGTAGGTTTTGCAAGCCACATAAATCAAACATCACGATCTAATGCATAAAGCATCATCTCTCAAATCATCGAGTTGTTATATACAACAATGACCTCTGATATTTTGCCATTGAATGGGAGCAATGGATATAAACTCTTCCATGCATCATACAACATTATTATAAAAGCATATAAGAATACAACGTTATCTCACTTTAAACTGACCCTGCAAAAGTCATAGGATAGGATCAGGAAGGACAGATTTCCATGCTTGTAACCTGCTTGCCTATACTAATCCGTTTGATGATGATATGATACTCTCCTCAAGCTCAGAGTAGTGACACGCAAGACTTATAAAGAAAACTTCAGCACATGACACCTTCTGTCTTCCTGAACATTATATATGGATACTCTCTAAGTATCTCGACTCCTGTGTTTGCCTTGCAATTATTCAGATTGTTATATCGCCAGCAAGGAAACGCTGTCTTTGTTCCTGTCGCATTATGTGCATGCAACATGCAAAATATTCAAAGATGGATTCGGAGATGGAGTCTGAAAGAGTAGACTTCGATAAATATCATGACGAGACAACTTACCAAAGATGACTGCTCAGCATCAAATGCCCAGCAAGAAATCAATAGAAAAGATAGTCGATAAAAGCCTTCATTCTTCCGCTCCCAGAAAGAAAGAGTGAATAGAATAATTCACCCTTTACCATGAATTGGATACTGACCCCATCGCCCTCCTTTCGGTTTCATTCATGTACGACTTGATGGGTTACCAATACTTTTTCTTATTTCCTCGGTTCTCTTCTATGATATGGTTCTCGAAGAGTGATTTTATAGTTCATCACAATCTGGTCGCATAAAAAATATGCTAGGATGTCATTTCAATTTCATTTCCCTCTGTTTTGTGCATGGCGACAAGACGGTATAACAGAGGAAGGAGCGCAAACAAGCAGAGGATTTGCTTGTAGCTGTTTCTCTATTCCTCCAAAAGCTTTTGCATGGTATCAAGAACAATCGAACGTACCCAAAAGAGCTGGATCTCAATACTTCGAAGGGTATTGAAGAGGGGGTGGGGTACCGACTAAGATAACATAACAAAAAAGTATGGAAGACTCTATTGTAGGATGAAACCAAAAGGTTAAACTGGGGCTAGGCGCATACTGCAAAGGATCGAGAATGATGATAGTGACCGTCAGTAATTTAAGTGGAAAGAATGGATTGTCGTGTATTGCTCAGGAACATCATTACAAGATGCATAGAAGAGGAACAAAGTGGAGCGTGTTGTGGCATAGAGAGCCCCATCGATGCAGATGATTCTCTTATGCTAAAGATCGCTTCTCATGAGTAAGCCATGATTTACTGCGACATCAAGAAGGGTGTAGGCAATCCATTCATTCACAACTCGTGTGCTGTTGGTGCAGCATCATCGATGTCTGGATGGAGCAAATGGTTTCAGTTCAGTTTCACCTCTCCGCACAACAACAACAACAACAACTCGTGTGCACTCATATCGTCCATCATGTCCAGTTTCTTTGCACTTTTCAAGAATCTCGTGTTTGAGTGAGCTTCCCTATAGTTCTTGTGGTCGAAAAGTACGAACGATTACGATTACGTCGTCGCTCCTGAATCTAACACGAAGCATCTCCGAAGTAGTGTGACCGGTTCGTCGTACCCCCCCATTCAGTCCTTCAGTCCCTGGATGAATTCCTTTCAGTTAAAGTGCTCATATGGAGATGAATCAGGTAGTTAATCTGACAAGGCTACTCGAAGGGCGTCGCATCAATTCGGAGGTGTAAAGTGTTGTAAATTTGTAAATGCTGTCACAAGTTGTAAATTTGTATCACCACTGAAGCCAAAAGGTAGAAAGGATCGGACGCTATTCATGTTTAAGAAGAATTTCTTTTTGTTTCCCCGGGAGTAAATGAAGATCCCCCTATGCTTTCTAGAGCTGCTGACATGATCCGCTAGCAACAACCAAAGCAATCGATTTACCCCTCCAGCTGTATGAATAAGACGGTAGTTCTTCAATAGGTGGAAGTGGATATTGCAGAACAATATCCTCGGATCTGAGCTGCTGTTGGCGTGACACCGCAATGGACAAACTCCAGTTACACAGTGGAAAGCTCGCTCGTGCTCTATCGAACACATTCAACAGGTAAAGGTGAAGGTGTGTCTGCTGTCTGCTGCTCTCCCTTGCGTGAACCCTCGTCCCAAGTGGACGGGGCAGCAGGTCCGCCATCTGACCGCCCTTCCTCTCCCCTCCCCTCCCCTCCCCTCACCCTCGTCCATCGCCGAGACAGCGAGTCAGAGCCTCGCTCAGAATTACGCTCCTGGCATTTAACCCCCCCCTCCCTCCTCCCATGTACGTACGTACGCTCCATACCTGAAGATCGTCACATCATCAGCAACGCTTCTACGGTGCACGTTGGCCCATGGCTGGGGGCCAGAAGGGCCAGTCTAAATCTAGAGCTTTAAGTTCCCCAACGCGCTCGAACTCGACCTCGACCTCGACCTCGGGGTTTAGTCAGTTCCTCGCCCGGATTTCGAGGCCGCGATGCCCGCATCCTAAAGCCGCGAAGTCTGTATTCGGCAGTTGATTAAGAGTTTCCTACTCGAAAACGTAGAATTTATTGGATGAAAATAGAATAAAATAGAATAGGATAGGATAGGACAGGATAAAATAAATAAAAGGGGCTGCCCTGTGCGATGACTGCAGGCCACTGTGCTGTACTTGGCAGGAGCCTCAGCGTCGGTCACCCGGTCGAAGAACGTGATGGCATGGGATCCAGGTACGTAACATGGTTGGCTTGCGCATCGCGTTAAGCAGCGGGGATGTGGTTGGTTGGGGATGACGCCGTCGTTACGCCATCGGGTCCACAGTCGCGAATTTCATGGCGCAACGGCGCCAAAGGAATTTTACAAATTGCGAGGGACGCAGACGCTTCCGACAGCGGGGGAATGAGCGCGCTAAAATTGGAAACCGGGCGGCCAAATTTAGAGGGGCGCTCTTCTAAGATATCGGGAGCTTCAAAATCTGGCGAGGCGGAAGAACATCCCTGCGAGAAAAGGAGGGAAGGGGACAGGAAATAAACCTGGGACTGACGGTCCCTGACCGCGAGAGTGATGACGGAGCAAGATCTGAGCAGAAAGAAAGAATTCCTCCGTCAGAATGTCTGTAAGAATTCCGTAGGAGGACAGAGGAACTTTGCCCGGAATATTCTTGGCAGTGGAGACATGCGAGCCGTCGGATGGCGCGATGCGCTGCACCCGAGACCGGGTATGAAATTTGCGCGCACTCGGTCGCCCCCGTGGCCAGCCACTCGAGTACGGGCCAGAGCGCAAGTGCTGCAGGACGGAAGTTAGTGTCGATCCGTCGAAAAAGAGCAGCCGCGGGAGCGAGGGCCAGAGGGCCAGAAGCCCAGAGCGCGGGAGGGCCTTCTAACTAGCGACCGAGCGTTGGGGGACCCGCGGCCCCTCCCTCAGTGTGCGTCCCCGTCTGCGTCTGCATGCGCGCGCGCTCTGAGGGGACGAAGAGAAGCAAGCACACGGCGATCGCATTGTCGATGAATGTGGAAGGAAGGGAGGGAGGGAGGGAGGGACGAGGTCGAAGGGAAGAGAAGAGAAGAGAAGAGTGGAACGAGGGAAAAGGGAAAAGGATGAAAGGATAGCGAGAGAGACAAGGGCACAGATTGGATGAAGGGGAGAGTGGTGGTGGTGGTGAGCACTGTCACGGTACCACATTCCGATCAGAGATCATCAACTCGAGTATCGTCGCGTTCGATGCCGCTCACGAGGCAAGTTGCTGTTGGCCTGTCTGGCATCGCTTTCATTCTGTTGAGTATGGCGGTCTGTTTCGTTTCAATCTGCCCCTCGAACTTGAGTTCGGTCTCGCCCCCTTGAGGTATGGTGCATCGCGCGTGTCCGGGGTATCTTTGTGCGCGATGCACCATTACTCTCGGATGGATGGCTTGGTTCCTACCCCGTCATCTCTTACTTTTACGAGAGCATTGTTTTCTCGTTGGCTCCTCTGTGGTAGACGCCGTGGGCTGTTATTTTTCTGCCTGCTTGTTGCTCAGTGTCAGTTGCCATTTGCGCCACATTCGCCCTTCGTTCGCTGAAGAACTCGTTCACGGGTTCGTATGATTGAGTCCTCATTGTCGAGTCGACGGGCATTTCTAATGGATGGGTCTGGTTGTTTTCCTGATTGCAAGCCTAGTGCGCCTCTGTATCACTCAACACCTGTGCACCTGAATATCTTGCTTACAGATGATCCACATTGTGTTCTCTATGACTTTGGGTCATGAGTAGCTGATTTCTCCATATCTTTGCTCGAAGCTAACCGGTTGGCATACGTAATGTTAACTGTAATGTGCAGATTGTAGAGAGAGAGAGAGAGAGAGAGGGAGAGGGAGAGAATATGCACGGGAGGGATTCTCCGCGGTGGATTTGCATTGTGAAGTAAAAAGGTGTCATTCCGATAATCGCCAACAACAAGTTGACACAATGGAAGAAGCTATAGAGCAACTCCAGGCCAAAGACACTAAGGAAAGAATGGCCGGAGTAGAGAGGCTTCAAACGCTTCTGGAACAGAGTCGAAGGGGACTTTCGGCGACGGAAGTTGGAAGCCTTGTGGATGCATCGCTAGTTTTGCTCAGAGATAACAATTTTAGGGTATCTCAAGGGACATTGCAGGCATTGGCCTCGGCTGCCGCTCTGGCTGGTGAGCACTTGAAGCTGCACTTCAACTCGTTGCTTCCCGCCATCGTCGAGCGCTTGGGGGATGGGAAGCAACCTGTACGTGACGCAGGGCGACGGCTTCTCCTGGCACTTATGGAGGTACTTTGTCCTGCCAAACAGCATGCACTGTCCGAGAACAATTGCCAACTTCTTATCGACTTCCACCTCTCGTTCTTCATGCCTAATCCAGGTTCTTCTTGGGTTAAATTTTCAAACCTTCGAAACCATCGACTAGTTTTGAAAAATGCGTCCTGCTTTGTACTCCCTCATTTGCGTCAAAACGTGGAGACCCATCTATCACAGCTTGATGTCCAAAGCGAACGGAAGGTCGGTGCTTTTGGTATCACACGTAAATAAGAGCAATATCACAGCCTGGGAACTCTGACCTGCGTTGTCATATCGACTTAACTTCCAAACTCTGCAACACACATCTAAAGGGATCGCTGAATCTTCTTTCTTGTCTAGATGCGGCTGGGACCTACAGGCTCTAATCATTTGTCTCGAGCGCAAACCTGGATTTCTTCGAGACTCATTCACACCACTTTGTTCGGGGAATGTAGTTGGTATCTTACACATGGTTCCATGAATTTTTCTGTTAGGCTGGCCTGTCTTTACTGTACAGGTGAAGCTCTCCCGGAAGAGTTTATATTTGAGATGGAATGAGACGATAAACAGTCCGGACTGGGGTCGTAGTGGTCACAGAAATTGTGGAGCTCTTCACTCCTGAAAACAAGGCATAGAGAATGTAACAGCCGGCGTCCCATGTCGATATAATTGTGAAGACTTTGACAGACTTCCACTATCTAACTGTGCAATTTGTACCGCGGCTTTGTGGATCTGGTCTCTAACTTCTTTTGAGGGTGGATTCATTTGCCCTCACAGATTTCTTCTCCAACTATCATCGTTGAAAGAGCCGGAAATTACGCTTGGGCTCATAAGAATTGGAGGGTACGCGAGGAGTTTGCTCGTACTGTGGCTTCAGCCATCAACTTGTTTGCGGCTGTGGAACTTCCATTTCAAAGGCTGCTTTTACCTTCAGTAAGTTTAGTCAAAGTTTCTGTCAGTCTGTCTGGTGTACTCTTCTACACTCTTGTTTTTATTACAACCAAAAAATGTTAGCTCTCTCCACTCTTGTCAGCTAACTTTTGTCTCCTAGAAATTTCTTCGTCAGTACTACAGTCAAGCGGACCGAGTTTTGATGTCCATTTTACTTGTAATTGCCTCCAGTGATTGAACTTGAAACACCTTTCTTTCAGGTTTTGCAGCTTCTGGAGGATTCTAATAGCAGTGTAAGGGAAGCAGCCATGATATGCCTGGAGGTAAGGATATGTCCAGGCTTCATTTTCTACCGATGTATTGGTGTCTCGCCTGTCACTGCTCTTTTAGAGCCCTTTCGTAATTAAGGCAGATCTGAAATTTTTAATACTTGGGATTCAGATTGGCTTTCTACTGAGGCGTTTTTATTATGTTGTCAGGAAATGTTTCGGCAGGGAGGTTCTCAATTTCGGGATGAACTTCAACGCCACCATCTACGACCAGCACAGGTGAGTGTCCTCCACGTCTGTACGCTCTGGATTTTCCTTTAATGTGCTCCTCTTTCTGTTTCTTGGTCTATCTAAAATATTTTGTCCTAAATTTCCAGACATACAGGATAATCCTTTGTTGTTTGATAGAGATTTGTCTAAATTTAAAGAGCAGTAGACTTCGTTGTTTTCAATTTTATCTGCTTCGGTTTATACGCTGACTTCAGGAGTGAGGCAGACTTACAGATGAATTTTCGTAGGTTACTATCTTCGTCGAGTTCCCTAGAGAATCTGTTTCTGCTTCTGCATATTATGTCAGTGCTGAAGCGTGAACTCGTTTCTACAGCTGAAAGACATCACCTCGAGATTTGAGAAAATTGAGCCTGTCCGTCCTTCGTTCGAGAGGTTAGCAAGTCAGGCTCCACCACCGAGTCATTTCAACATGACAAGTCAGTATGGGGCAACGGAACACAAAGCCGCTGCACCAGCAGCAAATCCCCGACGCTGTAGCCCTAAGGCTAAGCCTGCGTCAAGTGATACTTCGTCATTGAACGGTTGGTGAAAGAGCGAGTGTTCAGTATATTTTTTCGTTCTTCCTGCAATTCTGTTGTATTTACGAACTCGCCTCGTTGCTTACTTTCCAAGGCCTGTGAAGGGCTCGACTATAATTTCAGGCATTCAATAGTTGAATGTTCGAGATTGTAGTCAAGCGCGCCGGGTTGGAGGGATGTTTGACATATTCTAATTTGCATTTCGAGTGTGAAGCCACGATTTCCGATCCTCAGATTACATACGTTTCTTTGAAGATAGCTGAATATTTTTGAACCCTGTTTTCTTTCTTTGAAGGTGAAAACGATGCTGGCGAAAAGCCCGTCGACCCAATTCGAGTTTATTCCGATAAAGAACTAACGAAAGAAGTAGAAAAAGCTGCTGCTATGCTTACACCCGAGCAGGACTGGTCTGTTCGAATTTCAGCAATGCAAAAGATCGAGGGGCTAGTCGCCGGAGGTGAGATTCGCATTCCTACCTCCAGGTTTGCACCTCAATGGAGCAGCTTTTAGGATGTCCCAATATCCTCCTATTATGAGTGTGTGGTCTTTAGGATAAAATAGGCAAATCCTGATGAGAACAGTTTTTCTGTGATCAACAGGTGCAACGGAGTACTCGTGCTTCATGTCCTTGATGAAGCAGCTCGTGCCTCCTCTGACCATTCAACTCTCTGATCGTCGTTCGAGCATTGTCAAGCAGGTAACAGATCTCTCTATCTGGCATCGGATCAGATTCAAGATAACTGATGCAACGAGAAGCAGTCAGAGTCAGCACAGTTGTTTTTGTCGTGGATTTGTAAAGGCGTTCATTTGCCTCTTCAATCTTTTACGCCGTTATCTTACTGTAGTTCAAGCGACCATCGCACCTTCTCTTCAAAAGCATGACCTAGTTGTACGGGCTGGTTTTCACTGATTCCGAGTATGTGATTGTTGATGAGTTGCAGCATACTGCAGGCCCGAGTGAGAGTCTCTGAAAGTCGTTCTGACTAACCTCCTGATTATACGTCGAGGTCTCTGTGTTGCAAGATTTGTTGGCACTACTCTTCCATACTGACCTTCAAGTTCCCATTCAATGCAGGCTTGTCACCTTCTAAACATGATATCAAAGGAACTTCTTCAAGACTTCGAGCCTTTTGCCGAGGCGTTCATACCTGTCAGTATCTGTATTTTTGTCTAACATTGGAACAGATCCACTGAAATGATATTCATATAGTGACTGCATGTACGGTTGCAGTTTCGGGACGAGTGGGGTTTTTTTTTTTCAGCTTCTTTAGGACTCCACTATGGACCCCAGTTTGCTCTGCTCGGTCTGAAATAAGGGATTCGAACGACCTGCCTCTTATGCTTCTTCTCTGGATGTTGCAGGTTCTGTTCAAGATGGTTGTTATCACTGTACTGGTGATTGCGGAATCAGCAGATACCTGCATTAAAACCGTATGATCCATTCACCTCCTTGATTTCTGTTTGTACCTCTATCCAGCCACGTAGAACAGGGTCTTAATCTTGGAAACTTTACAATACCGATTATGTGAAACGTCACTAATACTCATGACTTGTCGTCGCTGTAGATGCTCCGAAATTCGAGAGTAAGTCGAGTGCTGCCTAAGTTAATGGAGTGTGCGAAGCACGATCGAAACGCTGTTTTGCGAGCAAGGTAGTCACTTGTCCCGTCTTCTAGGTCTTATCTTACTTGTTTGTGCCATATAAAACACGGCTTGTGAGGGCCCTGTAGTTTTGCATAGTTCATTGTCATTATTAGAAAGTACTGAGAGAAGTGCAAAACTGCGATGAAGGTGTTGCGACTACGCTCTCCTAGTTTTGGAGCAATGGGGTGATTCTCCGGAATTGCAGCGCTCAGTTGAGCTTTACGAGGAGCTTATCAAGACTTGTGTTGGTGATGCCATGAGCGAGGTAATGGCCGAAGTTACTATCTCCTTTGAATATCCTTTGCTTTCTATGCTTTTGGTCTCTATTTTGCTGCATATCAAGGTTTTCTTTAACATCATATAGGTGTTGCAGATCTAGTATTAGTTCCACATACATCCGTATCAAAATATGAAATTCAGAGTCAAATGATAAATCCTACTGTGATCATGAACTGATTTATGTTCCTAATGCGATGTATTCAGGTTCGATCCATCGCTAGGATGTGTTATCGCGTCTTTTGCAAATGCTGGCCAGAGAGATCTCGGCGACTATTTGTGTCCTTCGATCCTTCTGTCCAGAGGGTAAGAGTTTTATTTCATCCGTGATATGAACAGAACAAAGTGGATCAGTTCTTGTAGCTCTTTTCTAAATTCTTTTAATCTGGATGGTTTAGCTCTATGGAATGTGGAAGGTAGTATATGACATTATGATAGTTGTTGATCTTCTGCAGCTTTTGAATGAGGAAGAGGGTGGTTTTCAAAAGCGGTATGCATCACCTTCCGTGCGAGATCGCGGTTCACATGGGCATCAAAGCCACTTGAGGCAATCTACCACCGTGCCCATCACTGCCAGTGTTCATCAAGCAGTTAGTCATAACCCATCAGGCTCAGGGCCATACTCCAACTCTTCAGCAGTGAATGCGGACAGAAGTACGAATGCCCTTTCTGGATTAGGGGCTCTTCATCTGAACAGTGCATATCAAAGAAAGTCTGCTGAACTCGGAACGGAAAGAACTCAAGAAGTCTTACAAGCGAGCCAGGAACGTGTAAATGCTATAGAGAGCATGCTCAGGGAAGTCGATATGAGCGATAAAGGAGCAAGTCGGTCTTCTTTGAGGGAACCAGGTATAGTTTACGATCCACGTTGATGTCTGTTCATCTTATTGAAGGGTCCTTTGTTTCCCGATATTTTATGATAAGTGTTGAGGTGTGAATGCCTGGTATATTTATTGTCCAAATTTCGTGCAGTGGGTGGCAGTTACAGAAAGATCCATGCGGCATCTGTGGCCCAGCGTGTTGGGGTTGATCCACCATCTGCTCGAGATCCTCCACATCCTGCCTCTGCACCCGCTTCTCATCAGAGTTCTAATCGAGCTCTCATCTCGGGAAACTCTGCCTCATCTTTCGTTCGGAACAACGTTACTTCGGGTTCTGTCTCAGGAGCTGGCATGGGAAACTTCACAACCCAGTATGCTGGATCTTCAGATCCTGGAAAGAACTCACACGCTCTTGGTCGAGACGGTCTTCACGCCCTCGGTCGAGAAGCGGATCTCTCACATTCGAGTTCTATAGCCCGGAGCATGAGCATGGGAAACCAGTTTTCGGGCAACCAGTATAGTACAGGAGTTGCTGCACAAAGAGTAGTTCTTGATCGGCATGGATTAATGGGTGCAAATGGAGATGTTGGAGGGCCTAAGCGAATCATAAGGCCTGAATATGTGGAGAAAGGTGCACTGGAAGCCAATGGTATCCCTGGTTTTCAAAGGCCATTGCTTAGGCAGAGTACTTCTGGAAGGTCTTCAGCGAGCAGCAGAAGTAGTGTTGAGGAGAACACTGTGCTTGCTGGACTAAACGTGATTGGGGAAGCTCATAGTTACATGGACGGTTTGATGTCTCTAAATGATGCTCTGACTGAAGGTTTGAGTGTAAATGCCGATTGGTCTGCACGAGTTGCAGCTTTCACTTTCTTAAGAAAGCTCCTGCAACAAGGTCCGAAAGGCCTCCAGGAGATCACTCAAAATTTTGGCTTGGTTATGAAGCTTTTTTCTGCACATCTGGACGATCCACATCATAAAGTAGCGCATGCTGCTTTGGCCACTCTTGCAGAGCTCGTACCTGCTTGCCGCAAGTCCTTCGAAGCGTACTTAGAAAGGATATTACCACATGTATTTGCCAGATTGGTTGACGCCAAAGAGGTCATTCGACAGTTAGGTACAACCGCTCTAGAAATAGTTGGCAACACGTACAGCATAGATTCCTTGCTACCTGCTTTGCTCCGCTCTCTGGATGAACAGAGATCACCAAAAGCGAAGATGGCTGTGATTGAGTTTGCCATTGCAGCATTTGCAAAGTTAGCTCTTAATGGGGAGGCTGCTGGAGGAAGTGGCCTTCTGAAACTCTGGCTTGCCAAGCTTGGTCCACTTGCGAACGATCGAAATTCAAAATTGAAGGAAACCGCAGTCACCGGGATAATCTCTGTTTATTCTCATTTCGACTCGACAACAGTGTTGAATTTCATCCTGGGTTTATCAATCGAGGAGCAAAGTCATCTGCGACGAGCTCTGAAGCAGTATACTCCTCGCATTGAGGTAGACCTCATGACCTACTTGCAGAACAGGAGTCAGCGTGCTGCTCGAGTCAAAGGTGCTCATGACCATTCAGACGCCGCTTCAGCGACATCCGATAGTTTCACTACACCTACTGGAAGAGCCTATTCTCTGCTGACCGGCAACCAGTCTTCAACCGGGTATGGCTCCGGCTCCTTCAACAGTGATGGTGGTGGTAGAAAGTGGACAGCCACTCAATCAGATGCAGTGCACACAGGCAATAGAGTGCCTACATCCCATTCGGCAGGAAGTGAGTCTAATATACCGACTTACAGGAGCTTTGACTCCACAGGTAATTCAGGTGATCTTAGTCATTTGAGTGCCTATTCTGGGAGAACCAAGGAAGTTGCGAACCCAAGTGAAAGCAATAGTCATTCAAATTTATATCTTGGAAGAATCAAGGAGGGAGCTAATGGAACCGATGGAAATGAAGAGAGGACAGCGGAGAGAGAGAGGTCAGCAGCCTGGTTAAGCCAGGTTCAGGCTCGCCGAATGACTATAGACACGAGACATGATTATGGTAATTCTCCTTTAAACGAGGCCCAGAGCATGGTCAACTCTGAACAAAGGGCTGCCGCCGGTGCTTCTCCCGGGACTAGACTCATGAGTCAGATGCAACCTGAACCTACGCCTAAATATGATGACCACCAGGCAACACAAAAGACTCACCACAGAGTTCTGTCTCAAGATTCAAACTCAAATGTTCCCAACCTTCTCCATCAGGTACCATCGTAGTACTGAACTGCGTCTAACATGTAGAACTGCGATGTTACAATTTGCTTCAGTCTGATATGAAATTACCGTTCTGACACATAATGTGAGGAAGTCTCTTGTGCATGTTGCTGAGCACGATTTCAACCGTCATGAATCTTCATGTTTATCCTGTGTAGACAGTAAAATAAATCACTGTCAGAACCAAGTTATTAGAATCAGTCGCTGAATTTGTAGACTATGTGATGCATTGGAGCACTATGTGTAATCTGCATATGCCTTCTGCTTGTATGTATAGATGACAAATTGGGGCAGTGGCAAACCGTCCAAGGAGAAGCAGGAAGCTCTTCAGGAGTTATCGAAGATATCAAGTTCGAATGATGTTGCAGTCTGGGCGCAGGTACCTCTTTGGACACTATTATGATTGAGAGTGTTTGGCAATAAGTGCATATTTTTGAGTTCCAGTTTTGTCTAAATTTGACTTAGCTAATGGAGGAATCAAGGGGTGAATGATAAACTTTACACTAGATGTCAAACATTTTCTTGACACTCATTACTGAGGTATCGGGTGTAGTGTTGCTTGCAAATTTAAGTTGCTTTATGCGCTTAGCCTTGAAGTTTAACAAGTGACGAAATGTTCTGCATATCATTCACTCATGGAAATCTCCAGATTTGAAGAATATTCATTGTCTTATTGACTGCTTTTTGCTGATTATGCTTCGTAAAATTCGAACCATGCCTGCATTCCGAACCTCATCGACTCTAGATTTATTATCTCCAACTTCATCAGACACTTACATTGTGTAAGACTATGCCATCACGCTTTCGTTTGGATCAGTGACCGAATGCTTATGGACAAATCGGCCGGGTCCATGTGCAGTACTTCCACCAGATATTAACCGTTGTGCTTGAATCACTCGATGATCCTGATGCCGTCCTCAAGGAACTTGCTCTGACAGTTATATATGAGATGCTCAGCAATCAGGTAAATGACCGACATGAACCTACTTGTGTGACCACCTGTTGCAAGTTTCAGTCTCCAAGTTATACATATACCGTCCACCAGAAGCTTAATTTGCTGGAGGCTGAAGCTTAATGGCTGGCTTAATGGAGCTCAATGTGACATGTTATCAGAGATTATATTTATTAGTATGCATGTAATGATTGTCCCACCCAAGCAGTTGTAGTCTGTAGCGGTATCGGGAGAGGGTACCTTGCCCGGAAGTATTACATCATCATATTATGTTCATGAGCCCCTGATTTAGAGGACTTGAGTTAAGGGATGAACTTTCTATGACTGAGGGTGTTCAACAGCAGAAGCAACACCGATGTCTTTCGCATTTGCTTAGTCAAAAGCCAAGCACATGAAAAGCAAATGGAATTCAACGTGAGCTACTTAGACTTCCTTACTGCTGAAAACTTGGCAGCAGTACTTAACTGCTGTAGGTTTCTGTGTCTTTTTCCCATATTAAGGGAAAAATGTAATGGTTCGTCTATCTTTTGTTTTTATTTTTTGGAAATGTCATTGACTGTGAATATTGAACATTTTCTTACCATGGCAGAGAGATAGGCTTTTAGAATCGACAGAAGTCCTACTAGAAAAGCTTCTCCATTCGACGAGGGACACAGATACTAAGGTACTGATTGTGGCAATGGATACGACTAAATTTGGTTTGAAGTAACTTAAACTGAGCTTTGAGTAATTGTGTTTTTCTCATTTATGATCTTGTGGATTCGCTAGGGATAGCAGTAAATAGTACGCTTCAATCCTGAAAAACTGAATCTATTGGGTGCAGGTATGCAATGCAGCGGATCGTTGTCTCACTACAGTTCTGACAGAGTTTGATCCATACCGATGCTTGACCGTGAGTAACTGAAGCTTCTAGTTGCTCTCTAATTTTTTCATTTTGAAAAAAGAATTGTTGCTCTATACCGTTTACTTTTCTAAAATTATATCTTTTTGAGAAACATTTCACTGACTATGAACATAACTCCTTACATGGCAGGTTGTGGTGCCCCTTCTTGTCAGCGAAGATGAAAAGGCTCTTGTGACTTGCATTGGTTCTTTGACGAAGGTAACAGGCCACGCTTCCTTGTTTTCAGTCCCATTTTATAAGGATCAATTGTAGTGATCAGCCTGATTACATTAAAAATTTACTAGGTCTTACATATATCACTCTGTACTCGGTTCGTTTTTTGAGACATCTGTGCATTTGTGTCTGGCTACTCCAATCTGTGGTTTGGAACCAATGTGACCGCAGTTGGTGAGCCGTCTTCCTTCTGAAGAACTTATGGCGCAGCTACCTTCATTTCTACCCGCTTTATTTGATGCATTTGGCAACCAAAATGCAGACGTACGGAAGGTAATTATAACTCTTTTATTTGCCCCATCATGAACCGTGTTTGTACAATTTTTCTGATCATTTTTTAAGAGAAAGGATTAACGGATATTGACCGCTAGTTTTCAACTCCAAGGTGTCGTCTAGACCAACGCTGAGTAGGATGTAAACTATGTGGGTTACAACTTGTTCTAAAGATATCCCGTTCTGATCAAATTATCACAAAGCGTGTTGCAGCAGTAAGGAGTTGTTGAACTGTATTTATTTTCAGCCGATTCATGCTCAAGCTTGAGAATTATGTTCTAACTGAATACGACGGGGCTTTGTGAACTGCAGACTGTCGTGTTCTGTCTTGTGGACATCTATATTGTCCTTGGGAAGGCATTTGTGCCATATCTTGGAAGTCTTAGTAGCACCCAGCTGCGGCTTGTGACGATATATGCCAATCGCATATCTCAGGTATTGAACATAAAATCTCGAACTCCTTTGCGAGCTTTAATTTTTATTCGGGTATCATGTACCGACAAGGCGATATGAAAGTTCTTGTGAAAGAGTTGAGAGTCCTACTCTGAGCTTAGAATATATGTCGACTTGCAGACTGAACTTGGATGTATGCATGAGTTATGTTCTCAAGAATCTTGGATCCCTTTATGGTATACTGGGTGGGTATAGGCCTGTAGCCTATGATAATCAATCATAATTGCTGGGTGTCCACGGGATTACAAGCGTTGGTCAATTTGTTTATTTTCTTGCTTGTAGGCGAGAACGGGAGCGCCAATGGAAGCTCAAAAGCTTTAGGAGTTGCAGCTGCTGATTAAACGATGGAACGCAATCTTGAATGCCGGAGATCGTGGTTGGTATCAAGAGCTGCTTATCGGGGGGCTATATTTCAAGATGGCACCCCAGAAAATACAGATTTTTTTTAAAAGTTTTGAGTTGTACTCCTTGAGGAATTTGTTTGCTCTTGTTTGTACCGATCGGTACAAGCCACCTTTTCTCCAACCAGTAGATGTTATCTAAGAAATCTGTCACATTAATTTTATGTAGAGACTGTTGAGTCATCTATCCGCGTTACTGAGATGCACTTGCGTCTAGTGGAGCCATACCGCATCATCTTTGTAAATGTTTTTCCTCTGCTAAGGTTCCCTTTTTGACCAAAAGGATATTGTGTTGGATAACAGTGGTGATTATCACCACATGATCCGGCGAGAATTTTTTTAGCTCATGAGCACTTCTTGAGGCATTTGCAGCACCTCGTGACTTCGTCTTTGGTTTTGTTCCTACACTTCGGGCTTGCAACGTTGATCATGGTTATCCGACTCTAATAAAACGGTCCGTTGATAGCACTCATCAACCTTGGTAATTGTAGTATTTCTAGATTGAATCACGCATGGTTTTTACTCTCAGATCTGCAAGATCTGGTGTGAGATTTTAATGCATGAGGCCAGGGCAAGTCTCTGTTGTCTTGAATGCGCTTTGATCCACGTTGGGAAGACTAAGCCAGCAATGATCTTTATGACTGCGGTGTCAGTCATGCATTCAGTCGTACGAAGCGCGGCTCTAGAGGTGGAAATCTGGTGGCGGTCTGTCGAGAGGTACATTTGAATGGATATTGGACTTAAGTGCTTAATCTTTATAGTATTTCTGAAGTGTAAACTTAGAATGAGATTCGCAGACAGTGAGATTTTGAGATTAAACATGGATTTGCTAAACTTGAGTAGTATCTTGATCAGTAGAAGCTATTTTATAAATCTAATACTATCTAAATGGCAGTCATACGAGGATAATATATGAGTTTAGATAAAGCGATTTCATGGAGTCCCCATCGGTCCGAATTGATTTGAGTTTTGCATAGGTTATGGCTAAATATAATTTCTAAAACAAGTACTGCATGTTAACCGCAAAAATATAGAAATATCTAATGATAACAATTAGATGCTATTTGTAATTAGAAATAGATTTAATGACAGGTTCAAAATTTTAAGTAAATAATGTTTCTTGATATCAGAAGTGCTATTTGAGTGATGGTATCTAGAAAGATTATAATTAGGCACACGTCTGGAATCCATGCACAACTTGATTGGGAGGTGTGAGTATGTGAATAGTGTTTCAAATATTCTGAGAAAGACGAATTTTGACAAGAGAAACTAAAATTTATTAATTGTATTCAATAATGTCTTTTATCATGCACAATTTATAATACTTATAATATAACTTATAACCAAACATAAATAAGATATATCTGAAATGTATGAAGAAAAATTTACAATTATCTCAGAGGTTACAATTATCTCAAGTCTGAAATTCAAGACCAGAATGTTAATTTATCAATTGAGATTTTGTAATTACATGCAAAATATGAAGATGACTCCAAAAAATATGAACAAACAGAGGGTAAATTGGTAAACAAATTTCAAATCTTTAAACCAATTTAGCACAAATAAAGTCAATCTGTTACTGAATCAGTTTGATTGATGTTTAACCACAATAAACTATTCTTTTTGTGCAAAATGTCATGCCACATTGTGTTCATCTCACATTGATACAAGTAGAAAAAAATACAACTTATAAATCATACATTGAACTTTACTCTTATTAAATGTTGAGATTGCATTCCCAAAATTCATAAATTTATTATGAATTCTTCAGATCTTGCATAACTCTAATCAATTCGTGATAATTCGGAAGTTATATTGGTCAACTTACTCTACAAAACAGATTTCATATATAGAACGTTTATACATTCATGTATATTCAGGTTTTTCAGCATTCAACCCAGATACAAGTGTTTTTTTTTTTAGTTTGCTTACACTTTCTTGTGTTTTACTTTTACTAACCAACAAACGTAAACTTCATTACATTTCATGATACTATTATAATTTTTACTTGATTTTAAAAAAATTATTATTCGACAATATCAACATATACATTAAATAATTATGAACATTTAAAAAAATATAAACAACAATTGATAACATGAAGAAGAGTAAAAATTTTGAATGTAAAGTAATGAGGATTCAGCGTGGAATATGAGTAGACTGAATTACGATAGCCGTAATTGCATGCTGTGTTCACTCTTTTCGATCGAGTAATTGACTGGAATGAACACAAGTGTAACCAAATGGAAAGTACTTTGGGGTTCTTACTCACTATACTAATACTGGACCTGTATTTCTGTTAGAAGGTCGATCGACTGCACTATAACCAATATAATTGATGGAGAGACGTCAGAACCAATTTCCTACCGCAGTCAACAGATGAGGGCAGATGTAAACGAGCAGTTCTGCCTTCTTGTCTTAGAGGTGGTCTCGAAGACGTAGCCATATGGAACCCAATTTCGACTTTCGCATACACAGATCAATCTCAGACTGTCTAAATTCCGCCACGCTTGTATGCTGTACTGTAATCCGCAGGTGAAGGCATGGTAACTTCAATTCACATCTTACGTTAGTTGCGCTTACCATAGCTTTCCCTAAACCAATAGCTTACCATGGTCCTACGTCAACTCAATGCAGGTCTTCTAAGGTATGATGTTCGTGCCGCCGTGTACGGTTCCATTAGTACGTGCACCATTAGTCGTAATCCGATTATATCTCAAGCATATGTTATGGTTGAAACTAATTTAATTAACACTTTGTTTCAGTATCTTAAAGTCTTTATACATATGTTTTGTATTATTGTAGACATTCAAACCAGGGTCAAAACATGGGATGATATCTTGAGCAAGAAGACTTGCAACACAGTTTTCCTTCGGGACTCTTGTCTTAGATATGGTCAGCTTGTGCACAAAATTTGAGACTTACGAGTCCCGACCTTGGCGTTCCTTTCACCATCAAAAGACATTAATGAGCTAGAAAAGTTGTCCAAGATCACCTTGTACATTCCACTACTTGGGGTTTGTAGGCCGTCGTCTCGCTTCTCGACGTCAGATGAGGTGTATTCGTTCCTCATTTCTGTCTCAGAATCTATAGCAGTGCTTTCAAGAATGCCTTTGATGCGAGATTCTTCACACTCACTGGATATTGGAACACATGTAAAAGAGTGGAATCAGCCGCTCATTCCTGAAGGATTCTAGAACCTTCACTTTAGCCTCTACACATTCTCACCACAAAATTGCCCAAAAAGCATGAGTCGGAAAGTAATACAAGTGAATCTGCCAGCTTCTTGGAAACTTTCCGTAAGCATATCTCATCATTTCAAAGATAAGATACAGTGAAGGAATTCCACGCGATGAAACACGAGCAAAATCGACACTGATCATGCGTGGGCATGACCGAAACCTTGAACAAATTGAACCCTGAACAAATTCCGCGAAACTAGATCTTCCATTCTTCGCAGGAAGTCAAAAGGAACTATGCAATTAGAATTTAATCTTTGTTCATCTTCCTTTTCTTTTAAAGCTACTTTTGGGAGTTGATGTCCTAAAATTTCTGTTGTACTGACATATGGTTGTCCCAGTCATTTATGACGGCGGTCCGTTCTCTCTCCTCGCATGAAGACTCGTCAGACAATGGACTGGTCCAGGCTTTTAAGAAACATCTAATACACCAAGACGTGTAAAGATTTGTCGAGGTCAATGTCCAGTACGTTGACTCGACTTCAGGATTCAGTTCGTCACTACCATGACGTCTAGGGACCTTTGACTCAACGGGCCGCAGCTACCTTACCTACTTACAGCTCAGGGGATACTTTACAATAACTTAAAGCAATAAAAATAATCGTGCAAATCAGCAACCGACCAGCAGTGTACTAAATCGAGAAAAAAGTGTTCTGGATCTTATCAAATCTCTCAGCAACGAATGCTCGAGAAGTATACGAAGAGCCTGTCTCATGTTGACTCGAGAGGCACTCTTGAGACCCGGAACAATGTTGAGACGACCCGAGGTGTGGCTGTTGACAAGTGAGAGAGTCGAACACTGGCGTCGAGGTCAGCGTCTGCATGCGTATCATTGCTAAGGAATCATTGTTAGTATATTGAAACTAGATTACCGACTTCGACCTGGCAAACAGCATCGGAGCACCCCACGGATTAGCAGGATATCCTGCTCGTACCAAGTCGACACTCGTAGAGCTCAGCAATAACCTCCATAGAGAATACGAAGTAACAGGATTTCTCCTACAGAATCCCTCCTTCTTCACCTCGCCCGCTCACATGTTCAAGTTCAGCACACAAACGTCTCCGACTGGTAGCATTCCGCTCTAGAAGCATATCGTTCGAGGACCTCCGCGTCATATATTAGTATGATTTTGTCCCGCTTCATTCATTCTTCCACGGGAAGGTCCTGAGAAAGAAGAAAAGACGGGCCGCAGAGAGAGAAAGAGATCGTACCATGCTGCAGCATTGTTGGGAGTGACATGAGCTCGTCGCGAAAACGCCTGCAGAGCCTGAAATCGCCAGCACTCTGCGCAAAATCGACGAGCAGAGCCATCGCGAGCTGAGAATCCGGACCCTGATCCGCGATGGGGTTCTTGAAAATGCGCGCGCTGGTTCTGCTCTCACAAGCGCTGGCGATGGCGCTGGCGATAGCGCCGGCACGAGGCGCGGTGTCACCCGACGGAACGTGCGGTTCGACGGTGGCCGGCAACTACACTTGCGACGTGGAGTTCTGCTGCAGTCAGTACGGATACTGCGGAACCACGACGGCGTACTGCAACGCCGGATGCCAGACGGCGTACGGGCGATGCGGCAACGGCACCGAGGTCGCCGCGCCAGGGGAGCCGGCGCGCCCCGGCCTGGAGATGAAAGCCTGCGTGGCCAACGGCACGTACGCGCTCACCTTCGACGACGGCCCGACGAACATTACGGCGGTCGTCCTGAAGACGTTGGCGCGTCTGCGACTGAAGGGCGCCTTCTTCGCGGTGGGTTTGAATTTGGAGAACACGACCGAGAACCTGGCGGCGCGCGCCGCCTTCCGAGCGGCGTATCGCGCCGGGCACCTGGTCGCGTCGCACAGCTACGACCATCCCCACTTCCCGACCTTGACCGTCGCGGCTATGGAGGAGCAGCTCGACAAGACGGCCCTTCTCTTCGAGCAGCTGATCGGCGTGAGGCCCCGCTACTTCCGAGCGCCATACGGCGAAGTCGATTCAGACGTCGTCGGTGTACTCGAGGGCCGAGGCTACAATTTGATCAACTGGAATTTGGATCCTCGCGATTGGGAATCCAGAAATGAGACTTTGATTCTGGAGTCGATCGCCGATCAGCTCGCTGTCGGATCTCCTGCCAACGATAGCTGGATCGATGTGAAGCACGACACCGTTCCGGCTACCGTCTACGGGCTGGAGAAGATCGTTCGTCTCATTCAGAGCAAGGGCTACAAAATCGTTCCTTTGCCGGAATGTGTTGGCGACACGAAGAGCCCTTACACGAGAATCTAGTGATCGGCCCCAACTCGTCTGACCGAATTTTACAGCTACTTTGTTCTTTTATATTCGCAGGAGCCCGCTCACTCCTCCTTAAAGTTACTTCTAGACAACAAAACCTTGGAGGTTTGATTACAGTACGTTCGGTCCGTAGTATTGCACTCGCTGAAGAGGACATTAAAATCACCAATTTTGTCTCAGGAACAATAAGCGGAGGTGGAGGCACGTGAGATTTGTCTTTTAAACTGGAGGTTCTCACATAGCAGGTGTTCTTTCAATTATCTGCTTATTTTTACTGGATTGTTTCTTTTCGTGGAATTATGTCATAGCAGAAGTCAAACTAGGTAGTGGCAAGGCGACTCTTTCGAATTCATAGTAACAGGTGTTACATTTTGAATAAGCCCCCTGAGGTTCCGCGTAACCCTTTATACCGTAGATTATCAAGTTCGGATTACTAGCTCAAGCGTTTGGATCCCTGCCTTCGGTAGGATGTATCAATTGTGACAAAATTGCTGCGCGTATTCGAAAGCCACGCTTGTGAGCTAGATGCTCGTTGGCATGATGTGGAATGCCGAATAGGCTGTGTATCAAATTTTTGCTTAGGCTGCCATTTGTCACGATTGTTCCACGGCGAAGAAAAAAACTCAGGCTTTTGCAAGCAGAACCAGAAGAAAGTGATATCAGCAGCAGCTTTTCTGCAAAACTCTTCGGACTCGAGCGTGCAAAAAAACGCAAGCTGAAGGTTGCGCTCACATTCTTGCAACATTCTGTCAGGGTACTGAGAGTTGGGGTGGAATACCATCTACTCTCTCATCTCTTAAGTTCTTTATCGAAAAATCTGATCTCCTCCCCTCTACTGAAGCACATTGCAACCTGGGACGTCTGGACCTTCAAACGGTCAGTTCAGGCGCCACGTGATTACATTTTGTGGCCTGTGATAAAATAAATTGGCCTGTTGCAAATATGACTTACTTCTCGATTTTCTTGCAAGGGATTCAGTGAGAGGCTCATGAAGCACCTCGTTGAATCTTCTGGAAGAACTGCCTTTTCTTGGTAAATAAGAGGCTAAAGTTGGCTACAAAATAGAATAGATGTTCCATAATACTCAAAATTTGGAAGTTTCAAAACATTTATAGTATTACGAAACAATTTTCTTGTCCGGCACGGAGCACGGGCAACTCTCTCTCAGGTCACCATTACTTGAATTTTTCCATATTTCAGTTATGGTTTGTAGAACACATCTCGGATGATTACTGCCAGAATTTGGCTACAGATCACTGTACTGTCTCGTCTTGGAAATCGAAGACTGAAAATATACATTGTGTAAACTCTGTTACATATTTACTTTGTCTGTAATATCTTTGAACGTCAATTCATCATCAGGATGAGGATCAGGTTCCTCATTCCTTTGCTCTCGTTCTTGCTCACCCCTTGCTGGCACAATCATTGCATACTTTTTATAGCCAGAACCTACTTAGTCATTTGATTGTAATACTATAAGGAACTCCAAATGTTTAAACCTCCCAAATTTCAAAGATTATGGAACATCTGTTCTATTTTGCAGCCTCTTATTTACCAATATTTAGCCTCTTATTTACCAATATTTACCAAGAAACGTCAGTTTTTCGAGAAGATTCATAAGCCTGTGGTTCCTTGGGACCCCATTGGAGTCCGCAGGGAACTATTGCATCATGTCCTCATCTCCCCTCGGGAATGTCTTCACGTTCGGTTCTTTTGGCATTTATAACAGCGAAGATGATTACTCTTCAATCTCCATTTAGCCTATTGTATTCCAAAATAACATGGAGTGGTTCATACGTGTCTCATTGTTGTGTAAGCCATTGGCCTACTTAGATATCTGTAAATTGAATCCGTGCTGTGTATGCATATTGAGCATCGATGATCGAGGATCATAGCTATTACAGCGGTATTTGTGTTTGCAAAGCAGTCACATCATGGATTGGCGGAGCATATATATGTCAATATGTCAATATATATTCAATATGTCAAGCATGCAAGTAGACTATCTGGTCCAAAAGTCTTTCAGAAGAACTAGTTTAATTCTAAAATGATTTCAGTAAGCGCTATGACAGTGATGCATGTACTCACGGAAGAGTACCTACAGACAAGGACTTGGATGTCAAGTCGTTATCAATGTGATGGCCTTCGAAGACGTATCTGATCTGAATTTCAGGAAGACGATTCACTCGGATTCGTACGTGAGTAAATCCTGCACGCCCGGTTCGGAAGCGAGACGTTGATAAATAAAAACAGGCTCGCAGATGAAAAGAGGAAGTTCGTCGACTTGCCTTTTCTACTTGTTCTAGGGACGTAGGAGCACTAATTCCATACTCTAAGGAGCCATAAATTTCCAGTATTCAAGAACATACGATTTTTCACGGCATTTTCTTACCTCTCAACACTGACAATTCAGATAATCCAACAAGGCTAAGTTGCGAGTGCTTCGGCCACGAATTCCTGTTTCACATGACTGAACACATAAAAACCTCCATCTGCTTTTACCCTTCGTTTGGTAATTACACTCTTCAGAAATCATGATCGGTGTTCTAACGATACGTATGTTGACGACAATATCGTTTTCCGGCCTAGAATCAATTAGGTGAGTGGTTTGTTTTATCTTGTCACATTTTCCACTTACATAAAGAGAAGCTGAGCACTACCATCTCGTGAATCTCAAAGTCTGGCCCCTATGCACATCGATATTCACCAGTCATCTAAGTTTTCATGATCAACTTCTCACTTCCCGTGGCAAACGACCATACAGTCCTGATGTGCTGATAATCTAGCAAGATCATGACTCGACTTTCTCATATTTGCTATTTATTTTTTTCTTGGAAAGATAGGTGCCAACCATGATCTTAAATTTACTAAAAGTGACCAAAACCAAAACGGAAGACCAAAACCAAAAATTTCTTAAAATTTCAAATCAAGACATTTGATACCATGTAAAAAATTTAGCCCTCATGTTTTAAACATGTAGATCGTCAATCTATCCACATATTGAGGAAATCAGTGGACAGGTTAACCCCTCTCAATGCTGTTGACACACCGAGAAGAACATTTCCAGGCGGCGTACCTTCCTCTCTCACGGTAACACAGGAAGAGCAGGACAACTTTTGCGTGAGTTTGTTGACGGTACACTCTCGGATTGCAGGCTTCTCGGAATACCGACAAACTCTAAATCATCAGTGTTTACACTTGTTCGCGGTGGTAATGTTTGCATACACGTGGTAGTCAAGCACATCCATCAGAGCCTTACCACAATACTTATTTGTCTCCACCAGGAGTTAACAAGCTTAATAACCTCACTTCCGCGTCTTTCGTCCTAACAATTAAAGCAGCTTCGTCACCACAAGTTCCCTCATACAAGTGCCAAGACGATTGGCCTTATATTTTACGAACGCTCTTGTTAAGCTTGTACAGTGAGTACTGAATGAATACGACTATAATAACACGAGCATAGAGATAGTGGTCCTTAGCGAGAGTTTATGGTAGACGACAATTGCAAACTCGACTCCATAAGTTAGAGCTTCTTAGAATTTTCATCGACTACCCACATATTAGTCAGGTGGGTAGGCAACAATGCACACTAGACCACAGAAGTTTCCCATAGATCAAAAGCAGGTTAAAATTTTAGAAGGCACTCCTCGGCATCAAGTCTCACACACCAGTGAGCAAAAGCTCCAACGCTTGACTGTGCTGCAATATTTCTTTGGAAGCAACCACGCTCAAAATTGACAAGTATTGCAAAACACACCAGCTTTGAAAGGATGGTCAAAAGAGAGTTTCTAAAATAAGGACAGACTTGCTTCAACCTTCACTTGGAAACCTCATTAAAACCAAACCACCCGCCCTCGTAAGATATAGAAAGATGATCCCGAAGTGTGAGAAATCATGTTACTCACAAAGAAACTGACCTGGTATACACTCCTTGCACCAGAATAAACGAAGCAGTACGTCAAGTATAAATCCACACCTCATTGCAATAGAAACCTGGGAGATGAAGCTCGCTGTTCTTGCTGCCACACTGAAATATAAGATACACGGTCTAAATTTTCCACCGAAAAGTGTACGGGCAAATATTCTCGCTAATAAACCCGCTAGCTGATGCACTCTTGTATTCCGCCCTGTGTTGACGTAGTAAGCTGTGACGACGTAGTAAGCTGTGGAAACTCTTGATCTTCCATAAAACTAGATGAATATATATACTCAGAGTGATCTCTTGAAAGACAGCACTTGCGAGCGTTGTGGTTGTAGCTGGATGGTCCAACGTGGAAGGCGGATCCATGGTGCAAAGGAACATAACAACGACTCACAAATGCCAGAATCACGAGGTAGCAGGGGCAAAGCTTCAGACATGAGTTCAACAAGCTGAGACCAGCTGAAAATCCAATGGTGCGTTATGAACCGAGCACAAGCGGATCAAAATGCTCGATGGATTTCAGTTGCTTCGCACCATATCATTATTAATATTTGGAGGTTTCCTCTGTAGTCAAAACTTCAATTCTCAAAGTAATGTTCTCCGTACGAAAAACGTACTCTCGACTCCTATCTAGCATGCTCGCAGTACAAAGCGCTGCATTCCTGTAGTGCAACCCCACGACTAAAGAGACCTGCTGCTTGCAAAGCCTCGCATCTCATCAAATGAATGGGCGGCAACCAAAACAGGCTGAGGCAGAGTACATTAGCACACCATTGCTAGCAATGGTAAATGCAAATTCCATCCACACCAGTGACCGTATACAAAACACATGCGGCTAATGAGCTGCATGTGGGATGCCTACAGACCCTTTTTGAGCTCGCAGGCATCATGCTGACTCCTTACATATTAGAAGACAACCGCCAGGGCACATTCATGTCCACGCAGATTCAAACCTTCGCAGCATGCTTACGTTGCGAAGCAGCCTGCGACTGGACAACCGAAAAATCCACTTCACGTTAGCTTCTTTCATAATCGACATCCGATGTCCTTTCCAGGAACATCCGCGATCTGATGGCAGCACAAGCACTCAGACACAAAGTACTCAGACTCAGAAAACAGAGCTCCAACAGTCTTCCATGATTGGAAAAACAACTGCCTTGGACCTACTTCAATTGTATGATCCAATCTGGCGTAAACCCTACACGTGGGACAGTAGTGAAATAGAATAATCCGATCGAATTAGCCGAGCTACTTCTGACTTATAAATGACAATTAAACGATCCCTGAGAACCCTAAGGGATCCATAGACGAAGACGATAAGAACATTTGACTGCAAAAACATGCGAGATTCACCTTCAAAACAGCAAGCTTTATCGTTCCATAGGCCACTCCAATTGTGGCTGCGGTGACTCGCGCTACCTGTGCACGTTAATTCCCACCGTCAGATACACTAAATTTCCCACAAACAATCGCATCCGAAATCATCCCCAAAAACACTCGAGCATCACCCCGGTGACGAGCACAAGCACACCCACGCCACGAACAGATCAGAGCAGAGGAAGAAGGAAATCGCGAGAGCACTCACCAGAGCCAAGGTACTGGTACCGGAATACGGGCCTGCACCCGCCATCTCTGCTTCTCTGCGATCGGTGTCTCGATTGCCTTCCCTCTGTGCAGCAGAGAGCAGAGCGTGGGCTGAATCTGTCTCCTGCGTATGGATCGCTCGCTTTCTCTCTCGCTAGGTCATGAACGAACGAAGGGACGAAGGGACGAAGGGCTCGAGCTGCTGCCACTCCTCCCTCCCACTCAGCACAATCGCTCTTCACTCTCCCTGCCCCGCCCCGCCCCCCGCGAATAGCTCATCCACCCACACTGCGCCCTTTGGACAGACGGACGGACGGACGGACGAGCTCCCTCGCTTCCGCACTTCGCTCGCTGAATCCGTTGTCCGTTGCCAACTCGCGTATCGACGGCTCCCGCATTTTCCGCATCGAATCTCTCGAGGCCTATTTCCACTCCCGAGACCTGGATCCACCGGAATCAGGTCTCTTGTCCGATTCACTGCGGTTCGGACGAGCGTCCGGACGGACGTAAAATAGTGACGCATTCTTTCCCACTTATTCCCATTCCAGCCCGCTTTGATTTCGCTGGATCGGATCCATTTAGGTTCTGGATACAACTATAAACAATACCTTGAACAACTTAATAGTATCTGTCGTAATTTAATGGAGCGATTTATTTCCTCAGTTCTACTCCACTCGGATCCTTTTATACAGCTATGGCGAATGTCGTGAGCAACTCTTCATTTTTTGCTATTTGATGTATTGTCGGTAAGATTAGGTTCGATGGACACGTTTTTGTATTTGATGACTGGACTGGTGATTACTGTTGAAATTATGTATAAGGAATAAGAAACATACTTTGCGTATTCATGACTATAATTGGGATGATACGCAATGGATAGAGCTCTTCTCGATATTACAATGTTTCAAATAGTTATAATTTGTGAAAATCTGGATCATATAATATTATTCTATATATTGATTTAAATATTAAATTTCATTCCTTTATTTTCTTTCAATTTTTTTGAATAAACTCAGAAATATTTAATTCCAAAAATATTTTTGATATTCAACATTTTTTATAAAAAATTATGTGGATTAAATCTGTATCCTTTTTTACCATTTTTTAGGCACATATTTTCCTAAGAAGAAAATTGATATTGATTATTGCATGATTTTTATTTAATTGAGAAAAGTTTTATTTATTAATTATTTTAAATTAAAATAATTTTTAAAATATATGATTTTTTTTTAATTTATGATGAGGTTAATATTATTAATAATTTATAATTTATTAATCCAAATATAATATTTTTCAAAATTATAAAAAATATAAGGATATATATATTCTTATGTAAGTGTTTTTTTATTTTCTCTCCTCCATATACATTGTTTTCAGTAATGATTTCCTTGCTTAAGTTTGTAAAATTCAATTTACAAGACAATAACCTATAATTTTGCTTCATGCAACATTATTAAACTGAAACGAATGAATCTAGTCAATACATTTCACTAATTGGTACCCCAAATAAAATTTAAAAAAACTTTTTCTTGATTCATAACTTTAATTCCTGATTGATATGCAAAAGAATAAAAATTCACTATTTCTGTAAAAAAAATTCTTGAGCCAATTCAAGATTTTAGACAACTCATTGATTGTATTCATTTACGTTGTAAATCTTCAAACATTATAAAATTCATCTCGATATTTTTCTATATTTTTATTTTAGATAAATAATAATTCTTGTTTGGGCACAATAAATCAAGATATTGCTTCAAAAATAATTTTAAAATTTTAATTCAGTTTGAAATTCGGTTTTAAAAAATTTAAAATTCTGAAATAAAATTCTAACTTGACCATGAAATATGTAACAGATTTTTTGACTCAGCGAGTGAGATGATCAAGATTAACAGAAATATATTGATAATTAAAGTGTGACTAAATAAACTTCATGTAAGATTATTATTTGAAATTCAAGATGCCTCAATCCAATTGGAAAAAAAATGAAATATTATACCGAGAATAATTTATATTACAGGTCATACAGATGCAATGTAGAATATTTTACACCCTAAATTGAAACTATTAAAGATGTTAACTTCCAGTCGATTTGGACTTCATTGTATGGGTATGACTTGTCACATTCTTGCACGGGCAAGGATTAATGCTCCGAGTTTTAGACTCGAACGTGGATTCCTAAACCCATGCACTAGCTACTTTCTCTCCGGACAGACCTCCACCTTGACTTAGTCGCCCATCGGAATCTTCATGACTTGTATTTTTACATGCAGCATGTGTCTAAGTGCTTCACTCACAGTGAGACCGGTTGTATACCTTACAGTCAATTGGGTTAAAATACGCGTTTATTTGGTCGGGAAGGATCAGATTATTATAGGAAATATTATGACAATAAATTCTACATGTGACATAATATTATAAGCGGCGATTACCCATTCTCCTTTATGATCAGTGGGTGGATCTGCACCATGTGAGGTCCAAAATTATGAGGATATACAAAATGCACCTCATTGTTACTGTAGTTTGGAATTATTCGGAGCTTTGGGCATACATTTTTAAATATATACTAGTGAATCTAGCAGAAGGTATACACTAGTGGCAATGATTATCGCTCTCTTCTATTATCGTGAAAATATTCCAAATAAAATGTACCCATTGCTCGAATTCTAGCACTTGTAAATCAATCACATAGGTTGATACATGTTTGACCTAGGTTACGATGCACTCGGGAGGGTTATTGGGATGGTAATGGTTTCCCTGGTGGTTTCATTCATGCAGGACTTGAGAGGGTCGTCCCGTCCTTTTTGTTTTTCTGAAGAGTAATCTTCTCGTGGTACCTTGTAGCCTATGTAACTCGAGTGGCTAAATTTTCGGGAAATTTTCGGGGCTGCGATGGAGTTTGCCTCCGGAAAGAAGAAGCGATGGGTAGAGGGATGTAGAGCGGATCCCGCACATTCGGCAGAAGATTCCGCACCGAAAACCTCATGGCGGGCGAAAACGGCCTTCCTTCCATGGCCGTCTTCGGCCGAGGAGATGAGACGCGTCCGTTCACAAGGCGCCGATCCGATGTCGAAAAGCGTCGATGGCCGCTGCCATCGCCATCGCCGTCTGAAATTAGTGCCGACACAGCGCCACTGAAGCCTGTAGAATGAGATCGATTTGTCAGCTCGGATGACTACTTCTCATCGAGGCAATAACTTCGAGATTCTGCGAACATTTGGATATGCTCTTGGACATAACTCTTTCGTCCGACCAATCGGCTACGACGACTCGTGGAGTCTCTTTCGTCGTTGGCCCTGATACTTCCTGTTATCGCATTTCTGCAAGCGAGTGAGGAACATCTTGAAAATGATCCTATTGGCAGGTTTGTCCCTGAGAAGCCTTGGATTTTTCAACAAGACGTCGAGCGGGTAGCGTGCGCCATTCCGCAAGGCTCTCGCAAGAGAAGTTCTGCAAAGCATTCGGAGAACGTATTCGGAAACAGGTAGCGGATGGACTTTGGATCAAGAAAACGTGCAATGCCTGATCCGGGATGTGCGAATTGGGGCCTGGGGTTATTAAGCAATAATTTCGAAAACTGAGACGAGGTTTTGAACTCATAAGGGATCACTGGAGTTGCGCAGGCCCTCCAGAAGATACAGTCCTTGAGCCCATTTTACCAGAAACAGAAACACGGATTGGTGTTCTTTGATAGGTAGATGACAAATATTATGGACTGCACATTCTCCAGACTCCAGGTCTTCCGACAAGCTTTGTTCGCCGCTGCATTTCTGTGGACAGGAACGCCAGGAGTTGTAGCAAGATTCACTCCTTATGCAAAGGCCGTGTCACTGGACACTGTACCTTCTCTGGTTTTCCAAAAGTGGAAGCTCACAAATTATCGAAGAAACGAGCCCATTTATCAACTAAAATGCGTGTCCGGGTGCGAGTTTGAACCTGGTACAATCATCTATCCTGAGAACCTGTAGAAGTAACGTTCTAAGGGTGGCCAAGAAAACACAAACACCGCTCGAAGGTTGTTCTAAAGATGATGCCAACGATACATGCCTTCAGACGGCATGCATGCTCGTTTGTCAAGTTCTTAGATTCCTGTATGAATCTAACACTGACGGTTACTGAAGCTGAAATGCCTCTACCGACACCTTGTAGACTGGGTCAAATGCTTCAATGTTAATTCGCCAGTTGACAAGGGACCAGCATGGCGCTGTCAAGCCGACCTGCCATCACATCTCCAATTTTTCACCCTAGAGGTTATATGCGAGGTACCATTTCTCTGTACTTAAGACGTGAGAATCATGATACAATCCGCATGCCAATTTCATGCCTTTTCCCGCAAACGTGTCAACTTGGAACGATAGTAGTTGTTTCAGTGCACGATTGATCAGAAGAGACATAAACTCATAACTGTAGTCAAGAATAATAGGAACAAAGCAGGTTTGGAGCTTTGGTCGATGTTGGTTTTACTCGGAGTCTGTAGGAGTATATAAGAGCCGTGGAGTGTAAGATGAAGCTCTTGACGGTCTTCATTTATCCTATCTGCACTCCATATTTATAGCGATGGAAGTAGCTTGTAACACAAGAAAAGAAAGAATCAGTTTCTGCTTGATACATATGGCGATGGAAGTAGCTTGTAACACAAGAAAAGAAAGAATCAGTTTCTGCTTGATACATATGGCGATGGGTAGTTATGCGAACTGATTGAAAAGTGAGTAATGTCTTGCAGCACGACCTTTGAATGCTCTCGAAAATGATCGAAACTAATGCAGCTGCGTTCGCAGGGCTACGAGTCAAAAAATGATAAGAGTATACTGGAAGGAAGCTGCGGGCTTGAGTACAGTCTTAGGCATGTAGGTACGTACATACAGTCTATGTCTTCTCGGTCAAGCGTTCATTAGCTTGGTAGGTTCCAAAAGCTAAGAGTTCACCACACTTTGACAATTTGCTCTTAAGCAAATTGCATCTCCCACAGACATGCGAATGGATTGACATCCATGGTTCCACGAAAGTGAGTCATATTGCTGATTGTTTCCAACAGCACCACCCAATCCCGAGCCTCGAGGAGCGAAGATGGCATCAGCCGAAGTCAGCAATCCAGAGGTAAAATAAACAATCCTATTTGCCCTGTGTTTCAACAAGTCGATGCTAGTGGTCCTCTGGCTTTAGAGGGTTTAGAGTGTTGCTCCCAGTGTCATGCTGGTAAAACGAAGATGTGAAATTCTGTATCATCGATCTGAATAAAGTTTGCAGTGGTGGAATAGACCACGCGACCTCGCTCGTGGAAACATCATCATCATGAACAGATGTAAACTCATGTGGTGTTCATCCACGATGAACTGTCATGCAGGGTAAGAGCGAGTTACAGTGGGGCACATGTCAATGGTTGATATTGGCTACTGTCATTTACGTTTGCTGCTATTGTCTCTACCAAGTTGTGCAAACCGGTACGTACCTTAACAACGCCAAGTTTCACGGTGCTTTCATCTATAGTATAAAGCCTGGATTTCTCGATGGGCCAACTTGGTCCAATCCGTGAGTAACAGAATGCGTGTGCTGTATCTATGGATTTAGAGGTTCACAGTGCTGTATGTATACAAAAACGTCTAAATGTATATACACAAATAAATTGTAATTCGCTCTCTCACCTCGTGTAAGTCAATGCAGATTTGAAGGAAGCTCTGATCAGCACACATCAAAAAACGACAGAGTAAGAAACTCCAAGACTTGTAAGACTTCATGGTCTAATTGTCTCAAAGCATACTTGTGCACAAAAGTTATTTGCAGTGTAACCTGTTTCACTTAAGGTTAGCTCATGAGCTATCATAGGCCCAGGGCAGTTTGTAAATCTTTTCTTCCTATCCTTCCTAGTGTGTGCTCAAATAGCAGAGACACAAATTTGAGCTATGCTAGTTCAAAGAATTTTTTTCACGTGCGGTGAAAACTTTAAACCCGATGTCTGATTACACAAGTGAAGTAAATTTTAGTAATCTGATTTCGGGCTGCGCCCCTATTGTAGTAGTAGCAAGAGTTGTGGTGATCTGCAGAAATATTGTACTCTACCTCGTCGCCTGTTCAGACAGTGATCCTTGCTCGTGCTCGCTTTCATGTTTAGCTCTGTAATTTCGCCTAATATCAAAAATACCGCAAGCTACAGCTGCCAGTTTCGTGAACGGAGCCAATACAGCCAAATTGTACAAAGTTGATATCTCCGGTTTCAATATACTGTTTGCGACATAACTCTCTATGGTCACAGGCTCTCGACCACCGGCAGGTGTGGTAAATGCCAAAGCGCACGGGCGTCACTATCGGATACGCTCAAGCAACGATATCATTCAGATCTGCAGAGCTGGTAAGTTGAGAAACTTCACATTTTTCGAAATACAAATAGTTCCTCATGTATCTTTGACACAGATCGGGAGTTTAACAAAAAGGAGGCTACTGGGCCGTAGAAACCCATGCAATTTGTAGGGCTGAGGGTAGAAAATAGCTGAAGTGCATCGACATACTACTTCCGTATCTTAGATGATGACGTTTAGAATGTAGTAGTTAGTGGGAAATCGAGTTCCTTGCCTGAAGACTACTTGATTCCGAGGACTTCAGATACGAAACGAAACTAAGTGCGTACTTCTGAGAATGTTAATTTCACACTGAATCAGGCAATTTGAAACACCATCAGAATGTCGAAAGCCAAACGAGCAAGCCACAAGCCCACATTTGAGAGCAACATCGCCTACTTGCAACAGCCGCTTGAGAAGCAGCCCGCCCAGAACCCCACGTTCCCCAAGAGGAGGATTCTTCAAGAAGCTTGATCGGCCTTCGCGTTGTAGGAAAAGAGAAGAGTTTGACAGCCCCAAGGCTTGAAAGAGCGATTTTAGCAACGCCCTCGTGTCTATTGAAGTCAGTAAGACCAAGGAAGAGTACTAAATGCCCTGTTGCTGAGTAAGTTTATCGACGAAGCTTTAGAAGCTTTTTCCGCTCTAAATCAAGAGCACATTGATCAATACGTCCCTTCAGTATGAGTTCTCTTCTTCAGCCTTTGACAGAGCCACAAAGGCGACAAAAGGTCGTCGAAAGTCGCAAACGTTCAAAAATGTTCAAAAGGGCAAAACAGAGTTCAGAATGACCACAAATGAGTAGTTCTTACATGATTTTCCGATTACATGTTGACAGATCACAAGATGTACATTATGTAGTGGGAAGAGGACGTCTTGACCCCTAGATGTAAGTCTTGAATGTCTAGTTGTAAGAACCTGAATACCTCATGTTACTTACACTTCTATTTTTACAACCTCAGCAGCATTGCATGACTTCGATTCACAGAAAAGAACTTGATCAAGGGAGGCGCTCAAGACGAGACTCGGATGCCTGCCAGACAAGTAACAACACATGCTATAAGACGTCAACTTTGACGTCTCATTGCATCGCTTGCTACAACACATGCAATGAAACGTCAAAGGTTGATTCAGTATTTATGACACACATGATTGCACTTTGCTATTCGCATGCACACATACATCGTTCTGAGTGAAAGCGATATGTAGTCCCAATTCCACCTTTACTCTCCTCGTAATTGTAGCAATATTTACACCAATAGGAGTCGATATTTTTCAAATACAAGGTTCAGTGCAGGATGTTCTTGAAAAAACTGAATCCTGAACCTTGTGGCCCTAACTGCTGCCGTGAAGGAGCCTCCACTGCGCATGACGTCCACTCAAAGCCAAGCCTTTTTTACATGTAGCTGCGTGAGCAACGGATGACCCAGCTAGGCTAGTTATCTCATAAACATCTGTACATTTATCGTCTCCTGTGAGTGGGATTGGCAACAGCTCATCAAAATATCTGGAAACCTTAATCACTACAATAAATTGCAGAGCATCCTGTTCTTTCTTTATCGAAGTTCCCTGTACTTAAGACTACTCTGCATCTGTAGCGAGGCCGGATTCCTACCAGAGAAGAGACTTTTAAAGTAAAACACTATCGTTGAAATTACACTGAAGAACGCTGAAGTTACTGAGCTACTTAGGAAAGTAGCTAAGTTATTTTGGCGGTCGCCAAAATACCGAAAATTGCATCCTTTTCTTCTGATATCGTGGTCTCTACCTTTCGGGAGCAAAAGTCTATATATGTACACCTGACGAGAAAGATCAAGAACGCTATTGTACACTCGGTTACGAAGTTGACTTTCATTAAGAACCCTGTACAGCGAACTAGAGCCTTCAGACCAAACTAATCATCATCGATATGAATGCATTCCATCAAGAGTTGAAGTTTGGATGTAAAATTTTTTTCGCGTAGGTCCTGAATACTTTCTTCGAGTGTTGTGTCGCACACCAGATTACGTTGAATCAGGAACTTTGAGCACCCTGCTCAGACAACGAGGGATGATAAGTTCACCTTCAGCTGGCATCAGACCGATAGGAACAAACTGAATAAGTAGGCACCTCTCCCAGGTGCTGAAGTGAAGAAACAATGTACTCCTGGATGAACAAACAGTTGATCAAGTCTGAACTCTCACCAGCAACTGCACACTTGCGAATCCCAGGGAACTGGCTTATGTAGGCCGTCGCAAATGCTCGATCATAAACGTGATGGCAATTGACACTGTACATATGGAAATCCCAGTAATTGGTCAGTGGCTTAAAAGAAACTCCAAGGATGAAGCGAAAGAGACGAGCAGTCTGATGAGGTGTGATCACAAGTTTGTGAGTGATAAAATTGCTGAAATAGATGCAGTATGTAAAATACTGGTAGCACCCACTGACCTTTGTACTGGATCGTCCAATTCAGTAACAAGCTTCCCACTTAGAGGGCACCTAGTGTTGACTACTCCATACTTAGAACCTGTCATGCATGTGTCATCGTTCTCGTCTTCGAAGTCATCCGAAAGCTCCCCACCAGACTGCAAGTTCAAAGGTAACTCCTCAATTTTGGTGTACATCATATCAATGTTAAAGAACCAAGCAATCCTACCTACAGCGAGTACCGTTGCACTTTACGACCAAGAGACTATCCAGTCCGAGAATACGAAGTGTAGTTGAATTCCAGAAAGTTAGTTCGTCAAAGTTTCAGCCCCCTAGCCCTGGGGACATCCTACTGTAACTGAAGTTTCTCCAGTAATAGCATCACAAATTCCTTCTCAGAGGTCATTCGCTTCTCTTCAAGTGTAAGTACCATGTACGACAATAAATTCCTGAGCAAAAGTAACGAGATGTGAAATCTAAGATTCCAGTCAGTATGTACGACAGCGGGTCCGTCGAGGAGAGGTAGAGTATTCTCCATTTTGCGTCCTTGAAAGCCGTTCGAGGCTCAGTTCCACATCAGTGTATTCTGCAATTTAAAGTCCGTAAACTGGAACATGTTCTGTACAGCTAACCCAGAGGAGAGTGTCTTTGACAAGGAAGACCACAAACACGTGATGTCAACCCTAGAAGTATACTCCGACGGACACAGCAAAGACAAATTTCCTTCTCGGACCCGGGACTGCTGGGGTAATTCGAGTAGAACATAGGTCTCCTTGAGTTGTAGAAGCTGCGTACAATTGTAGGGTTTAGAGTTGTTGAGTGCAGACTAGAGTCAGGTATTACACTTACGAAGTCAACTTTCGTCTTGCTCGTCTTCTTGCATCCGTCGTCTACACTCCCCACCGTCTTCTCAAATTTCGAGCAGAACTTCATAGGAGTCCGTGACTCCTGATCGCCCTCATCCAGGAGCGGGCCTACAGATATCTTGTCGCCCTGAGTCTTTCCCCTAGTGAAGGTTTCCTCTGAATTTCCCAGCATCTTATCGAACTTCGGACAGGACCTCAATGGACTGTCGTTGAACGGCTCATAAGCATCCACCATCGAGCAATTCTTCGACTTCTCCACGCAATCTGCAACGACACGGATCCAACTCTTTTCCTCCTTTACAATTCTGTTCACGAGGCTCCTTTCCGGTTTCACTGGTGCCTTCCAGCATTCCAGATCTTCAGAGCAAGACGTCAGCGGTGGAGTCCGTGGATTCTTCTCTTGTGTTTCGCTCTTATTCTCGCTCAAGAAATCCTGCACTGAAACAGGAGAAACGAGTTCTTTTTTCACAGCCATGGCCTTCGGAAAATTCACCTCTTCTTTCTTCCCACATTTAACCTCTTGCGTCATCAATTCGCACTGCCCGAAACTCTTCGGCCTCAACACTAGAAACAGAGGGCTCTTCCTTCCGCACGATGAACTCCTCGACGGCGCGCTTCAAGTTTACAAGCTTCCTTTCACCAAATTGGGTGCCGACCGCTCTCAGACACACAATACGACATGAAAAGTACCAAAAGACTCCTCACGCAGGCCTCTCGAATCGGAAGCCCCCGACTCCAAGATGCGAGAAAGTGCTTGCACGAATTTCCACACAAGAATCAACGAACACTCCGACACACGACTGACCGATCGTCCAGAATCAGGTTTTACAGTCTGAAGCCAACCTTGGCTGTGCGACACGAGGCTTCAGAAGCACATCTCCTTGCCACAGCACTGCGCCCTCCTTCCCGCGCTTTGCCCGAACTTTCAAATTACGAGGTCCGCTTCTTCCCCAGTCAAAGCCCTGTAGACACTTGGGTCATACGCATGTGTGGCAACGAACCGACGGTCTGTGCACGACTCACCGAATCCATTATATTTCAAGTCATATTTCCAGAGTTTCCTTTTGTGTGCAATATTGCCAAGTTAGCTTTTAATTACGGACCGATATTATATCTCAGGATCCTGATGGTAACTTCACATAAGTAGCTTACGATTTTCATCTCTACTTGAATGTTATGGCCATTTTATCCTATAGATGAAATAATATTATTTGAACGAAAAATATGTATATTTCAGGACTCTGAGTATTTATTCACAATCTTACACATACACCAGTCACTTCTAAAGAATATTTGGAGTGATGTAATGATTCAATAACTGACGTAATAAAATTCAAATTCTTTATCCTCTAAAAGAAAGCGAACTAGTGGAGCATTAAATTATTAAGCCGACGTGTTCTTTCATGTCTTCTCTAGACAACAAAAGTATGTAACTGAAGCATGTAGCCGTTTGAAGTTTATGTTGAGAATGGTGTGAAGTGAATTAGTCTATCTCTCAATGCTGGGCCTACGATCCCTTGTGTTCCAAACAAAGAAAGATCATCTGTACAGTGCTTCCATTTCCTCGTCTCATTTTCCATACATACTGTGAAGACATTAAATTCATACGAGAGAGGAATTGGGAATCTTATAGGGAAGATAGCAATTTGACTTCGTAAGAAAAGCCCGAGCTCCTGAAACCGCGGGAGTAAGTGAGATAGACAGGAAGTAAAATATGAAGGGCATTACGTAACGGGAGAAGAAGACACCTTTCACTCTTGGAAGGTTCAGGGACGTCAACTTCGGTCCTGTAACTGCCTTCTTGTCTAATTCTTTTGAGTCGATTAAAGGCGACTTCTTTAGAATTGGACATTCGTTAAAATTGGAACGATACAGAGAAGATTAGCGTGGCCCCTGCGCAAGGATGACACGCACAAATCGAGAAATGGTCCAAATTTTTTTTAACGATATTTTCCACGGATTTTTGCGATAGTGAGTGCTGTCCTGAACGCAAACACTTATCGCAGCCTGCTGCACCGCCCAAATCAAGCAGATTAGAAATAAAGGTCATATGAAGTGTGTAACATGTCGATCAAATTCATCATTTAAAGAGTAAAAGGGAATGAAATCTTCCAATTCAGGATTCAAGAATATATGAACAGATTAAAAATTTTGGTTTTTCGAATTTCTACTTTGAATACAAGGAGATTAAAAGATTACTTGTAGAAATGCATGTGATCAAATCACGAATTTTGATAATCGTAATCACGAAGTTTAATAAGCGTAAAAATAGACAAAATATTGTATAAAAAGTGCTGTCTTTGTATAAAAAGATACATCAGGAAATTTCTTCAAAAAAATCGAAAACTAAATAGAACCTAGTTTCTAAGATCTTTCCTTTTTTAAAAAATCATGATATCCCATACATTTTGAATCAAACTTTTAAGTCTGAAGTCTTACATGCATTTATTGATCATACTTGATATATGTGATTCACATTGCAAAACTAAATTAGATTTTATGTAGTTCAAAATTGAAATAAAAAAGTTGTAAGTGTTCATTGGTTTTTTAGGTAATTTAAAAGATTCAAAAAAGATACTTTTTCAGTCATACCTTATAAGCTATTCAGGAAAAACACACTGTTGCTATTGTATTCATAAAGACATGGTAATCTGACCTCAAAAAAGTCAATCGAAATCACACACAAATGCACAAACATTAGATATAAGTGATACACACCTCCATACTATATTCACAAAAAAACTTCAAGTTAACTGATTTATTTTGAAGTGTCATAGAGAATTTTCATGAACTTTATTATATGACGATAGGTTAATCAACTTCTCTAATCTGATCAAGCTGACCTTAATTATTGAAATTATTGAGTTTATTCCTGATTTTTTTTCCTCTAACTCATGTCATGAGGATTATAAACTATGGAATACTTTGTGAAAAAAATCCTAACATGAATTACCTTTTAAACTAGAACTATATTGTAGCTAAAACATGATAAAATAAGTATATATATGTATTCATATCAAATTGCTAAAATTTTATATCTGTGTTATATATTCAAAACTTATAGAGCATCAAAATAACTTTGATGAACACTTTAGATGTATTGAGTTTATTATTCAATATTGATTAGCTTAATATTTTTATCATAAATTATTTTTGGTAAAATAATATATGATGTTGATGTGATTGACTTTGTTGTGCATCATTTGTAAAACATTATAATTATCAAAGTAAAGATGGAAAATCTTTTGTTTCAATCTCATCACATTGATAAGTTTATAATACCAATTAGCTTGTTTTTTTCTTTTGTTGTTGCTACATATTCAACTTCCATTGTGATTTCAAATACATATTTCTGCAAAATAAATCTCCAACTAATGTAAACATCATCAAGTGTAAACGCATATCAAGTTGTAAATTTTATCTTGTCTAGATCTTATTCATAGTTTATATCAACTTAGTCCAGCAAATATCTCGCAATGTCTAATAAGCCATCGAACAAAATAATATATTTTTTTGTACTCTTGAAGCACGTAAGAATCCACATAACAATTTTCAAATATTATAATTTTTTTAACACTTGAAGTATGTGATAATCCATTTCACAACTTTTCAATATTATAGTTTTTATTATTTTTGAGGTAATTGAAAATAATTTCACAGCTACCCAATGTAATTTTCTTGGATTTGACATTTTCTATAATTTATCATCTTGCATATAAGTATAAGCAATATTGAATCTTGTGCAAATCATCAATACATGAATTTGTTCAATGCTTTTTCATAAAGGATTGATGATATTTTTTGCTTCTCAATAACATTGATTAAAACTAAGTTTAAAAAAATTTAAAATTTACTGTAAAACAAATTTTCAAATTTTCTTTTAGTTTAGTGGCATGTTGAAAGTATCAAACAGACATTGTATATACTTGCTCTGACATAATCATAGTTTTTTTTCTTCAAAGTATCATGAACATGCATCTCTAATATACTTTTGAACGAATCCAAATCTTGCATTTATCTACAGAGGATTGATTCCTTGACCTAACATATTATCCACAGAAAGTACTAAATGATGAAATTATAGTATTTCATGATTCACTTTTTTCATTTAGACATTTGGATATCACACATTATGTTAAAATTTGTTATGATTTCATGAAATCATCAAACCTTGGATTCAATTGTTCATGACATTGATTCAATACATCTTAATGATTTAAGCAATTTACAAAGCATTTTCTTGTGACATTTATTCTCAAATTAAAATTTGTTGTCTTATGTAAATTTTAATCCTTAAAAATTCTTACTATATTGCTATACTTACATTCATTTGTTTCATAATCAAACTAAATGTCGGAACATGTATACATAGCATCAAAATAGTAGCATACTCCCCTACATATAAGAAAATATTTAACATCATTTATCATGTTTGATCCATGTACTTTTCTCTTTTCTGAAATCTCTAGCTATCAATCTGACTTTGAAGATAATAATCTAACATCTCCTCAATTATATTTTGACTTGTACATCTACTTGCTATCAATAAAAGATTAATCCATTGTAGCCTTCATTACTTTTCACGTCTTGTTATCCATCAATGATTGCATCTCATGTTTTATAGAGATCTTTCACTCAAACCTATTGACAAAGTCTTGAGTTTCTCTCAGAACAAGGTACTACTTTCCAAAATGAACGCATTGTCATCATAATACTATATTACAATATCATGATCTTCAACAATATATGAATTAATCCATATCTTATAAGAGCTCTATAAATTTGATTTGATTATCACTTAGTAGACCATTTTGCTTGATGTATATGATTTAATGCAATTGATTAAGTCTTTTCTACAATATCTTGTTATTTCATTCCTTGTTGATTAATAATTTGCTCCATGCATATTGGTGTTTATTTGAAAGTTAAAATTATTTTTGAACTTCTATATTTTGGAACTTTTCACATCAGAAGTACATAAGCAAAAAGTGACTGAAGTGGAGTCATCCATTATCTCATATTGTGATTCATACATAGTAGTTTATATGCGATAGTGAGCTTCAATTGTACACTTCTACATTTTGGAACTTTTCACGTCAAAAGTCCATAAGCAGAAAATGACTGATGTAGAGTCATCCATTATAGCAAATTGTGATGCATATATACTGTATATGCAATAGTCAGCTTCAATTGTAAACTGTGCCAATAGGACAGAAATCAATAAGGATCAATGTAAAGTGTATGCTCTTGAAATGCATGATGGGAAGATAAAACATTCTTTGCTTTAGATTAATTCACATATCCGCAAAAGTCTTACTTGCTGCGTAGAATACCTTTTATATATTACAGGGGCGCTAGGGAAAATATGGCTTGATGACATAAACTTTTGTTTGCATTCCTTTGCTATGTACCATGAAATTGCGCTTGTACGAGGCACAAGTGTGATTCATAGTAATTTTTCCTTGAACTGTCTAAACTCCCTCAGTCATGAATGAAAGTCAAACATCATATATCTTGAGATATTTCTTTCTCGAGTAAACGGTAACTCTTTCAAGGCTGTTATTTGAACTAAGGTGGACTGAGTCACTAGAAGATAATTTTATCTGCATGATAGTATAGTCTGCATGGGGGAACCTCAAAATAGAACCCTAAAACAAGAGGTGGTAAATTTATGAGTGTGGGATACTTACATATTTCCTTGAAAAGTGGATCAAATTGTAAACTTATTAAAGGCAATGGTATATAATCCATAAATTTCAAAGGGTACGCATTCAGTAACCTTTAACTGTCTTTCAACATGAATCATTATAAAACTTTTGTCATTTATCGGATTTGGTACTCTTTGAGTCCGTGTTGCTGTGAAGAATAAAGAAAAAAAACACGATAATTGTTCTACCTAAGTGGTTTTTGCTTCTTTCTGTTTTTTGTCACATTCGTTTTTGTCACTGAAAGTAGTTCGTATAGGGCTATCGAATAGTTATTAGACCCCTAATTTACACAAAGTATATCTAATAACAAGTAACACAATTCTGTGACTTTGACAATCTAATATGTGAGCAGACCTTGCATGCTTGATTATTGAAGTTCTTCTTAAATTTCAGTGTACGGTTGAGAGTTTTATTTCAACTGATTCGTGCAGTCTCTGATGTGTTGGTTTGCAATATTTCGGAACTTCATGGAGACAAGTTTCATTTAGGGGAGCAGTTCGTCAACCTTCTCCAGCAGACAAAGAGACAGTTGTAGACAAATCTCGAGAGAAGTGGAGAAAGGTTGCAAAGAGCGGCACTGTTACAGCAACCTTACAGGTTAGGCATCAGCGAAGAAATCAGAAGGCCAAGGCTTGGTAAAAATTTACGAGTCTTCGTCTGTCTACTCCTGTGATCGGAGACGAACCTGCTCGATATCACTAGAATGCGAAACTCAACGTCTTGTTGTAGACAAACTGCAGACATTCTGTCAATTGCACCGAAGAAACTGCCACTAAACTGACTTCCAATTCTTCTTTAACGTGAGAAACGATAGAATAGAAATGATTACTTTCATCTTTGAAATAGGTTCCCTGACATTATCTTAGGAACATCTAGAAATTTGCATCTGTAGCTCCGTGTATCTGAAATATTAGAATTATAAGCATGTGAACTCTCTGCATAGTACTTCACTTGGAAACCTTGTTTACTGCTTCCAATAAGATATATAATCACATGGACTAAAATTACATCGGTACTTGATTCAACATTGTACTTTTCATTCAGGTGCCTTGTTTATTACTGTACCAAGCTTATGTACAAAGTAGCCATGTGACTCATGCGAGAGGGCTTGTGTTATCGGGAATACAGTAGAAGACAAATTGTTACATGTAGATTGTACTGTCATGTCCGAGAATCGACTTGCCTTTTGCAAACATGATCTATGACGTGTGTTCCTTGTCGGACAAATTGGACTTGGTCGATGTCCTGACGACTGAAATCCAACTTTCCGACACAGTACCCACGTCTGGCTTCATTATGGATGATATCCTGTGGATCCGATAAGCCTAACAAATGAATGTCGCCACTGTAGACGAAAGTGAATAGTGCAAAATTCTATTATCGCAAGTGTTTTTTACTTGTAAACTTATTTGGTGTTAGTTAATTTGAATTAGCAATTTGAACTATATGTAGTAGCTAGTAGCTTATCTGAACGGCGAATAAGACGAATGACATCCTCCACAGTTTTTTTCGTTTGTTCGTGATGACTGTTATCACACATCTCACTTCAGGTGAGACATCTGGTGAGTATGTATGCAGGATTTCCCTCGTGCCTTGTTGTCATAGTTCGACACGTTTGCGATATTGAGCAGCATACGCAGGTTATCATGGCTTTACCGACCACATCCTGTCCATCAAGTCCATCAAGTCAATCCTGTCAATCATTTTCTATGACATGGATAGGGTCTTCACATCCGTTTTGCCATATGACTAGGTCTTCCTTTTTCTATGCACAAATAAAGCGTTTATGAATATGATCAGGATCTAGTGTCTCATTATGGTGTACATTAGGTTTCTCGAAGTCAAAGTGGACGCGGCCAGTACGATACCAATTGGACATGGAAATTAAAGCTTTCCCTGCTGACCATAACGTAAAGCCATAAGCTAATCCCTCAAGTCTTTCGGATTTGTTATATCGTATCTCATCGGGGACGCTTGGATTTGTTGCTGTCTTGACCAGATCCGCGAGTAGCAGTATTTCAGCGCTGACTTGAGGAGGAAGGCCTCAAACTCCATTAATAGGATTCGAGGTGAACGAGGAACCACTTACACTAGCACTGATTACAACATGAAGTCATCTTGATATGATACATACTTTCCAATGAGACATTGAAAGTATATATCAATTAATAATTGGAGTCTTACATTTTGTACTAGTCCGGCACATATCATCGCAAATCAGATAGTTCTAGGATGTATTTTTATATTCAATGACATATTTGGAGATACTAATAATGACTCGTACCTTAGGAAGATGAGTTCAGCATGATCTACAAGAGAACATGTATCTATATACATTTTTAAATATCTGTACATATTTTCTTCACAATATCAGACCGTATATGTTGAAGTATGACTGGGAGAAACAGAACTTTTCATCATCGTAAAGTAAGCTCTTTGCTTCAAATATTTGTCAGCTACAGGTCCACGATCTAAGTAGGAACCGCTGGCACATATATCATGTATTCAAGACATGCGTTACTAATACATATCATATGTTACGTTGTGCGAAACTAGGCCTATTCTCCCGGAGACATCTCTGCGTCTGGGCAACGTGCTCTGGGCATCCAGCTGGCAGTTGCCTGCAGCAGCAGATTGGCCATCAGTAGACTGGACATCGATATGGTAGAGAATGAGGATATCAAAGAAAAACCTCCTGACAAGAAGCTAGATGGTTCAAGATGTATACCATGTTCGTGGGAGGGTGCAACCTCGTGCAGTCCATTATTTGGTTGCTAAATTTCATCTGCATGAGTTCAACCAACCCACTAGATTTCTGGATCACTCTAACAATAACTCTGCTAAGTTGGAAGTCTCCTTTCCTAAACTGCTCGAGATATGAAGGCTTATATGGATTATCTCATAAGCTACTCATTGAATATTTACCCTGGATCTCAAGTTGTATCGTTGAATAGCTGTAAGCATCTCAATTTCGTGAAATTGAGATTCCTACTTCTCTTCAACGAAAAGACTTCTCGATCTTGAGTACCGCTGACTTATCAGAGGTATTTGAAAACCTGTTGGAAATTTGTGTCGAGCGAACTGTTTTATACAAATATCTCCTGAGGTTATACAACCATGACATATATACCGATCAAGATATGAGACATATATCATAGGATGAGAAGGCTCCAGACGAGTGAAATGAATCAGCTCAGGGTTGAGAAATTGATCCATATTAAAAGAGCTATATTTGATTAAGAACTAAGGGACAGCTACCATTATCAATGCGAGGGGATACATTCAAATATTGTTTAAAATTTATTTCTTTACTTGTGAATGACTTTGTCATGAGCGACAATCTTTCCAGCACTTCCTTCTCCCGTAGATTACGGCAAAAAGTATCGGGCCCTTGAGATTCGATAGCATTTGAAGCACTGCTCAGCATGTGTGCAGGTCACGGACCTAACCTTCAAGAAGTAGCGTGTATGCCATACACGCTACTGTCTGAAGACCATACACTGTATGGTCTTCAGACAGTCGTATAGAGCCAAATTATTGCGGATCATTAATTGGATATTATGGTTCTATTATCATCTGCCGTGACCTCAAAGTAGAATATATATGTATGTCACATAAGACCAAAGTGTCCATAACTAGTTCATGTAAGTCCACAGTCAATCCATCCATGAGCTCCTGTGTATAGAAGGCCATATATATATATATATATATAGATAGAAGCTTACGAGAGTGGGACATGCATAAAAACATAGGCTTTCGCTGTGAAGCACAAGCAAGCAGTGATTAGTTTTTACACATAGTAGGGCTATATTGTTCTCAAATGAAAACAGATTCTAACTTAGTCCGAGTAGTATGGATAATTGTAATTAAAGGACATGAAAAGATTTATTACGTTAAAGAAAACTGACGTTAAAAACATGTCTCCACTAATATCTATCTTTTAAGTGTTTCCTTTGTTCCAGCACCGTGAGGTACAATTATTATTCGAGATCTCGGTGAAGCCCTTTGATCTGGTGCTCAGAGAGGCACAATGTTGGCAGCCCACGAGTTCCCTTTATTGAGAACGAGCGTGGGTCTGAATCAGCTGCCGCAGTGCCCATTCTGCACGTCAGCGCAGAATGTAGAATAGACATTGAAGTCATACTTGGGCATGCCGGAGTTGATGATGGGCTTGGCGCCAGTCAGAGTGAAGGTCGTCGAGCCACGAGTGAAGGTCAGCGATTGTGTGCCAGTAGAGAATCCCATTCCGATAACCGACACGCCCTGGGTGACAGTCTGTGTGTGCGTAGAACCACCAGAATGCAATGTGACGGTAGCGGACGGACCCGGAGAGAGGATCACTGCCCCGTAGAGAACATCAGATAGCTTGTCTGCATGCAGGATGCCGCACACTCCAGGGATGGACGTGGATTTGGGCATGGTGTAGTAAAACAAATAAACCGAGTCCTTCGTAGCGATGGGCTCGGATCCTGTTTTGTACCACTGAATGTAATGCTGGCCGAGCTCCAGGTACGCTTGATGAGGAAATCCAGCGACGTCGACGTAGGCAGAGGAAGCGGCTGCACCAGAGCTGTAACCCGGAGCGATGTAATGCCCTTCGATCCAGTCATTCCACGAGACGATTTCCACCAGAGGAGGAGGATTGGCGATGATCTGGCCCCAATGCTGCACCCAGAGACCTGGCCCTTGATAGTTGCCCTTCACATGACAGGGACATTCGGAATTCGCGTCCCTTCCAGCGGCAGGATTGCAGGACGGAGAATTTGCCACGCAGCATATGGTGCCTGAGGTGCCTCCGAGATTCTTGAAGAACCAGGGTGCCGCCGCAGCCATGTACGTCTTGCCCAGATCGTTGCTCACCGTCAAAGAGCTGGCATCTCCAGGCGTTGTCCCGGGGGTGTCGAAATTGCCTCCCAAATAATTCCAGGCCGAGCTCTCCCATCCGAAGTACCCGTCGACGGTCGATCCGAAGGTGTCGTAAACGATCCCCTTGACGCCGTAGTAGGACCCATCGGTCGGGAAGAAGGGGATGAAGAAGTACAGGCTCTTGCCACCGGCCTGTGAGAAGATGTCATCCCAGGCAGCTTTGGAGTTCGCGTAGCCGTAGAACGACCAGTAGTCGTTGTTGTTGCCGAGCCACGAGGTGAACAATGCCTTGTTGTTGTAGAACAGCTGGTTCGGATGGGTTCTGTAGTCGGCGAGCATGCTGACGATGTTGGCCGGAGAGAGGCGGCCATTGCCATCGACGTGGATGTCAGCTGAGAAGAAGAGCTTGAAGCTGGACCCGACCTGTCTCGCTGCCTCGTAAATATTATCGAACAAGTTCTTTCGGTAGACATTGGTGTTCAATGCGAATGCGTCGATGCCCTTGCTTTGAGCGAGAGAGATTTCCCGCTTGTATGTGTCGATGGAATCCGGTGCGTAAATCAAGTAGTGAGCAAAGACCATTTTCTGAGCTGTGGCCATTGATGCACGCTGTCCGAGCATCAGTGCCAGCGAGAGAATTGCGAGAACGAATGGGGACTTCATTGTGTTGCCCTTAGTGGTTTCAGAAGATGTGAAGATGGCTGATCCTGAATTGGATTCTCCTGCACGTCCTCTGTCCCTTTAATACTGGGCACATGCACTGCATATCTGCAGGATTTCCTGGAGGTAGTACCTCAGGAGCTACAGGGAAATCTCGCAAGGCTCTTTCGAATCATGACTAAGACGAGCCTCCTTACTGACCTCCCAGTCCTGTATGAAGGTTGAATATTCCGCATACATCCAAGGCTTCGAGCTACATCAGAAGGGTGCGAGATTTGTAGGATGTTCTTGCAGATGTATTGACCATCCTCACCAAATTTGTGGGGTGTGGCCTCAAGTTCATTGGGGACACAAAGTGCTTAGTCAAAAGCTCTGCTGTCTGTCACGATTTTTGCATGAAGGGCCATCCCCAGTGGAAGCAGTGTAACTCTGCTCGCCTTAAAATATAGATTGCTTGAGGAATTCTCATACTCATGTTTCATGCGGACGCGTGTTATCATACTTCGTTGAACCCTCTGTAATCCACTTTACAGTTTCTCAGTGACTTAATTGGAGCTAAGAAACCTGAGTACACGGATTGAACCACTCTCCTCCATGTTTCCACGTAGAACAGAGTATTCCTTTCCAAGTATGTGACGCAGATATTTTCCGCCTTCCGTCTTCTGAGGTTCGGATCGTGAACCTCAGATGTGATCTTGAAGCCGCTCAACCTTTTCTAACAGGATGGACTAAGCGTAGGTGGACTTCAGAATTTACAAATGTGCAACTTCCTAACACAATTTATATTAACTTGACCAAGGTAACCACTCTGGAAAATGACAAAGACTCTGAAAACACACCTAATAGTTCACGGCCATATCGAATTTCCGCTCTAAGCTTTAAGTGTAAAAGATCACTTGGCCATTGAAGGTGAAATATGCAAGATCCTTCCGAGGCCAAAGATCATGTCTCCTCCAGTGCGCATGCAGCACCTTAGGACATGCAAATTTTACAATGGTCACTGTGATCTTCTCGACTAAATCTTAAAAATCATATCAAACCAGATGTATAACCAGATAGTCAAGCGATCTAGTCAGTCCCTTGTTTCTCCATGAGATTTCATGGCTTGTAGAGCGTGAGAACGGGTGGACTAAACCCTAAACCCTAAACATTGGACCTTAATCAGTTACCCTTCAAACCTCCAAGAAAAAACTGCTTTAGGCTACTAGAAGTTCTTTCAGGGTTGTGGGTATGACCTCTAGAGGACACATTACCTGCTTGCCAAGTTACTGTGGAGATAAAACCTGTGATCAGATTAATATATTTAGTTTCACATATGACCCTGAGATGACAATGTACCTGTTTTAATTTCCTGTTCAGACAACTGAAAACAAGAGAATGCAATCTGGTCCTGAGTGAGCATCTGAACAGTAAACCAACTGCCTACTAAGAGCACATACCCCGTGCAAAGTATAGGAAAGCTGTCTTGATCCTTCAGGCCAGGTAATTAAATGAAACCAATACAAACGCTTTATTTTATAGGTATTTGTAATGTTGTAGTTGATGAGGCTTTTCATTCTCTCCATCTAGAACAACTGCCACTACTCGATCCATTTATCTGGAAAAAATATAATGAAATTTCTTCAGATGGATTTGAAAGCTTGTTGTAACACCTTTGTTTATGATTTAAGCAAGCCATGAACAGAAAAGATCAATTCCATATTGTCACCATTCTGTAGTTTAGTACCTCCACTCAAATTATCTTGGTTATTTAAAGCAAAGAGTATCAATCATAACTTTCTTCTAACAACTTGAGCATCTTCAGTTACCATGTGATGTGTATAAACAGTTTGGCACCACTTTCTCCTTGGATCTGGAGAGTGACAGTTGGTTTAGTTAGTGAGTAGATCGCAAAGTTTATGCGTAGTTTTCAGTCTATATTTAGATAGATACCTCCCTCTATATTTATATTTATATTGAGATGGGTGAAATAAACACGGGTTAGCTCCTGTTGACCAAGACATTGAAAAGTGTGATACATTTACAAATGTATCACAATTAACAACACGTAAAAACCAGTACTGTTATAAAGGGTGAAACTAAAACTCATCGAACGCAGAGACTATACAAATAGTGACAGGGGCTCTTTAAAGACAATTGAAGCTCTCGGAGGAAGTTGAATGATACCAAAAGCAGAAAAAATTACGTAGCATCTTAAGAATTAAATTTTTGGAACTCATTTCACTGTGCCTAAAATATGGTGATTTTACTAAATCAATGCTTTAACTAAAATAAGATCAATAGAAAAAGACACCGTTTAGGAAAGTAGAGGTATTCATGATGGACTTGAAATTTCTAAGATGCAAGAAGTAGTTGAACGATGCATTATACAATTGATCAAAGTACTTTGTAATTAGCATGTCGAGATAACACCTAAATGATAATCTTGTTCAGAAACTATTTTATATAAGAACTACTATGCCCTTTTAAGATATCCATGTTTTCATAAGCTATCCACATCTTCATTTTCGGTTTCAAATGAAGGCAGTTGGACCACATACCGTAGAAACTGGAATTCGTAGATCAAGATTTCTAGCACAGCAATTTTTGGGCTATTATCATCTCACATGCGTCTCGCTAAACATTTATATATATATATGTATATATATATATATATCTTCGAAACTAAAACGACGAAATCAGGCCCTCGGGATTTGTTCTCACAGGCTCACAGTATGCGTGTCCATGATGGCAACATCGTGGACATGCAAGTCTAGATAAGAGTCTGACCCGGCGTGAGCCAGCTTCTTTCTGAGGGCATGATCTCGCTGAGGATTCCGCTGAGTACAGAGTACAATATATTATAAGAGAGGCACAAAATACAGACTATGTGTGACTACAGACCGAAAATTGAGCTTCCTTTTGTCAGCTGTGGGTTCAGTTCATGGATGTGCAGACTCTACATCTTATTATATAGAAAAATGAATAAACTGAATGCAACAATTAGAGGTTCCAGAATCCTGGAATATTTGGGTACGAACGCAAGACCCGTAGGACCAGCCAGAATGTATGCTTAGTATGCTACGTTACCAACACCTCGTGGTGCCTACATCCCGAGGATTAGCAGTAGGGACTTTAGTTTTAAGATGATAGACTCTAACTGTGGGAAGGCGGTAGAATTGACGGCCCATGGTTGACCCTGAGCTCAGTCAAGTCAATCAGTTCTGAGTCAAGGTGACGAAATGTTTCGTGCTTTTTTTTGTCATTGATCCAAAGAATTTTCCCTCTGCCAGGCCATCTTGCGTCATTCGAACTGGATTCGTATTATACTTGGACCGGATCAAAGACAGGATAATTGCAACATCTGATTCATGATTGGCTGACGCACAATTCGGATCGAACGTGGATACGCGTACTCGTTATAACTGGATCTGCGAGCCTCGCGACCGAGGGGAAAACGGTGCCTGCCTGTGTTCCTCCTGCCTCGTGACTGAACTTCAGAGGTTTGTTTTGACAAAGACTTGGATTTGGTAAAGAAAGAGCGAGTGAAGAGTGCTCTGTTCAGATAGGATTTGGCACGTGGTCTTCACCCTTGGAACTGTGCACATCTCTTGACTCAGGGTCTTGGATCCTTCAGATCACCGCAAGGCCTGTGGCACCATTGAGCTTTGACAGAACACGAGCTGTACTTGACTCGAGTAGCAGGTGTTGAGTTGGGAAGTGATCATCTGCCATCTCTACATGGAGATTCTCAAAAATGGGTTTATGTCTCAAGATTTTTTAATTGCTTCTTCAAATAAACTTGGTGTAGGCCTCTATTGCGTCTGAATGCGAGGACAACTGGCTGTAAAATGAACACTCCGATCATCATTGAGATCATACTAAATTTTCGTCCAAAACTGTTAATGCTTTATCATTATTATGAAACTAAGTAGGTCCTGGTTTCTTCTTCAATAACTTTAAGATGATCCCAATTTCTGATAAAAATATAACAGCGTACCCGCTCTTGCTATTGATAAACATTTGATGCACTTTCGAGAGTAAAATGATATTTGACATCATCGGCTTTGATAATTTTACGTATGCATTCTTTACATGAGCATGGTTTGTACATATTCAAGTAATTTGTTATCTCAATTTTCTCAAATTATTGTTGCATCTTGTATCGATTTTGAAGTAGATATGATTTTATCCTAATGCAAAATAGAAAAACAGTATCATGAAGTATTTTGTCAAAATCACATAAAATACTCCCAGATGAGCAAGATTCAGAAGTATGAATTTGCTGGTGCATTTTGCATCTTCAATTTTGAATAAGAAGGTTTACTAGATCCACTAAAAAAATAACAAAGATTTTGCACAACTTCATGTCCATTTTCTTTAGAAAAAGGTTGGAAAAAATAGTACGAGTAGGTAGAAATAATGTTTCACTTCTATATTGTATGAAAATTTCATGAAAAGATTTGTAAAGGGAATGGCATATTTGGCCTTCGATAGTTTTTTCCGGCTTGTGATTTTCAAATTCAAATGAAATATGAAATGTAATATATTTTTTTACATCAAGTATTTCTATCACTAACTGCATCAATAAAAAAAAAACATCTGAATATCCACTTAGAAAAAAACATCAATGTGTAAGGCTCATTGATAGACAAATGCATTTTTTTATGTTAAAAAGAGTGATCTAAATCTCTCGTTTTTTTCATCTCTCGGATCCAGTGCAAACAGTTTCACTATAAATCATGTGATGTATGACAACGACGTTCACCTAATGAAAAGTAGCAATCCATGAATATTCAATAGAAAGTTGTAAACATACGACCGGAAAAGTACTAAGCTTGTGTTGTGAAAAAGGTATAGAAAGTGTACATCTCATGTGCTCTATACATCATACATCCAAAGACGAGACAAAGTATCTCTATCAAACTATACACTCTAACATCCTAAACATGAGACACTATGCCTCAAACACATCCAACATCACGCCCTAAAGCAGTACATTTCGAGAGTCAATTAAGATTTCTGTTGATTTTGTACCTTTTTGTGTCTGATGGTATCTTTACATTTTCTCTATATCGAAGTGGCAGATTACAGTGTCCAAGCACTTCAAGTAACAAGCTTTAGAAAACCTCGAAGGCCTAGCACCTCACGGGCAGTAGAGTACAGCGCGTACCGTAGTCATTCTCAGCAATCGGTCACTGTGAAGCTCTCTCCGGATACGATGATGTCTAACTGAACTGTCAGTTCGGTTGGGCTCGAGCCCCGTAGGGCTTTGCATGGCCCTGGCAGAGCGTGTTTTTTATATGACCGACGGAGGCATTGTGGTGGCACCGAGAGATGGAGAACTGACGAAATTACGGAAGAAAATTGACCTCGAGAGCATCCCAGCGTTGTCGGATTGTGGGTGGTTGCGATGACTATACCGTATAATGAATTGCAGGCTCTGTCGACTCTCTTGACGAAGTCGGAGGAAGCAAAAGTCTCGACGTTAGACCTTTCCTCTCTCCACTCGGCTCTTCTGTAGGACGCAGTGAACAAAATTTGTCGGTTATTTAGATTCTGATTGCGATTCTCTTTTCCTGCTCGAAGCACAAATGAATAATGAGAAATGCGATCAACATTCCCCCGCGCATACGTTTGAAGGGGGATGAATCTGATGAGAATCACCGCATGATTCAATCTATGGACAGGAGCTGAAAGGAAAGGAAAGGACAAGCCCATGTCCGTCGAACGACAAGAAAAAAGAATCAGATGAAGAACGTGCGAATTCTGTTCATCATATCCACAAAATAGATAGTTCTAGGGAGGTAAATAGGATGAAGAAATACTTCACAAAAGCTTGCAACGATATACCACGTTATACATCGATCGCCGAGGACCTCATTGACATCACCTCCAAATTCTCCCCTATCCCGATAACCACAGCAGACAACGATGAATTGTTTCCGATCCAGTTTCCTCTGGCTAGCTCTTCTTACTTGATGTCTTGACAAAATGCCATTGACATTCGTACTTAGATGAGTGAACTTAGCCAGAATTAGCTCGATGTGTTCATCATTCTCTTCTATGCTTCTGAAACTCCTATATCTAATGCGCATACTATTTTTCATACGCCGTGCCTTCATTCCTGTCTGGCATATTAACTGCAGGTATAGCCAGGGAAAGGATCAGTTTGGCCCTGGATGCTTTGAAAGACGATAAGCGAACCAAGCCAACGTTTGTTTCTATACTGCTCCTCTAAGCCAGCTGTCCTGTTCTTATGTCCCGCAATAGTGAACCAAAAAATGAAAACATAACAAAACGCCTGCTGTGGCATATACCTCATGCAGCTTCTGAACCCCACTCTTAATATCTATGGAGAGGTCAGTCACAACTGAATATTGAATAGTGTATTGCAGATATGAATTTTTGTACAAGCAGTCGGTTTCTCCAGAGGACGTATACTTTCAGATGGTAAGGAAAATTTCACCTTTTCTCTAGTCCCCAATTGTTCCACAACCGTTCTCACAATCATGGATGTTCTTACTCATGTTTACGAACCTCACCTTCACTCCCTTAACTGTTGCTCTCGCCAAGAGATCGCTACTAGAGAACGTATCATGGACTTTACTAGATTCTACTTGCTCCTGAGTTGTAAGAAATGATGCCAACTTTATTCGTGACTGCCACGATGTTCGTCAGTTACTCCATCCGGGAATATAGATTCAAAAGCAGCTCTGCAGACTTAGAGCTTCACAAGATATTTCCTGAGTTTGTTTTGTGGGTCGCTCTGTTTCCTAGAGTGGCAAAGACCCGTCCTCCTTATGTTGCGACGACATGGTGATGAGAATACAACTGCCAGGGACAGAAGCCATGCATGATCTGAAACTTGATCTGAAACCAACATATATGAAGCTTCTCTCCCCCATCTAGTTGAGCTACCTATCCTCTCATAGTGCCTATCACGTGGAACCTTATAATAATTTCTTCTTTTTCAAACTTCATTAGCAATGATCAGAACTAAAAGTGTAAAGCCTCAACGTGAAAATGTAACATGGTTCACCGTTTTCTGTGCAGCTGTTTGGGTTTGTTCCTACCACACAAGATTGATCCAAAGTGTAGCTCGGCTGAATGGGACTACACTTCTATGACACTAAGCATTGTCATGAGAATAGTTCGAGAGGAGGACTGATATCCATCAATACATAGGCGTCGGTTGGCAAACACACGAGTTGGAGAATCATTCCAACAAATGAACTGTGAAAAAAAGGACGATTTCAGCCAAGTTAGGGAGACCCACACATCAAAGGCTCAGACCATTTAGGTACCAGCCAGAACAATACAAAGTGCTCCGTGATTATGAACCTCATTACTGAGCTTAACCTTTTCATGAGCAAATCTTAAATCACCATGTCTACTTCGACTTATCTCAAATTTGCAAACTAAGACTTTTGAGAATCCACACTATCATGTAGTTCTGATTCTCATCAACACAGATACAACTATGTACTCGTGAACATGCACGCTGCTCCCTTACTGTCTGTCATTATCATCAAATCCACATTGAGCCAGGAAAGGTTCTTGAAACTTCTAAATATCAAGTGCATCTCTGATCTCAAATATAGATACTCACTATCAACCAGGTCATATGCATTGCGCATATGACCGTCTAGGCACCCTGCCTGTAGGCATTCTTAGAGCATTTCACAAGATAGTCTCGGTGAATAGCTCAGATTCGCAAGCCATACAGTTGTTGCAGACACTTGAAATATTGCCAGCTCATGCAAGAATCAATAGGAAACAGTCAAAGACTCTTAAGACGTACATGTCTAATCGTGCATTTTGACAAGTTAGGTGTCCATTAAAAGATGACATGAGCCAGATAGATTCAAAGGATGATTTTGATTTCTTACTTTTGAAAGCACATATGTTACAGTGCAATCCTTTCAAAACAAAATAAGCACTCCTGTTGTGGATACTGGTCGGTGATCAAAGGTACTCTGCAACTAGCGCCTTCTCATGAAGTTCCACCCCCAATAAGGTGCTTCAGTGTCCCAAACTGATCAACGCAGGAAATGCCCGTGAAGAGCTGCTTTTACAACTGAACGCCCTCACTGCTCTGATTTAACCATATCTCTGAACTATCGGCCCTTCCGAGCTCTCTTTGAGAGGTAGATTAATCGCCTTGATAACCGAGAGAGCTCGTTCAATAGTAGGGAGTGTCTTCTGCAGACGTTGCAATGTTCACATATTTCAAATCAATCGCGAGAGCCACTGCGCTGTTCCAGAAGTAATACCCCTGCAAATGCTCCTAGAATCCCAAACACTCCGTCTATCTTGACCTTTGTCAAAAGATTATGTCGAGCACTATCAAAGCAAAAACCCAACGAATGGCAAGCCGCTCAAAAACGACCTAAAACCAACATGATCTCCAAATGAGACACCTGCTCCTACTTGAGGTCAACCGATGAGGTCTTTCTTGCTACGGAGCAAGTTTTTGTGAAGCTAAACACAAAGAACCACATGCATTTCTCTTTCCCAAGGTGCTCACAGATGAGAATCTATGCTTTGCTTTGCCTTGTTACAAGGTACAAGGTCTACCGAGGGTACCCTTGTTAGCAAGCATGTTCCTTAGACGTTACCACGACGCTGTGCATGCTTGACAAAGGGCTTTAAAGTATGTACTGTCATGAACCCTTTGAATGAGGTTTGACAAAGGGCTTAAAAGTATGTACTGTCACTGAACCCTTTGAATGAGGTCTCAAAAGATGAGGTAGAAGTTCTTATAGCTTTTGAGGAGCAGTCCACTTGCAGAACCCAGACCAGCAGTCACATCCTCTACTATCACCTCCTTCGTTGAAAAACCTTGGATCTGACAATGGGCCAAGAACCAGGAAGAACCCCACCAATCCTACTACGTAGGCGACGAATAAAACTGCAAAACAAAACAACGCATTTCAGAGCTTTGAACAACCGAACCCAATGATGTGCAGTCTGGTCAAATTCCGTTGCTCATCACATCAGAGAACCATGCTCGTCGTTCAATTTACCTCTTCGATGTGAGGATGCCAAGGCCTCGTCTACGTTGGGTAATCCCATTATGTTGCAGACAATATGAGCAACGATAGGAGCAATTAAATGACCTGTCATAAAAGTAAGAAGAAGTAAGCAGTAAGCAACTCACACCCAAAATCAGAAAGAAAAACACACAAATGCTTTTTCAAATAAATGCAAAGAACTTATAACAGGTTGTATGTCGCTATATTTTACCAGTCCGCTGATAGAGAAATGTTGCGTACCATCCAAACACTGTAGTGTAACCTAATTGCATTCCTGTAAAACAAGGTAAGACGCATATAAATTTGGATGTCTTTTATATAAAGTTGGACGTAATCAGTTGACAAATACTGGTGTATAGGAACAGTGTCACCTATATGTGAGCACATGAACTTCGCTTCTAACCTATTGGTTTATTACTTGCGTTAAACTTGCTGATTTCACAAATGATTGGTCCTTCTTCTTCTTTCTAAACAGAATCCTAGAATTAGAAATGTGCCTCAGATCTATGATCCACACTACTTCTAGCTTCCGCAGGCAGACAGAGCCATTTCCAGCTTAAAAACCGCTCGGTCAATCAACACAAACTCTTTTGGGGAAAATAGAGTTTTAGTGGAAGGGCAAGTTCCCAGAAATACTGATGCGCTTGAGATTCTCTATAACTGAAACACACCAAACAGGTAGGGACTATTGAATGACAAGGAACTTTTAAGCTGAGCGAATTTCAGAATAACTGAAATTCCGTGATAATGCAGACCACACATCTTTTGCAGAAAGCCATGACGCTTGTCATCATAAATTACATATTTGCTACCTGAAGAAGAAGATGATGATGTATGTTGTGAACATCATCCAAAAAAACACTCAACGAGCAAATAAAGACGGATGTGCAGTCAATAAAATGCAAATCTCAAATCGAGGTTAGATCTTCGAGAAACTTACCAACAATTAGGGCTGCAGTAGATATCACCTGCTTCTGTCTAGTGATCAACTCCCCAAAATGATGAAGGTGGGCTGCATAGAAAAAGGTTCGAAAGGCATTGACATCAGCGACAACATTTAGTTCGTTACACATGCTGATAAGTTATAACCAACTGCGTCTCCAAATACATTGTCGTGGTGACGGAGATTTTGGTATCCGCATATATGACCAAATAGATTGATGCAATCTTGTTGAATACATCTTTAGAATTGCCTATATGCCTAAAGCTCTTCCATTTTGATTTCATCATGAGGCGATGAAACCAGATGGCTGAAAACTCAAGATTTAAGTGAAAAACAGAGGTAAGTGTTTTTAAAACCTCGGAGAAAATTATCGCTGAAAGGGCAACCTAATCCTGCTCTTTGTCAACTGTAAACAGCGAACTGCAACTGATGATAACATTCAAAAACACAGTGCAAACTTGCGGGAGGTGAGCAGGAGCGACCTAACGCAAAGAACATGGGACAGAGGAAGACTGTGGCGGTTGTAGAGAAGCCACCACACAAAAGCAGAGGAACCATGCACGCTCTGAAGACTAACTCTTCGGAAACAGGTGCCTGTCACACGCCAATATGCACTTCCATCCATGAACCTCTTCCATTGCCTATTAACATTTCTCCTCTGTCAAGAACTATACTTTAGGTTGGCAAAGTACCTACCTCTAAAACACTACACCCCATGTGGCCATCTCACACATCCGACATGAGTAGTTTCACTTATACACTTTTCGAAAAAGAAGCAAAAGTAAATTTTAGACACAGAAAGAAGATTACCACAAGGCAGTTTCGCCACACCAACACATCCGAGGCCATGTTCTTTCCGTTAACTACCACAACAGAACATATTTGACGTATAAGCCCACCATGTGACGCGGCCCAACACCACTCAATCAAGTCAAGAAAGGCCAACACCAAGGGCCCCAGATAGAGCATGCCAGTCAAGAGACAAGGAAGTACAATGGCCTGCCACTGTAATAAGAAAGTCAGTTGGATCACAATGACAGTGAAGGAAACAAAATAGGACAATTACTTTCTGATTGAAGACATTACATGCTTGATATCACATTTAAGTGAATACAATTCAGTGGCTAATCCAGTGCAAGAAAATTGATAGATTTGCTTAAAGGTTGCATACTCGTACCAGATGATGCGTGCGCAGACCAAATATTTCAAGCACAATACTAGGATCGGAGTCCCAGCGCGGATGGTCCTGCATAAGGCAAAGTGTTCCGGAGGTCTCAATCCAACACAGAAGATTACAAATATCAAGTGCTACCAGTTCTCAAGAGATATTTCGTCCAGCTCTCCGAAAATAATGTTTGGGCTTCAGCCCTGACAATTCAGCAGAGATAAAAGAAATTGACCTCAAAAGAAAATGGGAGCAACAACACGTTCGAATTCCCTGTATAAGCCATCATCAACCGTTTTTCTAACAGGATGACAATGTTCTAAACCAATCAAAGACACTATCCTCCGGGTCTAGACCCTCGCGCAATAGTCAGAATCTTTCCATGTAAACCAACGTACATGACGTTATCCAGCTAAGATACTTCAACAACCAAGGGCACATCAACGCCTGCATTCTTTTGACAAATCAAATCGCATACTCAGTTTCAATTCAGTGGGCAAATTTTCAAGTTCAGTGGCATTTCCTGCCTGGGAAAGCTCCCATAGTAACTGACCGGACAATCTAATTCCGTATTCGAGAGTGCACAAAGTCCAATTCAGCACTCGTTTGGGGAAGAATTGAGCAAAGCAGTCAGACATTATTCGCCTGATTAGTTCTAATATGATCACCAGGCTATCAAAAACATGTTTGATCTGAATTCGGTGTCCAATCGGTAGCCATTTGCACCATAAAACAGAATGAGAAACGTACTGGCAGAAGTGCAAAGCACAACATGGGTGCCAGAGCTGAAGCCACAGCAGCACAGGCAAATCGGCGGAGCATGTGTTCACGTATAGACTTGGGACTGCGTAGAAATATGGCAGGTAAGTATAACACTGCGACGTATGACGCTGCCATCATGGCACAGACGCCCACTGCTGCTCCCTTCTTCTCCATAGCACCATTCAGCCTCGCAAAAATCTCGCCTGGGACAAAATCTGCTGCGGCTGCCGGGGCAGCATTTTGCATTGCTTCCATTCACTTCCCTTCTGCTCTCGTCTGCTATCACTAAAATCCCACATTACGCCTGTTTCATCGCGAACCACCTGATTCGACCTACACGAGCATTACCAATGGCTGCTGCGCTGAGATTTCTCCGAGACTAGTCGATTCGTCTTCGATCGCCGGAAACCAGACTGTAGTATGCAACTTCTTCTAACTAATCCTGCACTGCCAAGTTGACGTCAGGATAGTCAGGATAGGCAGCCTTCGGGCTTCGGTACTTACCGACTAATAGAGCCTGGGAAGACCCATCTGAAGTCCTACAGGGTGAATCCAGACGGGTAAGATGAGCGGCTAGACACCAAAAGCGTGGACTACGGGCCGGAGTTCGGATATCGAGACATGACTTAACAATAAGTGGCGGCTTCCCAAGTTGGCAAGTAAGACTTTACATTAAACTAATTAATCGGGACATGGATGACAATGGAGCTACTTCTACCCAGAAACTAGCCTCGATATTGTGAAAACGTTTAATATTACTAATGCATCTGATTTTCTCCACTATCTACATAGTATAATCTACATGTTTATGTCATATCAATGAACGATATTTAATAAAAAATCAATGTGATATTCAATTACATTATTTCTTAATTGAAATATATGATTACATGCCAAAAGTTCGTAAGCAAATCGTTCCATGCAAAAAAAACGGGTCATGATCATCAGTTATTCATAACAACCTTCTTGTCAACTTTGATAATTTCTTATATAGTGTTAGAGTCGATGAACAAAAGATAATGACAATTTGATGTGTTGAATTTCACAAGCACAACAAAAAATATTCAATACAATAATACTAATGTATTTTTTGATATGAAAACAACTATTGCACAATTCTTGAAATGTTTTGTTGTACATAAAATAGTGTAAAATAGTTTTGATGCTATGGTTATATACATTTTTCATGTAAAATTAAACATTTCATATATTTATACGTCAATCATGCATCTTACTTGTGAGTTTTTTACGGTATAACATAGTTTAAATAACAGTTTAGACTCGTTAAATTGGTATAAATGGATTCTAAACATTCTTCAAAATAAATAATAAGGTAATCAACTTATGATATAAAGATACATATTAACTATATTTACACAAGGAGTAGGTTTGGACGTGGATAAAAATGTATTACTTATGTATCTCCGTAATCTACATTCAATTTGCCATCACCAAAACGTTTTGTTGTATGAGATCATTACTTGCAGAGCAGTTTCAATGAGCGTTGTCCCAGAAAGCGTGACATAGAGTTGTCTGCGGGTGAACATTGGCTACGGCTGGTGGACAGCAACTTGGCTCGTCGTCTGCCCCTGCGACTTGTTGATTGTCAGCTGAAAGGCAAGCTGGATGGAAAAATGACGGCGCTGCAGCGTGAATAACAACCCTCAAAGATAACTTTGAGTATCAAAGCAAATTAATGTTAATTAGTGTGAAATAATATAATAATTTGCATAATGAACTTAATTTAGAATATAAAAATTGTTAATTTAATTTTCACCAAAGTTCTCATGAAAAAAGTTACTCTAGGATGGATCTTTCAACTCCGCTAGCAGGAGGGGTCGAACCTCCGACCTTGTGGTTAACAGCCACACGCTCTAACCAACTGAGCTATGCCAGCTCATGCTATGACGTCCCGTGCTATGCTATATGATTATAATATTGTACTAGCATAATATACAGATTCTTTTGAAATCTTTTCAACTTTTTTTCTAAGAGATTAAAAATGGAGCTTAAAGAATTTAATTTTGTATTAAAAAAAATAAAAAACTCTCAATTATATTTTCATATATAATCCATATTTTTAGACTAATTAATGATATCACATTCTAGCTATGATCATATATAGTATAATATGATTTTATTTTTTTATGAAATAAAATCGATAATTTTTTATTAAAATTTTATATATAATCTATCTTTTTGAAATTATTAATCTATATGTAATTACTAATTTTAACTGCTCTGCATGTTTCCAAACTCTTTAGGAAATTGCTTAATGTATGATAAATCTTGTCACCTTTTTGAAAAGACAATGTACAAAGGTACACGTGGGCATTGGCCCTTTTGCACATAGTTCATAACATGTATTTTGGAATACCAGGGCTGAATTTATTTGAAAATTATATAAGATCTGTTTGATGATGAAGAAAAAATTACATGATATTTAGGAAAAAATTTGCATTTAATCAATTTTTTTCTTAATTGTAGAAACTTGTAAATAAATATAGGTGAAATAATTCATTTTTAATTAATGTATAAAAACAAATTCGTAATTACACAAATTTTGATTGAAGATTATATGATAATTTTGAAATACAGATTTTCAAAACTATGATTTTAAGTTAAGAATGAGAATTTTTTTTCATTTTTCGTTCAAAATTTTCATTTTTTGCTGCTGGACCGGTTGTTGTTTGCTCTCCTCAATTATGTGCTTTTAGCATAGATAGCTCTCATGAAATTTTCTTGATTCCAATAAAAAACTGATTCTCTTATTCTTTCATGAAATTGAAGCTAAGTGTTAAGAATTGACCCATTTCTTGTTAATTTCTCTCATTTTACTGTTATTCTAGTTAGTTATTAATAGTTTATGTCATATAATGTATGTTGAATTTAGTTATCGTAAATAGCACAATCATTATTTTTGTTACTAATTTCATTATTACTAAAGTAGTAAAAATCATGCATAATGAATACAAGTAATCAATTCTTGAATTATTATTTAAATATTTGATAAAAAAATACAGTCTTTCTTTCAAATATACATAATTTAGAAAATCGATGATTATTCATCTTCTCAAGGATTCAAATTGAAACATTTTCTATATACGCAGTCGATATAGATCAAAATTCTCATGATATTATTTAGCTTTTAGTTTCAAAGTTTTGTTTTTTAACATTAATTTTTTTTTAAAATAATAATCCCATACCTCCTGTCACTCTTAGTACCTAGTTTTAGCAGGAGGATTCCCAACAGCCCTGCGGGCTGCTGCCGGATCTGATACTACAATGAACGTTTGAAAGCGCTCCTGCCTTTGGCCCTTCCAACCTGGGTGTGCTTTTTCGTAAACTTTAAGTCTGAATTGGCTATAAACTGTCATTTTTAACTAGAAATGAAATCTATTATTTACATATCAGATCTTTTTATATCATGTGTATTCAGAATTATATCTGAACATTTATAGTGATAGGAGACTATATACATAAAAATGATGTAATATTATCTAACTATGTAAGTCATTTACGCAGCACACAGTAGTTGCATGCAATAGAAATATTATATGCAAAGAATTGAAGTACGAAAAATGATATATCAGCATAGAAATTAAATAGAAATGATGTATTTATAAATAATTAATATCTTATTTTATTAAATATATATTTTCATATTTTTAAAGGAAAAAATCAGATTGTAGAAACACACATTTTAAACAGTCATTGTGATTAAATTATAGATTTAAAGAATCACGCAATAAACATAAATTTAATCAAATAATCAAATGGTATTATTTTTCACTGGAAAATGTATATTTTGGCTTATGTAGATTGTGATGATGAGATAGATGTTTAGGATAAAAAGATCATGTAACACAAATCAAATTAGTGTAGCAAAAAACTAGAAAAAATTTATCATCAAATAAAAATCCTATGAATTGAATGATATGTTCTATGTATAAGTTTATTATGAAATTTATGTTTGAAACATGAGTTATATTGTTCACTTTCACATTGATTTATTACAAAAGATTTTTTAGAATGTAAAATAAAAGTCAAACAATATTGTAGGGTTTACTTTTGTTTCAAACGTTAAACTAAATCAAAGACAACGTTGTATTCTATTTTGTAAACTGAATACACTACATTTGATGAAATAATATATGATCGCATTCAATCCAAACATAACAAAAGATTTTACTCTGAAATACATGCAGTTTATCTTTTAGTGATTTAGATAGGACATGTTCAAAGTGGATTCAATAATAAATTATCAGACGTCAAAACGATAATATAACATATTTTTGTGTTCAGTAGTTTATTGTCTACTTTCATGAAAATTATAATAAAACATGTCCAGCAATAACGATGAAGTTAAGATTTCTTTCCACAAGCAGAGGGATTTGGATTACTATCGAAGCTTTTATATATTTTGACTTTCATGTGATTGATGCGCGCATGATGTCTGTTTCCTTGCATTGCATGCTAGTACAGCATAGTGAAGCTGTTTCTGTCCTAATTGATTGAGATTTAGACATTGACATTCTTTGTGGGAAGATACGGCTCCATATTGCACATGACATTATTGAATTTGCGGCTTTGGCAAAATGAAAATGCGAAGAGATATGGTCGAAAACTGAGCTTTGCAAAGTTGGGGACAACGTCTGTGGGCCCGAGGTGCTGTACCAATGTCGGGGGTGCTGCGTAGCGAAGTCGTATGGCAATATTGTACCCGAGAATCGGTGCTAGGTTCTTCTAAAGGTCACACAATCTTCGTCGAGAATGAAGACCAGAGAGAGTGTGGTGTGTTTCCGGTGGGTCCAATTGTGTACAAACTCAGAGAAGCGAGCGAGCAACAGTTCGCCTTCGAAAAGGGGTCGGAGAATGTGTGCCGGTTTTAGGGCGAGTCCAATGCTCGTCATGGAGTGCCCCGAATTTCGCTGCTAAGCTTTGTGGGGACAGTAGGTCCTGATCTCCACGCAAGCTGAAGAGATTTCGTTCAGTTTGATTAGCATCTGACGGCCTTCTACTGATTTCTTCGACGCGTGAGCTTTCGGGTACAATTCTGACCAGTAGGGAACGAATCAGGCGAGAATAAGTCGAGCTGGAGGTTGCGATGTTTTCTGTCATGCACGCGAGTTGACTTGGTTGTTATGATTTGAAATGAGGATGCTTTTGTTCACTCGGTGTGTGTGGTTAGAGTTTGATTTGAGTCTTCTGTTGAATTGCTTCTGACTCAGCTTCTCAGGTCGAGTTTGCTTTTTCTGAGCTTAGGGCAGGTATGGATGACGTCGTAGAGGAAGAGCTACTGGCGTTGGAATCCATCTTTTACGACAGTTACAGCAAGATCAACGACCATCGGTTTCGGCTGCGAATCGATCCGTCTGTCGATGAGGGAGATGAAGCGAATTCGCCACCTCCCCTGTTTTTGGACATTGAGCTGCCCTCAGGGTACCCGGATAAGGTCCCTGAATTTGATCTAGCAAACATTAATAACAGCAAGTACCCCGATTTTGTAAAGAAGGCTATCATCGAAGGTCTTCAGCAGCAGGTATCGGCCGGGAGGAAATTCATGCTATTCGCATCTCTGACAAATTGCAAATGTGTTTTTCTGTCTTTCGTGTTGTTTTTACCCACAAGATTGAAGTACTGTTATTCTGTGTTGCGATATGTGCTTGATTCACATTGTTTAAATTGTATGTGTACTGAAATGGAGGATGTGTTTTATTTCTTCGTTTCTCTCCTTATAAATTTTGGATTTAAATGCATTCAGAAGCTATCGCAGTGTCATCATCTCCTTTGAAATGCATACTGTCCTGCTTCAGCGAATTTGCGCGCTCGTAGGAGAGTTCAGTCGCACTGGTGATACTCCCTCTCATAAATTTACTGTCGGATCTGCCAAGATAGATGGTAGTCTGCAGAGTGTTCTCGACAACTCGGAAGAAGCCTCTCTGTTGGCATCCCCTAGCCGTCTGCCATGCCGTTTGACTATATATCAGGCTCACAGACTCCTCCCATCCGCAACACTTAACTGCTGTGTGGACTCACTATATATCGTTCACTGCTGCAGGCCTCAGAGCAATTAGGCGAGAGCATGTGCTACGCTTTGGTGGAGTGGTTGAAAGAGAAGCTACCGGAATTTTACGCCTCAAAACCCGTTGTTACTTTTCAGGTGTGTTCCCACAATTGTCCTTGAGTTTAGGTTCGGAACTTATCAAGTAGCGAGGGAGTCGATTTCTTTATACGGTTGAAAGCTTTTGTATTATGAGAAGTAATAACGATTGCAACTCTTTGGGATTGTGAGGCCAGCTTTGAAGCAATATGGTTTACTGTAGTACGTGTAGGTTTATCATGGTTATGATATGTAGCCTGTATTTCTATTTCTTGTAGCTGACCCATTGACAGCTACGTACTCAAATTTTTCAGGTTACGTGTAGATGCTTTTATCTTGCTGTTAAAAAAATAGTTACATCTTGGAGCCCTGTCTTGCAGGATGAGAAGGACGAACATGAAGATTCTGGAGGTGCAAAGGACACGAAAAATACGGGAAAAAAAGAACCCAAGGACAAGGATAAGCTCACCAAAGCTCAGAAGCGTCGGTTTTATGACAAATTTGGTGCAAATGCCGAAAAACCTCGAGGATGGAATTGGGTTCAAATTATCTCTCACGTAAGTCTAAGCTCTGTACGAACTGAATATAATGCAGCTTGTCTTCTGTTACTAAGTTGTAGAGCCTGGCCCTGTTGAAAGATATGCTTCTGGATAGAGCCTTTATTGACCTAAAGAAAATTATAGTCCAGTTGAAAGACCGAAAACCTTCAGCCCTGTGTCACGACAATGGAAGGCACAATTGTTGGTTGGGAGAGGTAGTTTCCTGTTTTATACAAGTTTCTTGAATGTTGGTAGAAGGATAACCACATTATCCATATCGACCTGACCTTTTCCGCTTGCTACCCTGAAGCTTTGATTTCATTCATCCTTCGACACTTGTTCATGCTTAGATAAAATACGTAAGTTGTATGTATATTGTTTCACTTCTTAAATTCGTGTGCTTTACCCCTTTTAAGTTGCTTTACCGTACCTACTAGAGATCCTCATTTGCCATCTCCAGCATCCAAGTGGTTTCTCTCTGTGACCATGTGCTATATCTCTTGTGTACGATTTTGTTGCAGCTAAGTCAAGTTCCTCAACACATCGCTTCTGCTTGACGAAGAAAGTTTGTCCGGGTGAAGAGTGAGAGCTTACAATCTTCTCGTCTGTCGTCAAGCTGGCTATTGCTTTGAAGCTTCGTTTTGATTGGCGCGGCGGATCATTGGGTTCCAACTGCCCCGTCGTATCCATATGTGACCTGCATTGAAGAACATGTGGGGGATCAGGCAGAGAATGCGACAGAATGATAATCTGAGACGAGCATGCCTTCAGATTAAAGGGTTGAAATATTCGAAGGCAAGGCAGTCTAGAGGAAGATAATAGCTTCGATCGGACGGCTTTTACTGAGAATCACAGTTGAGATCATGGCCTATCATAAGGAGTATAGTGTATTTTATAAGCTCATCACTCGTCTTATCTTCTTGCGTCATAAAGCTTTGGCTACTCCTGATAAGGGAGGGGAAAAATTGGAATACAGTCTGTCCGCTCACTGATGAGTAGACTTTCAAGAAGTCTTGCCGTATACAGCATACGCGTCCATGGAGTTTTTTTTACTGCTGTCATGTGACGTTACCTTGAAATGATTTGACTAGACTAGTTTGTATGTTTCAAGGCTTATGAAGAATTTGGTTACTTTTGCTGCTTGTGCGCGTATATGACAAGTCGGAGTAGCTACAATCTCTGTCGACTTTTGTACTTGTAAATCGTTGCACTTGAATAGTATGTCATCAGTAACTTCCACACTTGACGGTTACAGCGTTGAAGGTTCTGTGTGCAGCAGGCCTGAACGTTAAACGTCACCTTTTCGGTTGAACGACGCCTGTAAACAGCATGCCAGTCAGTCGGCATGTTGTTAACCATTATTAACAGTTGGAACCATTTTCTGTAAAACAAGGTCGTTCTCTTCTTGCAATGAACCTAAGTGAAGGGAGTATGCAACTCACTTTGAGAGGTAGTTGTGTGTTTGACTCGATTGTGTAGGCCAAGAGCTCTCGATACTGGGAATAAGAAAGCCACTGCCATGCCATAGAGCAAAATGCGCCAAAACACCTCTGCAAGTCAATCACTTGAGTAACTGTCATGGTATGTAGATGCAATGTGGTTAGATGGATGTCAAGGAGAGGAAGACTACCATCTTTGCAGCACATTTGTGTACACCGTTGCGAACACTGGTCGGGAGCGTAATCCATGTCTCCCATATTAGAGAAAAACCAAACGACCTGATCTAAAATAAAGAATGCCTTCTTAAAGATTCCATAGTACTAGTGCGCGTGGGACTGAAATTCTGGGCTTGGGTGTGATGTCCAACTTTCAGTGAGTCCAATTTGCTGTAAAGTCATATAATTCGGCCCCGTGGCCAGGTATGACGTGTAGAGTAGGAGACTGCAAAGTGATTTTTACGTGTTCCATTTACTTTAGTCATAATATGTGCATTAACGTTCAGTCAGGTCGGAATTTGCATGCAACCCATTTTCTTATCAGCCAATCAATATATCCCAAAGTACTACCCGACATCTATGGCTATCTAGTGTACATAATATATATATATTCGATTAGACTTCTCCCATATAAAATCATGAAGCCAGTTAGGGCCAGCCCTGTCGTAGAAGTATCCAAACTTGCACTCGATGTTGAAGGAATTACTTGAACTACTAGTATCCGTATCCAAGTAATAAACATCCAGCCTTTGGTTAGCTCATAGATTGTTTACCGCGTTGCTGGGAATGCACCAAGTTGCCAACTCGTATCTTTGGAACCTGTAGTTTTCAAAGATGTGTTGTAAGTACATATATTCCACCCCACTTTCACAAAATGTTAGTCGAGGCATCGCTTGGCACTGGCATTTTTGTTGGGTGATTCCATGAGGTAACTCAATTGCCTGCACTGCATTGAAAAACCGGCTCTTTATACAACTCAATACGAAGGTTCAGGAGTTGCGGAGGAATGATGGTCAAGGATTCTATATTATGCATCAGCTCAAAAACCAGGAGTCAAAAATTTTGACTCCGAGGAATTTTGACTCAAAATTCCTCGACCTTCTGGAGGGTTGATTATGTGGAACAATAGTACGCTTGCATGGATATAATGGATACGCAACTTAGTGGAGATATGTGGGAAAATACATTCATCGAGAATCGCAATACTGCTCCCAGATTATATGACTATCCAATTCAACGGGGCCGACAATTGTGTACGGTAGTTGACCGTGTCCTGCGCGGGGAATGAGGTCCTCCTCATTATTCACCCAAATGTTCTGTATCTTCGTCATATTGTAGGAGTGTGTCGAAACACCAGCGATTCAATCAGGTACTGGTTTGCGTTCGAGACTCGATCGAGTATCGTAAACGACGCAAGTTGCCTCGTGGGATCATTCTCGGAGGAACCGCCGAGCCTGTAGATGAATCAAATATGGCAAATAAGAGCAGGAGAGCAGCTTTTGATAATCAATGGAGTGGGTAAATGATTCTACGATGCCCGATCTATCTCGCTCGCATCACTTGGACTTCTCCATCGCTCCTACCATCCACAAATTCGCGAGACACGGCACCCAACGACAGGACGGGATGGAAATGTCTACAGAGGCACATCCACTGCCCCACTCGCAAAGAATGTACACACACTTTCCCTGTGCTGGAGCTCACCTTCAATGATAAGTGTGTGTAGCGACCAAATATTCCATCATTGCAAATAATCACATCGAGGCCTGAAACATCCGCTTCTTGACATCCCATGGAACAGTTGGGAACCATAACAAGACTTGATGATTTAACCGGATCCCTCGGCCGCTCATAACACCTCGCCATAATACGCCCGTGATGAGCTGATTATTGGTGCGGTACGATCATATCAGATATCGTATGATCGATCGCCTTCACCAAGTCTGTGGCTGTTGCCATAGATCTGAACATTCAGGGATGCACCTTCAGTTATTGATCGCTGCCGTTGTGTACTGTGGCCAAATCCACACCTATTCGTTACTCCTGGACGAGCTCATGAACGCATTCTAATCAACCCCCTGACTTCCAGGTGTGCTTGAACTGGACTCCATCCAGCTTCTGTTGCCTAGGGTGTACAGTACTGTACTTGCGAAGATGGATGGGGCGGAGTTGACTAACCTTTGGTACGGCTCCCATCGCCTCCCACCACTCTCTCGGCTGGACATCTCGACCATAAATTTATTTTTTTGTAAATTACAATAAAAAATATATTTTTCAAAAAATAATCCAAATTGATAAGAAATTTCAAAACCATTCGGTCTTTACATCCAATCAAATAAATTACTACGAAAAAAACTCAAACCTCAAAATCGAGGCCTCTCAAAAACGTTCTAGGTCTCTCCTCCAGCTCGGAACGAGGCGAAGGGCTTCGTTTTCATCGATGAGTTATGTCTCGGAAAATGTACTTTCTGTGCTTTCGATTATTCAATTTACGTGAAGAAATCAGCGTGAGCATCGAGCGCCTTGTGTCGAGCAATCAGACTGAAGTAGAAACTGGAGCTGGAACACCAAAAGGTAGCGTGACGTATTGTTGCTCTAATTGCTAGCACCGAAAGTTGTCAGTGATACCATCGCCCGGACTTTTTGAACTGTGTAATACCTCCGGGCATTCACAAGGACATGCAAACGGTCTCTAAATTCAGGTCCGATGCATGTGATGCAGGTCAAAATCAAGTAATGACTCGCAAGCTGTACCCCAGATCATTGCCATCTCTGCTTTCCACGATCGGCACTCGAACTCACAATAACATGGTGGATGCTGCTCCACAAGCTGCCTTTCTCCCAAAAGTCAAGGACATGAGTCAATAATACACCACTTCCAAAAGTTTAAGACATATACATGGATACGAGCAAGGTTCGTGTGATGAATGTATACAATTACTGATTCAACTTGAAATTATTCCACCTTCGTACATTTACACCATGTGGCAAAAGAGACGAGAGGACTTCAAAATTGACAAATTTTTTCGAAAGTATACAGATTCTACCTCTTTTGAGGTTGATGTTAATTATTTGTCCGAAAGGTTCACACAGCAAATATATCTTACCATTTTGTGGATCTGTCCATCTCAAACTGCGCCTCAACTTATTTCATAATAGCTATCTACGATTTATTTATTTATTAATTATTTCAACTACTATGAATCATAATTATACCTTGTACACTGCAAAAATCTGTGTACAGATATGTCCAACAATTCTGTTACGCAACATTTTTCCGGACCTGCGCAGTAAAAGTGTTGATAGGGGGAAGTCATGTCAAGAGTAGCCACGAGAAAATCCCCAGGGTATGTGAGCTTTATCAATCTTAATGGAAGTCCTCAGGGGACCGCACACGCGTCAGTCACGGTCAGAGTATGGGCGAGGACGCAATACTTTTGGATCATAACTTCTTTTTGGGGGTGAGAGGAATCAATAAATGACTCTCTGAGATCACTACTGTAGCAATACGATTAAAAATTATTCGATCGCTCACAATCTCCAATCTCCTGTACAGAAGTGAGAAGCAGTAGAGAGAGATTATGAACCTGGCGTACAAAATTGCAGACAACCTGACAATGAGATCTGTCGTCGTTTTGCATTATGAAGGCATACTGAGGTCAGTTTGACTCGCTGCGAATGACCACCTTCAGTAAATAATCACAAGCTTACCACGCAACCTTCCAACATCACATTACGTCTTGCAATCGAGAAGAAGCAGTAGTTCCGCTAGAGAGGCATGTGTCACGAACTCCATGATGATGCCGTTCCAAACTCTTGTACCGTTATCATTTCTTCGGTGAGGAGCAATCCGGAGAAATTTAGTAAGCGGGGGTAAACAGCAGTTGAGGACAGATAACGTCCCCCCTGCAGGTGGATCAAAAGCAACGTCACCAGCCATCGCCTGGAAGCAAAGGAGGGCCACGAGGGTAGAGACATGGGGAAATTAAGAAATGCATCGGAGACCATGTAGACACCTCATTGGCTTCTGGCTGTGAATTTGCAAGGAATAGGCAACATGATGAGTATAAAATTTAGGACCTACATTTTATTCAACTCAAGCCATGAAACCAGCGACTGTGACATCCGCTTTTGGCCATTATATTCTCAGACTTCTCGAAGCAGTTAAACTCCTTCAAAGTGAGCTAAGCTTTTAGTCGTGACGTGATTTTGTTGCGCTGATCTCCTCACTGCGCTGTACAATTTTTTAGATTTCTAAGAGCAATATAATGAAGTCTCTTAGCTTTTTTCCCTGCCTCTAAATTATGGACTTACATATTGTCCAAATTTTGAGAGGAACACGTTGAATCTACTCCGACAATGATGCATTATTTTTCTAATGGTCCAATAGAAAACATAATCGCCGATGAAGATTTCTGAGGTCGTTGTGGTTTGTGACAATTTCATGGGAGAAAGTATTGCGACACCATTGACAGGCCTTGATTGTTTGCAGGCACGTCCAAATCATGTGAAGCATCTTCAGTCTGCTGTGGGGGGCAGGGTACACACCACTTTCGAGGACTCCTCTTGGGCATGGAGGAAAAT